GATAGAAAACTATTGCTAAAAGAGGTTGAGGCAATGTCCGCCGAGTCTCTCCTCATGCTCAGTAATGAGACCCTATCAAAAAGCATGCCATCGAATGCCATCCAACGGAAGCTCCAGAGCCTTGTATGTCAGGTGCTCAGTCAACCAGAAGACGGTGTAGGGATGGATGATAGCTTCTTCCATCTCGGAGGAGATTCTATCAGCGCTATGAAGCTGGTCGGCGCTGCCAGGTCTGAGAAACTCAGAGTAACTGTTGCCGATATCTTCAAGTACCCTCGACTTGAAGATTTGGCGTCTGTTTTACAGCATCATTCGAATGACCAGACTGGATCGATTGAGCCATTCTCGCTATTGGGAAGTGGTGAGGCCCGCGAATCCATTATCCAACAGGTTATCAACACGGGTTCTGTTGAAAGGGAGGAGATTGAAGATATTTACCCCTGCACTCCGCTACAGGAGGGTATGATGGCGCTCAGTATTAAAATCCCTGGGGCTTATACCATGCAGCATGTTTTCCAGCTGCCAGAGTCAGTTGATACAAAGCAACTTCAAGAAGCATGGGATAAAACTATCGACGCCCACCCTATCCTCCGAACACGCATTTATCAAGGTGATTCTGGAAATGCCCAGCAAGTGGTTGTTCGTGAAAAGTTCTGTTGGCAACAATCAAGCAATTTGAATTCCTATCTTGATCAGGATCGAAAGCGGCCAATGAGGCTCATGGAACCTTTGATTCGGCTCGCCTTGATCAAAGAACAGGCCGATACTCCTAGTCAATACATGGCATTGACACTACATCATGCTCTGTACGATGGATGGTCAGAGTCCTTGCTCCTGGGAGCTGTTGAAGCAGCATACCGCGGCGAAGAATTGAAACTAACACCGTTTTCACCGCTCATAAAACATATTTCTGATGGTCATGAAGCTGCTGGCAACTTCTGGCGGACCCAATTCTCTGATATTAAATCCGCTGCCTTCCCTTCGCTGCCATCAGAGAACTACTCTTCTACCCCTAGCGCTTTCATTCAACGGTCAGTTCGTCTAGGATCCATCCATCGGAATGGCTTCACTCTCAATTCTCAGCTACGGTTAGCATGGGCCGTGGTCATCTCTCAGTATACAGCATGTGAGGATGTTGTATTCGGCGTGACCGTCACTGGACGAGATGCACAAGTGTCGGGAATTGAAATGATGACTGGTCCTGCTCTTGCGACTGTTCCTCTCCGAGTACGGCTACAGTCAAGCATTAATGTCAGAGGCAACCTACAGCAGATTCAAGATCAATTTGCACAATCCATACCATTTGAGCAGTTTGGGCTGCAGAATATTAGTGCTCTAGGTGAGGATGCTGCTGCGGCGTGCCGATTTAACAGCCTGCTTCTGGTTCAACCGTCTGTGGAGGACTGCAAGCTAGATATCTTCAACAATTCTGTCGCTGTACCTGATCAATCAACCTTTGATACCTATCCCTTGACTCTCCAGTGTACTTTGGGAAGGGATGTCATTGATATTCAGGCAATATTCGATGCCAACGTACTGCCTCATGAAACGATGGAGAGAATCCTCGATCAGTTTGCCCATCTTTTCGAGGAAATATCAAAGAACATAGACAAGCCCATGGGTACAATTGGTTTAGTCGGCCCAGAGGATATGAGAATGCTGAAAGAGTGGAATGGCAAGCCACCACAGAAACAGGATTTACTTACTCACGAGCTTATCCAAAGACAATGTGAACAGCAACCTGATGCCCAGGCAGTTTGTGCCTGGGATGGTGACCTCACATATGGCCAGCTGAACGACCTTAGTGGACAACTGGCGGCGTACCTAAACGGACTTGGAGTGGGCACGGAAATGATCATTCCACTCTGTTTTGAAAAATCAAAATGGACAACAGTTGCCATGCTTGGAGTGATACGGGCCGGTGCTGCATTTGTTCTTCTCGATCCCTCTGCGCAGCCAGTCCAGCGGATGTCAGAAATGTGTCAACAAGTCAGTGCTAGCCTGATTCTTTCATCTGCAAAATACGCCTCCTGCCTCCAGCAGCTCAGCTACCAAGTTGTCACCATTGCAGAGGCAGAACCTATCTGGACTACAGATATCAGCACCTGGCGGCCGCCATCTATCAGTCCCAGCAATGCGATCTACTCCGTATTTACTTCCGGCTCTACCGGAAAGCCCAAGTGCATCACTATCGAACATCTTGGATTTTCCAGCAGCGCAGATGCAAACAGGGAGATACTGGGCCTAGGAAGCAAGACGCGTGTCCTGCAATTTTCTTCATACTCTTTTGACGTCTGTATTGAGAATAACTTAACTACCCTGGTGGCTGGTGGCTGCATATGCGTGCCTTCAGAAGCAGATTGCAAGGGGGACCTGGCGAAATCCGCCCGAGAGTTCAAGGTAACCTACGTAGATTTGACACCTTCGGTTGCCCGAATCCTTGAGCCCGAGGATATGCCAACCGTTGAAATTGTTATCCTGGGTGGAGAGGCTATGGCATCTGAAGATATTGCTCGTTGGTCAAAGAAAGTCCGTTTAGTCAACGCCTACGGTCCAGCCGAGTGTTCAGTCACTTCTACCATTCAGCCAGACGCCGGGCATCAGGAGAGCCCAGCGAATATCGGACATCCATGTGCAGCCAGATGCTGGGTCGTGGATAGACATGACCAATCAAGGCTACTTCCCATTGGGGCCATTGGTGAGTTGATCATTGAGGGTCCAATTGTTGGTCGTGGTTATTTGAATAATGCTGCAGCCTCTGAAGCGTTCATTGAGGCCCCGAAGTGGCTCTCCACTATTAGGGAGGGCGAAAGTTATCGCATGTATAAGACTGGAGATCTTGTCCAATACAACTTTGACGGGACTCTTACCTATATCGGAAGAAAGGACCTGCAGGTCAAGCTTAATGGGCAGAGAATCGAGCTGGGCGAGGTTGAGTCTCATGTTCGGCGGTGTTTCCGTGCCAGCCGAGATGTAGTTGCCCAAGTGGTAGCTCACAGTCAACTCGGTAATAAACCACGTCTTGTTGCATTCGTCTGGCAAGGGCACGAGCAAAATGGCATCGTGAAGGGCGAGGAACCCTCATTGTTTGAGAGTCCTAGTGACCAATTCCGTGCCGATGTAAAACTGGCAGAAGAAAAGCTCCGACAGTCTGTTCCAAATTTCATGGTGCCAACTACATTCATACCCCTATCCAGGCTTCCTATTGCTGCATCTGGAAAGACGGATAGAAAAGGCCTACTGACTGCGATGCAGGCGTTATCGCGGGAAGATATTCAAGCATATTCCCCGGTCAGAGAGAAGCGACCAGTGTCAACAGATATGGAACGGAAAATTCAAGCAATCTGGGCCAAAGCATTAAAAATGAGCCCTGCCGATATAAGTGCTGGAGACAGTTTCTTCCAGCTTGGAGGCGATTCGATTACTGCAATGAAAGTTGCTGCAGCCGCCAGGACAGAAGGTGTTTTCATCTCACTTCAAGATCTCTTCCAAAACGCTCCTCTCGAGAAGCTCGCCAAAGCCGGAGAGGTCAAAATAGACGTTGCGGATGAGCCGATTGACTGGAAGAAAGAGGTTGCTGTCTGCCCAGAGCTTGAGATGCCCCTGAGCAAATTCTCTCCTCGTCAATCCAGCAGCGACAAGATCGAAGTTATTCTCACCGGCTGTACCGGCCTTTTAGGCAATGAGATCCTCAAACAGCTCGAGGCAAGTGCTGAGATCTCGAAGATCCACTGTGTAGCCATCCGAGCAAAGGGAACAGGAGTTGCAAGAAAAGGTAACCTCAACTCCGAGAAAGTTGTGACATACACTGGCGATCTCTCCCTGCCCCGACTTGGTCTATCAAAAGAAGACGAAGAAACGATCCTTGCTCGCTGTGGAGCAATTATTCACTGTGGCGCCCTGGTATCCTTCGTTCAGGGGTATCAAACGCTCTACGGCCCCAATGTAGCGTCTACCAAGGAGCTTGCTAGGTGGGCCATGAAGAGATTCATCCCCTATCATTTCGTCTCGACTGCGGGAGTGGGCCATCTCAGTGGCGCCGACTTCTTCGACCAGGTCTCTGTCTCTGAATACCCACCGCCCACTGACGGATCGGACGGATACACTGCATCGAAATGGGCGAGCGAGGTATACCTGGAAAATGTGAACGAGAAGTTCGGTCTACCAATTTACATTCACCGGCCTACTAACATTCTCGGCACTGCTACGTCTCAGATAGACGTAGTTAACAACCTGTTGACATATTCCCGCAAGATGAAGATTGTGCCTCGCTTCATAAACTGGACGGGATATCTGGACCTGATCAATGTCAAATACGTTGCCTCGGATATCATTGAAAGTGTGCTGAAATTGGGACCTGCTTCCACAGGCAGATACCAGGTGGAATTCATACATGAGGGAGGCGAGATCGTTGTGCCTATACAGCAGTTGGGGGAGTATTTGGGCCAGGAAGCCGGTGGCGCTGCATTTGAGACTGTGACCTTGGATGAATGGGTTGCGAGGGCGAATGAGAGCGGAATAAACCCATTGGTGAGCGAGTATCTAAAGGACTTGAGAGACCAGGAGATTGAAGTATCCCTTCCACTGGCTAAATGCAATCGCACGATGGAGGCGTTGGCCAAGTTGAACATGGACGTGGGAGTCAAAGGTACCAACGGCACAAACTGTTCCAGCACAAATGGAACAAATGGAGTAAATGGAGTTCACTGAATCTGCGGGAAACATGGATGTATTTTTTTTAAAAAAAATAGATTGCTATAATATTTCCTTCAGCTATTCTCAGTTAGAGAGTCAGGTAGACCATGTCTTGACAGTAATTAGTAGGGTATAAATTTGTCCATCTATAGATCTAATCATAACCTATATAGTGACATTTCAGAAGATGGCATCGTATCACATAATATCAATAATATCATAACGCATAAATATTCCCAACCAAAACCGCCAGCCCCCAACCAGCGAGGAGTAGGACAAAATAGCAAGAATAAGAAGCGTAGCACCTAACCATGCAACACCGAAGAGCGAGAAAAACAGTATCCGAGAAGTGGTACATCTTCACCATTATCGTCACTCTGAGCGATTTCAGCCCCCTTTTCTACCTCTGAGCTTGTCAAGGTTTCCTCTATTGTGGGGGAAGATGCAGCGAAGTAGTCAAAGCTATTTCGCCTTGGAGACGAAGGCTGGCTGTCATCATCCGATTCTTCGTCCAGATCATGAAGAAGTTCAGGTGGCTGCTGGATGTTGTCTCTAGTATAGTGATTATAATCTGTCTCTTCTTCTGGTTCTGCATCGGAAGGGGCAGAATCTAGTTCGTTGTATAGTGTTGAAATGGAGCGCTTTCTCTGGACAGCACGGTTGTGGGCATCCAACATGAAAACGATGTCCTCTCCGCAGTCTGATCCAGATCCAGAGCTGCAGCTGCAGTCTGATCCGCACTCGTCATAATCATCATCGTCGTCGTCGTCAAATTCGTCATAAACGTCGTCATCATCTTCACTGTCAAAGTCGAAATCGGAGGTAGGATTCCCGTGTGTATCATGAATGTTGTCGTTGTTGAAAGTCGTTACAGCGTTTCCAGCATTAGCATAGCTAACAGCCTGATTGAACCAGTCTTCCTGCTCGTTCTCTGCCTCAGCCAGGTCTGCCATGAGGCCATCTAACATGTTTGCATGTGCGGTGAGGACCCTGAGGTTTCTATCAGGCTGTCGAGCGGCGTTCATCAGCTTATGGCGAGCCACCTGGGCAAGAAAGTAGGTCTGAGAGAGGCTCATGTTGCTTTGTTGTCTCCTGCTCGTCGATGGCGATGTTGACTGTGGTGGGAGAACAGAAGGAGAACAGGAATCCTCGACGGCGTCCGCCATGATGATATCCCCCCCTTTGCTCATGGCAGATTGACTTTCTGACTCAAAATGGCGGAATGCGCTGATAAGATAAAGGGAGCCAGACAGAGAGCCCGTAGATAGCGTTATCGGCGGCTCGTTCACCTGCAACTCATTTACTGGGTGAGCCAATAGCGATGGGAGAGAGGCTTAACCAAGGAGAGTTCAGGGGTTTTAGGTTGATTCCTAGGCAATCTGCGCCGGCAACGGGAGGTCAGAACACAGGTTTAAGAAAAAGTGGCAAGGAAGAAAAGCACGACGAACATACCCAGCACGCACGGCGAGACGGCGCCTTTTAAAGAATGCAGCGAGCGTATTCTGGCAAACAGGGTGTGCGGGATGTGCTACCAGGGCTCCCCGACCCTGCTCCATCCATCCGCGTTATGATGTAATGGGTTCGCGGCAGAAGCAGGAAAATCCTGGTCGCCAAGCGCGCAGCCGACGCGAAAAGCCGGCAGATGCAGGCTTAGTCACGGAAGACGAACTGCTATAGCAGGGCTATTATACTTCCCGTCGGAGGTCGGTTGCTGGAGTTTGTCGAGACGCAGCTGTTGCGGCTGTTGAATGTGAGGTTGAAGTCGAGGTCGCGGAGGAGAAGAAGAAGACGCAGACGAAGACGGGCGGGTGACTAAGCGCCGGCTCTATCTCGACCTCACAGCTTCGGCGGGCAACGATGATAGTCAACTACCAGCAGAGCACCAACAGCTGCTGCGAACGGACGAGACAGTGATACCCAGAGATGCTGGCCTCCGCCTGGCTGGGCGACGGCAATGGGCTGCGTACTCGCCGTAGCATCAATGTCCTGCTTGATACCCTTGAACGGCCACGGTCTAAAGTTCAAGATCAACGGGCAGCAGCATGAAACGAGACTCTAGACTCAAGATCCAGAGCCCGTGAAGATGCAGAATCTGCGGACTAGCTCTGTCAAAGATACCAGATGACCCTCCATACCAGTGTAACTCCCGATGCGATCCAGACTCGGATCCTCTATGGGAAGGGGAACGGCAGTTTGGTACGCGCCCGTGGGACAGCTCATTCAGGGAAGCCATCTCGAGTTCGCGCCTGGCTTTGCAGTGGCGTCCATTGAGCCTCGGATATTGGACACTGACTGGCGCGCTGGCGACAGCAAGGTAGTTCTGGTAATATCCCGATGACCCGGTCAACTGTTTACAAAAAAGTGCGGTTGCGTGGGCTCCCGAAGCTTATACCAGAGCTAGAGAATCGAAATAATGTGGACATTTCAAAAGCGAATTCTCCTATTTGATGGGAAAAAAAATCTTTGTATCACTGGTCGGCGGCAGTGGGGTCATCTTCGGCATTTGATTGCGCGGAGTATCCATTTTGTCCGGCGCAGCTCGAGATAGCTACTTGGATCTCGGAGTAACTCGCTGTTCTAGGCCTACACCACTACAAAGAGCTCTGGTCCTCTTCACAGATCAAGTTCCGAGACAAGATCGAAGGACATCGACCACTCATATCCCACCACCAAAGATGCAGGGAAGTAAAAGAAAAAGAAAATACGAGATATCACTGCTACCTAATTTCCCGTCCATGGTTGCTACGCGCAGCTCGGCTGATCTGAACCACCCAACCCACCCAGACCCAGCCTCGCGCGGATGACGGACCTACCACAGCATGCAAACCTTCCAGCAACCAACTCACCTTAACCTGACTGCGCAGGCTCCTTATTTCTCCGTTTGGTTCCACAAATTTGCCAACAAAAAAGACACAAAAAAAGTCGAGATGCGGAGGATGACCTGCTTAGTCATATTTACTGCGTTACTAAGCAAAATAAGCTTAAAGGGATGACGTCATCCCGTGACTTGCGGCTCTCTGTGAAAGCAAAAAGGAAAAATATTGTGATTTTGATATTGTTCAGTTATGCCGATGACCTTGCCACAGAGCCAATTTGGGCATGAGGATCCTTGGGTGTGTTAGCAATTGTGTGGCTTCGCTGTGGATGGCAGGAGGTATGACCAGCTCTTCACGGGCCACGTCAAAGGGGGCCAATTGAACCCCGTAACTCTTCTTCTAGAGTACTGCACAAGAGGAGCTAGATAAAAATACATTGCAGGCGGCAGGGAGCTAGCCCAATCTCAAAGAAAAGCCAGCTCCAGCCTCTGTTGAGCCAGAATCGCCTCCCCCAAAAACATTCGCAAAGTCCAGCCTAGGTGCTTCCTCCCCCCTCCTGGGCGCCTCGGGGGTGTCACGCTTCCGCCTCTTCTCCAAATTCGCCTTGGACGGGAAGGTAGGAAACATCTCTTTGGGCTTTGGCTTGGGATCTTCACGAAAGTACGGGTGGGACAGACATGACTTTGCTGTTGGTCTGGCTGCCGGATTGAGCGCGAGCAGGTGAGAGAGCAGACTTAGGCCTGCAGAAGTAAGATAGGGAAACTTTGAGCGAGATAGTAGCGGGATGGCCGGGCCAGAAGGATCAGAAGAAGACGGTGGGAGACGAAGTGATTTGGCGTTAGGGAGGGAGCGAAACCCTGGCCATGTCTGGGATGTTGGTGGCCCGGTAAGGGCGAATATCTAACTGTATCAGCAGGTAACTCACTTCTAACGAGACGAAAGACGGTAGGGAAGACAGAAGATTTACCTCTGAGAGTTGGGCTACTTCGTTCTTGCCACGAAGCAGAGGCTCCTTGGTCAACAGCTCCCCAAATATACAGCCAATGCTCCACATATCGATCTCGGTACCGTACTTGTCTGCTCCCAACAACAGCTCTGGCGCCCGGTACCACAGCGTAACAACCAGCTGCGTCAATTTCGGCGGTGGATCGCCATAGTACCTCGCCATTCCAAAATCAGCCAGTTTGATCTCCCCACGGTTGTTCATCAGTAGATTCGAAGTCTTCAGATCCCGGTGCATGATCCAATGTGAGTGCAGGAACTCAGCTGCACCGAGCACCTGAAGGAGGACCGTCTTTGTCTCGGAGGGCAGGAAGGGCTCTCTCATCTCGTCTAGTAGGCTCTTGAGGTCGTGTTCGATGAAATCCATGACCAGGAAAACGCTGCGGGAAAGCCGAGTAAGGACAGACAAGGAGGTTAATGACTATCAATGTATCTGGGCTTTTCACCAACAACCACGAGCTAAAAGGGGGGAAAGGGCATGGCTTACTCGTCCACTGCGTCGCCCATGACCACTTCACGCAGCTGGATGACATGCGGGTGTCTCGAGGCAAGCAGGGTCTGTATCTCGCGCAGGCCGGTGACGGGGAATCCATCGTACGCGTTCTCCATCTTGAGCTTCTTGATGGCCACGATCTGGCCTGTGGCCGTCTCTCTGGCCCTCGAAACCCAGCCGTAGGATCCTTCTTCAATTGCATTCAGGTTCTCGAAGTTGTCGATGTGTCTGCAGGGCCCCCATTCCGGGGCTGGAAACTGCAGCAGCCTTGCCGGTGGTGCAGGTGCAGCGCCAGCATCGTCGGGGGTTTCATTCGACAGCCGGCGTCGTTTAGTAGGCGGTTCACTTCCATTTTCTGGCTTATCCGGCTGTTTATCACTGGGCTCCGTCGATTGTTGTGTTTGTTGTTGTTGTTGTTGCTGCTGCTGCTGCCTTTCTGCGATGAGTCGCTGTCGCTCTGCCTTTGCGCGCTTCTTTGCCTCCTTCTCCTGCTTGCGCCGCTGGAGTTCGGCCTCTGTCTCCGGGTTATCGTCTGCCCATCGAGATTTGGCAGGGGCTGACATCTTCGCGGCCTTGTCTTCACTTCTTCCTGTCTGTTCTTCGAGCTCTCGGGGCTACGGAGTTGATGTCTGGCCGGACTTAGGATGTTCCGCTGGGAGGATAAGGCCGAAGAGCCCCTCGACACAGCGATATTACGGATGACATCGACCTTCTACACAGGCACTAGAGACCGCGGAGTGATGGAGTGATATAGACCTAGACTGATTCTCTAGTCAAAGAGAGAGAGAGAGACGACACCATGATCGAGCCATTTCAAGTACGGTTGGAGCCCCCTGATTTCAATAGCGAATGAAGCCCACGAACGGACCAGAACTAGTTAACACGGCTACAGGCAACATTCGCGGTGCCCTTGACGTGCGAGAGCTGCATCAAGGATATCTCGAAGCCGTTGTATGAGCTGTCCGGTTAGTCTCTAACTCCCTCTGGGTTGGCTGGTCATGGACGGACACCTATTGACAAACTACAAATTAAAGGCATCAAAAAGGTCGATGCCAGCTTAGCAGACCAGTTGATCGTGGTTGAAGGCACCGCTGCACCCTCTGCCATCGTGGCTGCTATCCAAAGCACTGGTCGGGATGCCATTTTACGCGGCAGTGGGACATCAAATAGTACGTCTACAAAGTTGGCAAGATACAAGTCACATCTTTTACTGACGGGGTGGGGTGAGGAGGAAAGATGCTTCGGTGTGTATCCTAGAAACACACAAGGAGGGCGTTGCAAATAAGATACGAGGCCTGGTACGCATGGTACAAGTCTCCAGCGGCCTGACAATATTCGACCTGACGATCAACGGGCTCTCGCCGGGGCGATACTGGGCCACTATCCGTGAGACAGGAGACGTCTCCCGCGGCCCCGAGTCCACCGGTGGAGTCTGGGAAGCCATCAAAGAGCTGAAAGAGAAACAGCAACAAGGCAGCAGCGGCAGCGGCAGTGATCCACGGGGAGTTGTGGGCAGTGTGGACGTGGACGAGAATGGCAAAGGCAATGTCTTCCTGGACCGGCCGATAGCCGTGTGGGAGATGATCGGACGCAGCATGGTGGTATCAAGGCAGCGCGAGGGCCCCTTCAGCATCGATGACGAAGACACCATCGTCGGCGTCGTAGCTCGCAGTGCCGGCGTCTGGGACAACGAGAAGATGGTGTGTTCATGCTCGGGCAAGAATGTATGGGAGGAGCGCGAGGAGCAGCGCTCCAGGGGGATTGTCTGATGTCTCTCAACAACACGACAAGAGACTGCTCCAGTCTTCAATGCGGCCTGAGGGATATATAAATGTCGCATCTAGTGAATCTACCAAAATTACCAACCGTCAGCCAGCATTGAATAATTTCTTTGTAGTCGTTGGCAGCCACTGTGATTCGCCGCTCTGCTAACCGCCGGCCTCAGCTTGGCTGCAGCAGCGCCGGGGACAGCGACAACCAGCTCTCGACCAGACCAGACGAGAGGGTTTGTGTCTCACCCAGCAGGCCCGTGGATGGGCGGCGTCGGTGGGCTGACTAGTTATATAAAAAGGGCCAGCGTCCGTCCTAAGCGCCCGCCGTCTCTGCATGCTGCATCGCCACGAGCAGCCAGAAGAAATCCTGCAGCGCATCCCTGGCCATCACACCCGGTCACAGTCTTGTCCGCTGGGCGCGCCACCCGCCATCGGTCCAGCCGTCCGTGGAAGCTCCCGGTCGATAATTCGCTGGCGAGAAAAAGACGATACGAGTCGATATATCACTGCTAAGCGCCCGCCCTGAGCTGCTGAGCCCGCCGTCAGTTTGCGTCCGTTGCTGCCAGGACACCATCAATCGCCATGTCGTTAAAGCAGGTCAGTCCCTCCAGGCTCTAGAGACAGACGCGGATGCGCAGAGGAAGATGCCATGATAGACTGACGCGGACAGCAGGAGATCGAGACCTGGGTCCAGGCGCTGGCTCACTACGATAACAACGAGTTCGAGGACGCCATCGCCGTCTTTGGTGGGATTGCAGACACCTCCAAGATCCTCTTCAACTGCGGCGTCATCTACGCTACGCTGGGCGAGCATGCCAAAGCAGTACGTCTGTGTTCTTCTTGTTGTTTTATAGTTATGCTGCTATGGGAAATGGTGGGATGCTTGCTAACGGGGGTGGTTTGCTAGGTGGACTGCTACCAGAGGGCCATCGCCCTGGACAAGTACCTCGCCATAGCGTACTTCCAGCAGGGAGTATCGAACTTCCTCATCGGTGACTTCGAAGAGGCCCTCGCCAACTTCAACGACACGCTGCTGTACCTGCGAGGCAATACGACGATCGACTACGAGCAGCTCGGCCTCAAATACAAGCTCTACTCGTGCGAGGTCCTCTTCAACCGCGGGCTGTGTTATATCTACTTGCAGGAAATCGAGTCGGGCATGAACGATCTGACCTACGCTGCTAAGGAAAAAGCAAAGCCAGACCACGATGTCATCGACGAAGCCATTGCTGAGACAGCCGAGGTAAGCCTTGCTCAGTTTATTTATTCTTTTGTGTGTGTGTGTGTGGCGTATTCTGATGAGCTGTTGTCTAGGGATATACGGTGTTTTCTATACCGGTGGGCGTGATATATCGCCCAAGCGAGGCCAAAGTCAAGAATCTCAAGACCAAGGAGTATCTCGGCAAGGCGAGACTGGTGGCTGCTTCTGATAGGGCCAACACCTTCACTGGCTTCCAGGGTCATGAGACCAAGATACCCGTCTTCGAAAGTTCTCGAGATGACCGGCCGCCAGAGAACATCTCGTATGGTGCTACCAATCTCGTGCAGAAGAACCTTGCAGCCAGGAGCAGACAGCAGTCTGAGCCGCCTATCAGCCGCAATGCTTTCCCTCCAACACCACCGCCAGACGAGAAGGCTTCCTCCCTTGCACCTAGCAATGGGTCTACCGGTAGCTTGACCCGCAAACAGTCACTGACCAGGGCAACTCGACCACCTGTTCTCGAGCTAGGAAGGGCATCCTCTGAACAGACACAGTCCATTGGAGGATCTACAGCTGTAGATTCACAACAACCAAAGCTCCAACAGGAAAAACCCCGGGTTGGCACTGTCCGAACTGCCTCTGAGCCACGCGGGCCAGCCTCGAGACTCTCGGCTATACGCTACGGGCCTCCTCCAAATGGAAAGCTGCTCTTCCGCGAGACCACCGGCCAGCATCGACGGCCCATGTCCAACATCTCCCCCTTGTCAGAGGAACCACAGGCTTACTATACCATGTACGCCCCCGGACTGGGACCAGGCTACACCGCCGAAAACGGCCACACTCGACTTCCCGAATACATCAACGAAGAAGGCTACGAATCCGAGCCCCTCGACGACGATGCAGGAGAATGCATCCAGTTCGAAATGGTTGGCAGCCGCCCACCCCAACACCAGCTCTCCAGCCGCCACCGGCATTCTTCCCGCCGTCCCGAAATCAAAAAGATCCGCGTCAAGGTCCATGCCGACTCGGATACGCGCTTCATCATGATCACGCCCACCACGGAATATGCCGAGTTCGAAAACAAGATCCGTGAAAAGTTCGGGTTCACGGGTAACCTGAAGATTAAAATGCAAGATGACGGGGATATGGTCACCCTTGCGGACCAGGATGATCTCGACATGCTCGTTGCTGCGGCCAAGCAGGTCGCTCGAAAGGAGAATAATGATATGGGCAAGACGGAGGTAAGGGTCTCATGCATTCCGCCTGCTGGCTTTGCACCATGTGCCTAGCTAACGCGTCTGGCATGTCTTTCTCTTCTTTTACAGGTCTGGGTTGCCGAAATACTTGCATGATGGGATTTGTCTTCACTTTTAAAGTACGGTCTATTATGCTGTGGCCTTTTATATGGCGGTAATTAGTTCTGATAGATGGCGTTTTTTTGGGGGGATTTGGGTTGCTTTGGTAGGCTTAAAGCTGGGGTTAGCATGGAGTTTTTGGTCATGTCCATACTGGTACCTGTTATGATTGATGTCTCACGTCTTCTCCTCCTCTTATGATCTTTCATGCATCTATCTCTTCTCTCCGTCTTTTCCTCGTCGTTTTATCCATCAATTCCTTGTATATCGTCGTCGTTATTGTCCATCCGCTTTTCTTCCTCACTTGTTATGCGATGACTAAGCAATCCTATCAAAAGAACGACGTCTTCAACTTCTACAAAACTCCGCATATGCAATTAATAGGGAGAAGACGAAAGGAAGACAGCGGGTAATCGACAATGACAGACCTCACACCAGCAGTCAATGACCTGCTCAGGGCTCGCGGCAGCTCTCTTCTCTCCGGCGAGACGAGTAGTCCCTCCGACGCCCAGGTGGACGAGTTCTTGAAGGAGGCTCATAGAATCGTACGTGGCCATCCCGCCCGCCCAATGCCCTACATAACCCACTAACGGACAGTAGAACGTCCATATATCGTCTCTCCTGGCATATCTCAAGTCCATACGAACCGTGTATCTATCCACCGTACCCGCCAGACCATCCGGCCACACGCAAAACACAGACTTCAACCCGCTCAGCCCGTCTTCAAGCTCGATATCTTCCCACCTAACCGACCCCGAACGAGACTCAATAGATTCCTCCACTGCGTCCTTACTCCAAGATCTATCCCGCTCTATAGGGAACCTTGCATCAGCTGAATCGCTACGTGCCCAAACTCAGGCGTCTGTGTTGCGCAAGAAGTACGGTCATGGCAAGCTAAATGAGCGCCTCTGGCAGTGGGCTGGAGGCGGGGGCGCAGTGGACGTGCCTCGGTCATCCGAGCAGGAAGAAGCAGAAGATACAGAGAAGAATATCGTTGGCATGCGTGAGAGTGTTCTCTGGTTTCTCAGGCGGGGGCTCGAGGGTGCTGCGGAGGTGCAGAGGGAGATGGTGGAGAAGAGAATCGAGAGGGTCAGAGAGAAGGAGAAGAGTGTGCTGTATAAGGCTAAAGCTGGCCAGATGCCTATTCATATGCAGGCCGAGGGCAGTAGTGGTCGAATTAGTGGTGGAAGTGGACGATATGATGGTGGAGACGAAGATACGTTACGCGGCAGAGATGTTTCTATTGACGAGAAGGAGGCTGCTGCTATTGAATCGCAGCTTTCACCGGAGCAGCTGCAATTGTTTGCGCAAGAGAATGACGGCATGTTGAAGTATTATGAAGATACTCTCGGCAAGGTCCAGTACGTGCAGCGCTATCCATCTGTTATACATATTAACACCTGCTAACATAAACAAAGAAATGCGGAGAAATCGCTGCTGGAGATATCTTCTCTGCAGCAGACGCTGGTGGCTCATCTAGCTACGCAGGAAGACTATATCAACCAGTTGGTCCGGGACGCTGAATCGACGCACACCAATGTCGGGCGAGGCAATAAGGAGCTGAAGCGGGCGAGCGAGCGACGCAGCGAGGCCCAGATGGTTTTCTGGGCTACCGTTGTCCTTTGCGTCTGGTTGATCTTGTGGGATGCCATTTTCTAGTCAAGCAAACAAGCCTAGGGGGATACTGCAGCACTGTTTGACCTAGAATAAACGACTACCCCGAAGTGCTAAATTAGGACTCGACGAGTGCCACGGGTAAGGACTTAACAGTTTAACAGCGTAATATCCCCCGAGTGATATCCAGACTGCGCCTTCTCAGCCTTATATGACACCCCCCAACCTGATATCAATGATGTTGGCACCAACTGCGCAAAAGTACGGAGTACATCTACAGATCTACTGTGTACCTCTTTTTAGATCAGAAAGAGCAAAGATGGGCACTGTGTTAGATATCCTGCCACAAATCCCAGCTGCAGATCCCCAAGACGGAGACGGCGATGGTTCCAGCTCCGACTCCCAGCTTGGTGTCGAGGCTCAAACCCAACCCCAACCCGAACCGACCTCGCAGCTATTTACCGCCGGCCGGCTGCTCGTCTTTTCTCCACTGAAAGTAAGGCTCAACCCGTCCGCGGGCTGGACCTTTGCCGGCGAGCTTCCTCCATTCCACGCGCGAGCGAGCCTCGATCCGCCTGACAGGAAGATATATGTGGGCATCACCGACGGCCAGCCCCAGATACCGACACACAGTCCTAACCAACCTGTGTTTCTCTCTCCTTTGACCCCTTGATGCAGGACAACTACTTGCTGCGCGACAAGAAGCGGAGGACCGTCCCGGAGGAGTTCGTTGTGTTTGGCCCGGAGTATGAAACGGTCGAGAGCCGCAAGAAGGCGGCCCTGGAGTTGCTGTGGAATGGCGTATATTGTGGATAAGGCAGCGGAAGCTTCCGAAACGTGAAGCGTTCATTATATGCACGCTTGAACAGCTGCGCTGGGAGGCCAAGTTCCTGGAGAGCGAGTGGTTCATCAGGGGCAACAGGGGCAACGGGGAGATCTTCCCGCCAGACACCGCCGACAGCAGGGTCCTGGAGGCCATCCTCGAGCTCGAGCAGATGGCGCCCTTCCAGCCGCAGCCCAACTAGACTTTTCTATACTTGATTTCTCTTCTTCTCAGCTCAGCTTCTTCTTTGCTTCTTCTCTATAGGCATCTATATAAAACACGTGACGTAGATCTGAAAATGGCAAAAAACGACGTCGACGATGCAAAACGCCAGACGAAACGCAGCAAAAACACGACGAGACGAGCTGAAACGCCGACTGGACGCCCATCGGCCTCCCGTCCAATCGATCTCGGATTCCCCCCCAGCGCTCCCGAGACTCCTTTGCCTTCGAGAAGCTCGTCGGCTGTCCAGCCTGTCCAGGCAACCCCCCAGGCGGGCCACACTGGATCCCAACACGAACACCTCGATCCCTGCCGGACAGGCCGGAGCAACAAACGAATAAAGAAAAAGCGCAGCGAGGCAGCGAGGACGATGGAAGAGATCGGGCGTCGCGGGTGCGTCCAGTCAGGATGGTTATCGCAAGGTCATCGGGCAGACAGGAGCAGGGCTGTGCAGCCTCTCAGCAGGCCCGGCGGCCCTCCCAGCAACGACCGACAAGTGTCAGCGAGAAGGCCTAGAAGCAGATGAAACAGACGTGAACGCGATCAGCCATGCGGCCGCTTTTCTTTTTCTGGGGCCCTTTTGCCCTTCTTTTTTTTCTCCCCCTGGTCCTGACGGAGTGCCAGGTACCTCTGGCCATGTACCGCAATCCCGGTCGACCTGCAGGAGCGGCTACGGGCGCTGAACACGCGAGAACATGAGACAGCGAGCCAGCGCCAGCGAGCAGAGCAGACCGGACAGACAACTACTATATATAACGAGCTACGCTGCTCGCTCGCCGGCGGTGAATTCTTCGTCGTTCTGCTTCGTCTTCTTCGTCTGTTCTTCTGTCTGCCTCGGAGTTAGCGGCGGGAAGCACCCTCGGATCCACCTCCGTCTTGCTCTGCAATTCCCCCTGCGGCCTTTCGCCTTCTTCCTTTCTTTTGCCTGTCACACGCCCGACCTGCCACTCTGCTGCTACTTCTACTTCTCCTGCGGCCTCTCTCTGCTTCTCCTGCTTCTTCCCTGTGCAAGATGGCTCCCGCTGCTGTTTCGACCATCGCCCGCGACCGTCTGGATACTGTCTCACGCCACATCATGACGCCCAGCTTCTTCACCCCCGCGGCTGTGCCCAAGGCTCCAGAAGACCCTCTGTTTGGCCTCGCCGCTGCCTGCAGAGCTGACACCTCCGACAAGAAGATAGATCTCGGTATCGGTGCCTACAGAGACTCCGATGCAAAGCCATGGGTCCTCCCCGTCGTCAAGAAGGTCGGTTTGATGCTGCTGATGCTGCTGATGGCCAAAAATGCCACATGAAGACACATGCTAACAACTATCACAGGCCGACCGAATGCTGCGGGAAGACCCCAAGCTCAACCACGAATACCTTCCTATCGCCGGACTCAAGGACTTCACCACTGCTGCTCAGAAGCTCATCCTCGGCGAGAACTCCCCTGCCATCAGAGAGAACAGAGTAAGACAACCAACCTCGTCCAGTCACATATGTCTACATGAAAAGCAGCGCTGACCGAAAAACCACCCCCATAGGTCGTCACCTTCCAGACAATCTCAGGCACCGGTGCCGTCCATCTTGGAGGCCTGTTCATCTCCAAGTTCTTCCCTTCCACTCCCAAGCCCACCATCTACCTCTCCAACCCAACATGGCCCAACCACCCTCAGATCTTCAAGACCGTCCACCTCGAGTCGGCCTACTACCCTTACTTCAACCCGGCCAACAAGGGCCTCAACCTCGAGGGCATGCTCAAGGCCATCCGTGCAGCTCCCTCTGGCTCCGTCATCCTCCTTCACCCATGCGCCCACAATCCCACCGGTGTAGATCCCACCCAGCACCAGTGGAAGCAGATTGCCACTGTCATCCGCGAACGCAACCACTTCCCCTTCTTCGACTGCGCTTACCAGGGTTTCGCCTCCGGTGACCTCGCCCGTGACTCCTGGGCTGTCCGTTACTTCATCTCCGAGGGCTTCGAGATGTGCGTCTCCCAGTCCTTCGCCAAAAACTTCGGTCTCTACGGCGAGCGTGCTGGTGCCTTCCACTTCATCACTGCTCCCGGACCGAACGCCGCCGAGGCCCTCTCCAATGTTGCCTCCCAGCTTGCTATCCTGCAGCGCTCCGAGATCTCTAACCCCCCTGCCTACGGTGCCCGCATTGCCTCTCTCATCCTCAATGACGCCACTTTGTTCAAGGAGTGGGAGGAAGACCTCCGAACCATGTCCGGCCGTATCGTCGAGATGAGAAAGGGTGTCCGAGAGCGCCTCGAGGAGAAGGGCACCCCAGGTACCTGGGACCACATCACCAACCAGATTGGCATGTTCAGCTTCACCGGTCTCACCGAGGAGCAAGTCCAGATCCTCCGTGAGAAGTGGCACATCTACATGGTACGTCTTTACTCTAACCCAACGCTTTATATACTATTAATATACTAACATCCTCTCAGACCAAGAACGGCCGTATCTCCATGGCTGGCCTTAACGTCCACAACATCGACTACTTCGCTGAGGCAGTCGATGCCGTCGTCAGAGAAACTACTAAATAGACTACACCACACTCCATTACAACTATCGCCTATCACCCATAACTACCCCTACTGGTTGAATGTATAAAACCCCCTACCCAAATAATTTCGGATATACCTTTTTATTCCCTATTCCGTTGTCTTGTATCTACTTATCTCTCTTCATCTCATTTTCTCTTCGGGGGGCATTGGAAAAGAAAATCAACTAAAAAGAGCATCATCACCACTGGTTAGTTACTGCACTCGCTAGTCGGTTACTTATTTCATGATATGATACGAACATTCTGTTTACTCCATCCCGTCCGTCCTGTACTATTTACAGCATAACTCCTATCAATTGACTTTTTAACACTGTCCATCCATCGGTTTCACAAGTATACCTGCATGGTAGTTCGTATCATATCAAGTCTCGGCGCATCTACGCCCTGCCGGCTATATATTACGCACATTGACCTGCTTGTGATTTTGTTCGCTGCGGAGTTCGATCATGCTCAACGGCGTCTCAAGGATCTACGCATAGACTCGCATATGCACATTTCTCGCACCCCCCTGTCGTTACATACGTGTTTGGTCTGGTATCAAACAGGCATCATCGCCGATACGAGATTCATCAAGAATTTGATAACCAACCAACGAGTTAACTAACAAGCTAGGGAACTAACCAGGAACGCCTTGTTTATCTGCTTATAACACTCGGCATATAGCAAACAGCCAAACATTCACACTGCTCCGTCAGAGACCAAGAAACTCCAAGAACTAGTATACAAACAAGCCCCTGACATGCTACCATATGTTAGGGTATCATCTCTGAAAAATTCAATATCCAGCCAGCTCAGTCATCATGTAAAGATAGATAGTGAAAATGAGTAAAGGTCATCGAGGGTTAGTAGGACGGTGCCTAGCAGAGAAATATACGGGGTACTTGGAGGTCTATAGCAAAGGACCACAGAGGAGCCATACTCTTTGAGTGTGATAACTGTAACAATCTGGCAAGATGGCTATTCTCTCTGCTGTCAATTGGTAAGCGTGCCTTTTTGGCTCAGCCGTTTGATAATATTCTGCTGATGCCATCAATGTGCTTTTGATATCCTGGGAAAGGTGCAGACTGCTACTGCGGTGATGATGTTAGTGGCAAGGTGGTGGATTATCTCCACTGCATTTAATCGTTATCAAAATATCTCCAAGTCGGTCAGTCATGTCGCGAATTTATGTCCCAGGGCATGCTGGCGGAGGTCCGCGACATACTGAACTCTCATTTTGTCCATTCCCAGAATCATGTGGAATGGGTAGGAAGTCGGCAGCATAAAACCCAGCGAAAATAGGCTGCAAATCCGGGCTGGAATGGCAGCTCGTCATCTGCTCCGTTGTGATCCTGAGGCCGCATTACCCGGGCATTCAACGAGCTTCGGAAATGTGAAATATAAACATTGTGTTGCTCGAAGGCTTTCCAAATATCGAGGCAAGGTCTTTTATTGAAGAAGTATGGACGTGCTTTCCGCATCGCACGCCACAGAAAAATAAATATCTCCTCAACTCCATTAACCAGCCAAGTACACAACCCGGGGCACTTTTCCGCGGGAAGACAGCACTAGAGCCACTAAAGATATGCTGTGCATCTTGCTTTATATTCAAAAATGTATGTTCTGTTTGAACTTTTGCGTGGTATTTAACCTGTCCACCCCCGACAGCTGATAGATAGGTAGCTTTGTGCTAGGGATATAGTGAGAGAGGCGCTAATTAGTTATAGACTGTGAAACATGGGCCATGTTGTTGTCATTGTTGTCAGACTGCTCGCCATGCAATGGCGAATAAGAGAGTCCGAACAGGGTAAGTTTGCAGGCATGGGATAAATATCTCGAAGATGAGTGAAAGTCTTCGACTCTGCAGGCGAAGTCCTGTTTTTGTAGCAGCAACTTATGCAATAGTGTCAGGGGTACATGTAAGCTTTCGCCGTCAACTGGGCGATAGCAGGTCCTTGAGACTGAATTGCTGGATTATTGAATCGCACCTTTCCATAAGTTAGCATTTTGAACACCTATACGGCATACCTGTGTTCTTTCATATTTACATACTTTCAAGGTGAGCCTATACTCGTCTTCAGGCTGATAGGCAAATATCCCAAAAACAGAGTCCTTTTTTTTGCCTTTCACTCAATTGGTGCAGGCAGCTCAAAAGTATTTCCTCACCCATAAGATATACCTATATGTGAACGCTGGGGTTAAGAATGCTTGAGTAGTGCAAGTAGCTCGAAGATAGTTTCTCGTCCCTGGATCGACATAGACATGGACGCTGTAGTTGAGAAGAGATTTTTGTAACTCTTCTAATGCCTGCTTACGTCTCTTCACCAACGACTTTGCCAGGGACACGAGAACAGTCATGGTATAGGTTCAGTCATAATAATCGTACTGCAGGCATCCAAATCGAAGATTCGAAGATTGTTCCTCGTCCCTGGATCGACATGGACATGGACGTTATAGAACACTCATTATATATATAGCTTGAAGATAGTTCCCCATCCCTGGATCGACATAGACATGGACACTGTAGCCCATGCGATGAGTGCGTCTAACTCATTATTCCACTCGAGTCGATGATTGGTAGTCAGCTCTCCCTGGTTATAAGAGATGGATATGAGGCTTCATCGCATATAGCCGTTATTCTTATGTGGGCAAAAATAGAGTCCTTGGTAAGAGGTTCGGAAACGTAGGACGGGCAGTCGATGAACGGGCGACACAAACGCATGATGGCAGGCCAGGAGCAGGCCAGTGAGGAGTAGTTACGCCTCGCGGAGTAAAGAAAGCAACAAAAAATATTTCGGGGATATTCCATGAACTGCATCTGATCCCGATGTGGTGCGGTGACTTGATGGATGATACTTTGTCGCCTCACTCATTGCGCTCCATAGATCAACGATGCGTCTGCTGACACGACTCGCCCCCTTGAGCAAATGGTTGAATCCAGAATCCTTCTGCTAAGCATGAGTAGAGGATGATTCGGAATGGTCAGCCGCCGTTAGCAGTTGGTAGAATCAACCATGATCTCAACAGCTGTGTATAAGCCTCGCATAGGCATTAGCAGCACATGCCTTGATCGAAAAGAGACAGGAGAAAAGTAACACGGGTAGCTGGGTTGGGATTGATGAGGCAGTAGGGTTATATTTTTGTAACCTGAGACGTTCCTGGAGGTGTTGTGTGGATGATTTGTCGGGGTGAGTGCATCGACTCTGATGATATATCCAGATGCAGCGAGTGTAGCTCAGAGTAACTTAGGACTGTTATGGTATATGCAGCTGCGTGGTATATATACCCCCGGGGATACCCCTATAGGGGTGGAATAAAGAGACATGAAAAAGAATGTACTTCAGGGACGAAGTAGAAAAGGAAGAAGAAAAGGAATCCAGGAATTGGGAGATTGGGCAGGCTTATATACCCCAAACCCCCCTGGATAATATTCACTTATAGATAGGTATGTCACTGACGTGTCAAAGTCCCAGTGACTGCAGCCGGCCACTGTTACAAGACAGTGACTCAAAAAATCGGGTATATACTTATATCAGTGAATAAAGAAATTCAATACCAAGAAGTAGAGTGTACCAATTATTATGCGAAGAGTGGAGCTTGAACCCTGAAGATACGGGATACAACATGGAATATCCTATACACGCAGCAAAGATCAGTGAAATGAAATACATACCAAAAAAATACATCAAAAACCAAGGTGACAAGCATAGCAAGCAGGGTTAGTAAGATTGTTAGTTCAATAAAGGCCTGCTTAACAACCGAGATTGATATTCCCGTAGTTTCCAATATTACCACTTCCACCGCGTTCATAACACAGCCACAGATGAGACAAGAATGATTTTCCATATCAAAGAAAAGATCAGCGTAGATTCTCAGTCCAGTTCATCCATAGTAGTCACGTCCCCGTCACTATCAGTCTCTCCCCTTAGAGATACTTACTCGAAACCACCATGCTTGTATCCAGCGAAGTAGCACCAGCCACCAACGCCTTTGCTTCCTCCTCCACCATCCCAACCTTCACCCAGCATGGCTCCAGATCAATAAACCCACCATCTGCCAACGCAAAGATGGCGCCCATCACCCAGGCCCGACAGGAAAACTTCTCGGAGTCCCGTATGCTTGAGGACCGCACACACTCGTCTACCGCTGCCAACCACTCGGCGTTGACATCGGGTAGCTCGCCCACCTTGAGCGCAACCAACATGGCCCGGGAGGTAGTAACCTCTGCAGGTTGAATGCTATACTCCCATTCTGCTTCATCGTTGGGCCGGAGCTGCTGCAGAACTGTGCCGGCGGTGGGTGAGTGGGCAATAAGCAGAGCCCAGTGATACTTCTCGTGTTGACCCATTTCACTGAGGGTCAAGTAGATGCCGTTCGGCGAGAGGCGGATGCCATCGTCTGAGAGATTCGAAGTCGAGGAGTTCGGAGTGTCCGTCTCTGGAGTCAAAGATGGAGTCGTAGATGTGGATTGGCAGGTGGATGTTGGCTCCGCCATGGCTCGTTTCTATGTTGATCTTTGCTCTTGCAGGCGGTTTCGTTCCGATCGGTTATCTGGGGGGGAGGGGGTATTTTAGCCTTTCTTGCGCAGCCCTGGGGATGGGTTAGGGCGCTTCTCTATGAGCCCAGCTGGCTCGGCGGCGGGTCAGAAGTTGCCTGCAGAGCGAGATATCGTCATGATCTCAGCAGAGGGACACGAAGATGCAGCTGAAGTTGAGGCGTCGTCGGCGTCGCATTTTGACAGCAGAAAAGTTGGGGGGGTAAAAAAAGAGGGGCACGTGATGGATTTGCACTGTTTGCATTGGTTTTTCTTGCTTATAAATAAGCCTTCGGTATAATATTAATACCCGTCCGTGATTAGTCATGTGATTATATAATTTGGAAGGTATTAATATTTGACCGGAAGTTTATTAATCATCAGGAAAGCTTGTGTAAACAGTGCAAACAAGTCCTCTTCGGGGCTGATAAAAGGCTGGGCTCTTCAATAAAACAAATGGTTGTCTTCATTTGTTGGATTTTCATCTCTCACAAGTTTCGGGTTAAATAGTCAATGGGTTAGGAGAAAGGGAGGCGAACATGGCTCTTCCATCTAGCGAAGTTATCGGCTCCCTGGGACGCCGCTATATCTTCAAACAATTGATCCAGGAAAGACCACATCTCGGCCGCGTTTGGTTGGCAACGTGAGAGTACACCAGCCCTCAATATTATGCTGGACTAACGCATGGGATATTTCAGGTCCGGTCAAGAAAATTTCGTCTTGAAGGACATCCCAGAAGCTATATTTTCCAGTTTTAATGAAGATATCCGACCACGGCTGCGTGAAAGCCCATTTCTACGACTACCCTGTGATACGATTCCAAACCAGCGAACTTTTGTCTACAAATATCTGGATGATGATCTCCTAAGCCTTGTTAGAAAGCAATTACCGGTACAAGCCCGAAAACAAATTTTAAAAGCCAGCTTGAGAGGTATTGCGGAACTACATAGCCACGATATTGTTCACCTAGGTAAATGAATGACGGGTCCTTTTACCTCAGCCGTTCTCATGTCAGTATTAGTGTGAGTCTAACTGAAGATTTTAGATATCAAACCTGACAATATTATGGTTAACTACCGTGGTACTGGTGCAGATATGACCGTTGACCAGGTCCAGATTATTGATCTTGAAAATGCAGCCTATCTTCCCAAGGGGAGATGCATCAAAGGAATGCTTGCTGGTAATGATAACTGGCGAAGCCCTGAAGCCCATCTGAAGGGCGAACTCAATAAGCCATCTGATATATTTTCCTTTGCAGCTGTGGTAAGTCTTCTATTCGAATTAATTATTTACTTAATGGCTAACTTATGATTGCTTAACCAGTGCATCTATGCCATGCTTGGAAAAGTCATTTTTGGTGCTGACGAGGATTTGCGCAAACACGAAGCACAGGGTGCGTTCCCTTACGTTATCCGTTTGCAACGTCAAGTTTCATATTTCGGGGATCGCAAGGGATTCAATGGGCTCATAACACATATTGGAGACGATGAAATCAACTGCCAGGTCCTTGGGTTTTTATGGGACGATCGAGTGGCTGACTACCACCCTTACAAGCCTTTCTCAGAGTGGTCAAATGTCATTGATGATGCCGAGTTCAAGGATATTATCTTAAAGATGACGAACTTGGACCCCCAACAACGGGTGACGGCACATGAGGCATTGGAGCATCCCTGGTTTTCCGGCTCTGAAATTGATTAAATGCGTCAACTTTCCCACATGCGTTCGTTATCCCATGATCTGCTTTCTCTGCTTGTATTAACCTTCCGTAGATTATCTCCCCCTATTTGATTTACTAAATTGTATCTCATTAAAATTAATGCTTTTTATATTTGCTAGCCTTGTTTTCGATTCAATATGAAGATCTCCAGGGTAACTAGTATCCATGGGAAGAGAGGAAGAGTGTGGTTGATGGGGGTGATGGAGCGAGTTTGACGGCGGCGGTCGTGATTCGTCCCATGACTATTTACGCGCCGCAGAGCTAACCAACTAGTTAGTGTCCTCTATCCTCATTGGCGTAGCCAAGATAGTTCTCCGCTTCTCCCTCTTAAGTACTCCGTAGTTATTGCCCTTTTAACGCTTAATATTACGGTTTGGCAGAGCGGTGGGTGAACAATCTACGTAATCGTATTGATCAATCATGTTAGGTACGTAACCCTGATTAGACAAGTGAGCTAAGATAAAGGTCTAGTTAGTTATGTAGATTACCCAAAAAGCTTTTTGATCCCCTTTTCACTAGTTAACAACTTGTTTGCTTGGATATTTATCGAAGTCTGCCACTACACTAAAAGGAGTGAGCCCACACTAATGGTAGGCAGAGCTGAAGTTTGACAATATTTAAGGCTATAGAAGCAGTGATTGCGATAGCCGCTGGTCATCGATTATCATGTACATAGAGCATGGCGCCAATTAACAGTAAAACAGAAACAATCCCCATGTCGAGGACCGGAATGGGGTCACCTTCCTAAGTACGGAGTAACCTAGGTGCATTCTGTGCTTCTAATTGCGCCATCCGCCGCCTCATGACGTATCAAATCCACAACAAGGATCGACTGCTCATTTATAATAGTGTTTGGACGCAACAACCTTTTCGTCCTTGTCAAGCTCGAATACGGTGAAATGCTTCGCAGGATCGTTCTGGCTTGGATGTTCTGCCTCCCTATAAAAGATACTATAAGCGCTGAAAGTTATTGGGAGTAACCTGAGAGTGGGAAGACCTACTTCATAGCCAATGTCACGGTCTCAGGCTTGATAGTATCTTTGTACTTTTCAGCAACTGCAGCAAACTCATTCTGGACTTCCTTTGAAAGAAAGGCCCTTTCCCAAACGTCCGTTTTCGTAACAAACGCAACCCTGATTTGTCGCCCCGCGGAGGTAGTAATATACTTGATGAATTGACAGGCTCTGAACATGGTGGTCTCGGAATTTTCGAAGAGGACGAAAGGTAAGGATAGACTTGGTTTATGTCAAATATGGGAAATCAATAGATGGTGATTTGTATGGAGGACAGGTTGAAGAAGCGGATTTCCCATGGCTGTCAGGATGAGAAAATAAATATATAGCAGTCAAATAGTAGGAGGTGCCAGGATAAGCGCCAGGATTCGAGTCACACATTTGGGGGCCGTGATCCAACATGTAAACCAGCGTCCTTCGACCAAACGGCTTCTTCAACAGGCTGCTCTGCGCCTCAAATGAGAGAATTACGGCGCGGTCCCCTGGTGATGAGACAACCATCCCAGCTAGTTGCATGCGGCCCACATATCGCGTAGGCGGTCTTATCACCTATTAACCAATCAACCCACAAGTGAGGGGACCTGTGACCATCGTATCTCTCAGTGCTTGAAGAAAATGGCTGCCTAGCGACAGGCTATGGCATAAGTGATATACAAAGAGGAGAATGTTAAGGGTATGGGTGACCGGAAAGACCAAATCTCAGTACACTGGAGTATGCCCTCCAAAGATAAGAAAATTCATAAGACTCATGTAGTAAATATTTATGTGTATAGGACGTATAAGGCAGACGAAGGAAGGTGTTTGGCCCAGCCAGAACGGATCCTAAGCCATGTTTGGCTAAGAACATTAAAGAAAGCAGTTTGTGCTGGTGCTCGTGCTGAAGGAGAGAGTAGTCTATAATATAAGCGATAAAATCAAAAGAGCCAAATGAAACGTATGGTTAACAATCTGGGAGAAGGAAAGAGGGAAACTTTTTGATCCATCCACGTAACCCAAAGAGATTAGAAATTCAAATCACACCGTATCGCGCCATGCCTCCCGTCATTCAAAACAATTCAATTCAATTGATCAACTGCGTTAGACACGCGGGGGCCCTTGGCCTAGGGGCGCCTGACCTTGTTGTCCCTGACCTTGACCCCTGGCTATGATGGTAGCGGGATGGACAGAACCCTGCGGGGTCGGGCTCTGGCTGGAGGGACCGGGCTGGCCGTACATCTGGGCTGGTGGACTAGCTGCCCTGAATGGGTTATTTGAATTCTCGTAGTCGTATTGCTGGTATTCGGTAGCGGGTGTATTGGGTGACATGCCTTGACGGCCAGATGGGTTCTGGTTAGGGTTCTGGCTCAGGCGTCTGTGTCCTGTCGAGGGTCCGCGGATAAGATGTTCTTGTGTAACATTTGCTGAGGACGGGGTGCTTTCCATTGGGGGACGGGAGTTAAGGGCGCTGGCGAATGCAGCTTCGGGGTTATGTGGTGAGTGGACGTTGGACGTTGAGTTGCTCGCTGTGGAGCCGCGGTATGTTAGGCCTGAGGCGGAAGTTGCTGCTGCTGCTGCTGCTGCGGCACCTGTACCAGCGCCCGGGCGAGGAGATAGGGGTGCAGGATCCGCAGAGAGGGCCTCGTCCATCTGGTCCGTTGGAATCATGCGTTTGGCTTCCTTGTTGGCGGCATATTCGTCCTTGCTGTGCTGGGCTTGTTCATGGGAGATGGAGACAGAGTACGATGGCTTGGAGATATCGCCGAGAGCGGCATCGCCACCTCCAGGACCGTAGATCGGGATTTTCTTTATAGCTAGGACCAATGCACAGAGGAACTTGGATCGTCTGGTGGCTCGAACCACTTCATTATGCCAGTTGGATTTGTGGTGGATTTCAACCTTGAGCTCAAGTTTGTTCATCTCTCCGAGACCCGAGACTTCGATATCGACATCTGGGCCAAAGTCACGGGCGTTATCCTTGGCCCGGACAAAAGCTTGCATCTCACGTTTGAGAAGCTGTATATCGCCGAAAGAGGTACCAAAGTCGCAGGTTAGCGTGATCTGTTCACGCATGGCCTTGGAGCGAGTGACATTTTCAATCCATTGGGTGTTGAGCACGATATTGGGTACCTGGATGGTCTTGTGGTGCTGAATGTTCCGGAAGACGGTGAACAAAAGAGAGATGTGCTCAACCATGAGCTCATTGTCGTTGATATGGACACGATCACCAACATCGTAAGGATGCTTGACGAATAGGTAAATGCATGAGCCGAGGACCTCCTGGGCAGTGGCAGCGAAAACGAAGGAGAGGGACAAAAGAGCCGTAGCTCCGGCAGCCAAGGTGGTGCCAAACCCCTTGTTTAGGAATGCGACGAAGACGAGAACGACCAAAATGAAGACGACGGCTAAGAGGAGATTGTCAAGGACGTTGATGGCCTGGTCAACATCATGCATGGACTTGCTCATGGACTGTCTCGCCTTGCCGAACTCAGTGACTGTAAGGATCATCTCGTCCAAGCTGATATCGCCATTATCATCTCTGTCGAGAGCAGCCATGCACTCCTCCGCTTCGGCACGGTGGTCTGGCCCAAAGACATCATATAAGTCATCAAGGTACAGAGCATCTCGTCCCTGAAGCACAAACGACATCCACAGGCGGCGAGCCAGGGCCTCAGAAGATTTGCGTTTCTCGAGTGCCAGAATAACAATTGAATGGGCAGAAGTGGAGTTAAAGACCTGCTTTCCTGTAATTTCTTGCGCGACATGGCCGAACGCGGCAGTGATCTTATCACCTACTCGGCCCACGTTCTGGCCGACGTTCTGGATCAAACGCATGGGAGAGGCAGATCCTGAACGGCCATGGCCCTTCTTCTTGCCTGTTATGCCCATGATGGAGTCGTTGATAATGTAATCTTCCATTTCGAACTCCTTGCAATACTCCGGGAACATTTTGCGGGAGGCAGCGTAGAGCATGCTGATCAGATGGACGTTTCGTTTCGACTCTTGGATCTTCGAGTCGAATTGCTTGCGGTGGTAGGAGATTGAAATCAGCTGAACGAGGACCTTTTCGGCAGCCAGAATGAGAGATGAGATGAAACAGGCAAACAAGATATTGTTGACAACCGTCTGCCATGGCTGGATCCGGGGGTCCTTGATATTATCGGGGTTACGAGTCATGACCTAGACACAATAGTATTTAGCATTAGTAGTAGAAGCCGATGTTGACAGGAGAATACGCACTGGAATAAAAGTAGCCAGGGAGGTAATGGCCCATCCGACGAGGGAGAAGGGAATCTCCAACGCCCTGAGGATGAGAGCATATTTCCTGGTCCCTGAGCTGACGATACCGCAGAGGAACTGAAAGACGAACGGCACATAGTGAGCCACGGCCTTTGACACCCACAAACTGAGCCAGACGATCTCAACCCAGGCGAAGAACCAGACGATGCGGACACCACCAATGCTGGCAGTGGGAGCAGCAACGGCACCAACTATGATAGGCACGGCAAAAAGCAAAGCGACGGGCAGGACGTAGATGAAATATCTAGTGACGACGGAGAAATTGAGGATCTTGTTGTAAAATCTCCCCATACGGGTGATGGTCCCGTCTTCGTCTGAGGTGGCCGATCTGTCACCGTAATGGTGGTGGCCGTGAGCTCGACGGCGGCCGCCTATCTGGCGTTCTGCGCCCTCGCCGCCGGCATCACCACCACCACCATCATGATTCTTTTCGAAGTAGTGCTCGCCGTCTTCTGGTTTGCGAGCACCGGTCTGTGACACACTAGGCACGGCCGTCAGAGGGATGTCGATAGTGGCGTCCTTGGACATGCCGCTGCCGTTGGGATTGCCGTTGGAACTGGGATCTGAGTCCGGGAGGATGGTGAACCTGTCGTGGGAGAACCGCTTGCCGATGCCAGGACGGCTGGACATGGGGAATGATTGACAGGAGAAACGCGAGCAAGCAAAGCAAAAGCAGATATACGGCGGGAAAGAAGGAATATATAAATATCTACTTCGATGAACCGGGAATAGATGTAATGAATGTCAGGGTTACTGTGATATCAAACGAGCGAAGGGAAGATCCCGGCAAGAAACAAATGAGCGTGACGATGAACAAGGAACAAAGCAGGTAAAGACTGATCAGCGGAGTTAAAAAACGAGAGAGAGAAAAAGATGGAGATGGAGAAGACGAGAGGAGAGGGAAAAGAAAAGGCCGAGATGAAGAAGAAAAGAAAAGACGGCAGCGAGAGGCGGCGGGTTTCATCTCCACCAGGCCCAGAACAACGCTCCACCGGCTTCGTGGGCATTGAGCATTACGTATCCTTGCGTCCAGAGGGCTGACAGGTCGACATTGGGGAGATGACCGTACGCCGTGCGTCTATAGCAGGGGTAGAATTAGTTACTCTGGTCTTCGGCGAATAGCAGTTAAATTAACTGACTAGCTAGTTGGATTGGACCGAGTTTGAGTCCAACGGCTGATGGATGAAATTGTTCCTGATGAGCCCAGAGATAAAAGTCGAGACAGCCCTTGACGGTCCTTCAGCGTGGCAGCCAGGGCCTCGATGCTATCAAACAGCTCCGTAAAGCCAACCGTGCCCACGATGACCAGCCAGTCCGTCGGGGGCAGCAGACAGACACCCCCCTCGATGTAGCACTTCGGGTGCGTCGAGAAGGCAAACTCCCTCACGGCCGGACAGGTCGAGACCTGCTCATCCTCCCCCAGGGCCACAGGCACCAGTTTCTGCTGCAGGCAGAGCATCGTCTTGGTGACCCATTCCTGGCCGCTGGCGGAGAGCTGTGGGCTTGCGGCTGAGAAGCGGTTGCAGTAGCGGTCTCCATAAGCGAGAGCGTAGCCGTCCGGCCCACAGGGGATCCCTTTCTCGAGACACGCCGAGTAGAAGCTGCACGAATTCGGGGCTGGCGACGAGCATTCATCTGGTTCTTCCCGTCTCGCCAGAGGGCTGATGCAGCAGCGGCCGGTAATGGGACAGCTGGGGTGCCTACAGCTGTCAGTACCCGATTCCAGTCCAACGCCAGAGCCAGAGCGAGGAGACAGATACCATTTGGAGGTTCCGAAGCACCGACCGGCGACCTGGCAGATTCCACGGCCCTGTTGGCGTCGACAGTTAGTCGGTTGTTAGCTGGCGGTGCTGGATGTCGTCGAAGAAGTGTCGTTGACGTCGAGATGTTGGAGTTTTCCTACTTCGGGCGTCTGGCAAGGGACGAGAGGGACGTCGACGGCCGAAGCAGCAGCAGCAGCAGCAGAAACCGTGAACAGCGCGAGAAGAAGAGACTTCATGGTGAAGACGATGGTATATCTATTGTCTATGATCTATTTATTCTCTAGGATAACGGTTTGATGCTCTATGGATGCTCTGTGGCCGGCCTCTCGCTTTATACCCGTCACCAAGGCCAGGCATACGTACTCTACGCCCTCGTCTTCAGCCAGATACGCTCGCTCTTCGTACCAGGAGAGTGAGATATTCTCGTCTTTCGTCTCATCAGGTCCGTTTAGCTCCTGGATGCCTTAATTTCCTAGGGCGCGGATGGCTTACGGGCCGCAGTCAGGCTCAGGGGTAGGGTCGCCACGAACCTCTACCAAACACCCTCCTTTTTTAAACTGACGGTCCGGAGTGGTGATACAGGAGCACTGCTTGCTAACTGCTTCTTCTGCTAGTCAAACGCCGGGGGATAATGATATAATTAGGTCACTTGGACCCCCGGGACCCTGCAATCTGACATCTCAAACACGGCCATGTCGGTGCCAGGAGACACTGCAACTCCGGTCCTCAGCCCTACGGATATTGCCTGCGGCCATTGACCTGATGGTTATTGTCTTGCATTTATCTTGTCCATGGTACTCGGTGTCGGCTGTCGCTGTTGTTGTCCATATCGGGATGGATATGAGATATAAAGATAGAGAGGCATCATGGTCCAGTTGTATAACGCCATCCCATCATTCTCGGCCAACGTCGAGAGATCATCAGGATGCATCCGGCAACTATTCTGCTACTCGCGATCCCTGCCCTAGCCCAGCCCAATGGCCCTGGCTCTAAGTTCAAACGAGACTGCATCGGACCTGACGTCAATGACCAAACCATCGCCCTGATCAAGCACTTCGAAGGGTTCTTTCCTCGTCCTGCTCCAGACCCAATCGGCCTTCCAACAGTCGAGTACGGCCATCTCTGCCGCACAAACGGGTGCTCTGAAGTCCCCTTTTCGTTTCCCCTGACCGAAGAGACGGCTACCGAACTGCTCATGCAGGATGTCAAGGTAAGGACATAGTAGGGCTGCAGAGGTTGAGCTAGCTTCGGAGAATACCGATCAGCCTGCCTTGCCTGTGGGCTGTTAGAACAACCCGATAGGATAGTATTTTTGTGGATGTAGGAGTGGATGTCAATTAATATATATTGGATATCATGCTTATTTCGGTGAAACGAGCTGTGATATTTTTAGTAATTGCGGAGGAGTATCTTGATGGAGGTTGAGTAAGATTAACTTAGCTAAGACTATAGTAGAACTGCTATAGCAATAGTAAGAGGTCGAATATTAATAGTAATAAAATAGACAGTTAATGTGACAAGTGGTATAAGAGGAGCAAAAGTCTTACATATTCAGGGGTAGAGGCTTAACAAGAGTAGTAAGAGCAGGGGTTAACTTATAGCTAAACCGTAGTTAACTGGCCGACCTCAGCCCATCAACTAAGAAGAAGAATAGTAGGGTATACAAGAAGAAAAGACTGCTATCTACCAGTTCGATTTACTCAAAGCGAACGACGTCTGGACAAGGCTTCTCGCCGAACCCTGAGATGCTGTTCTCCTGCACCTGGTTGACATCGTCGTTGGGTGCATTCCACATACGATCCCCAGAGTCCCTAGAGGAAGTCAGCAAATAATGAAAAGAGAATAGACGACGAAGATGAAGACTTATAGGATGAACATACATCATCAGGCCAACATGGTGAATGGTATCTGGGTTTCCACAATCACAGCTTCCGCCGAAGAACACGGCATCTCCCGGCTTACGTTCAGCAAAGGGGTATTTCCTAGTCCATCGTTAGTAACAAGGTAAGCCATCATAAGGAAACATGGAACATACTTATAGCGCAGCTTCTCCTCTGAAGCACAGTACATGGATCTAGTAACTCGCAGGCCTTCGCTGAACAAATCTCGCCCGGTGACCTGGCAGACAGCCCAGCCTATGAGGCCGGAACAGTCGTACCCGATCTCACCGTTCTGCCAGGGAGGCATGTCGTGGGTTGGGCCTTCGCAGCTGCCTCCTCCCCAAGCATACGGTACGCCCGCTGCAGTCAGAGCCTTATCGAGGATCTTCTGGCCGATACTGCCGTCCCCTGGGGGTGGGGGGTCGTTATCGTCTTCTCTCTTGATGCAGCATTGTATGTTATCGCCGCCTGGGCATGGCCACTTCTAGACGGCAGTATTAGCTTTATAACTAGTTCATGGGTAGTAACAGATGTAGACAGATGGATGTCATACTGGGCCGGATCCCTTGTCGAAACGACCGCCTGGACAACCGTTTGAGAGGCTGCGGCAGAACCCATGGCCGGCACCGGTGCTGCACTCATGTTCAACGCAGCATTGGACGTCGGCTGGATCGTTTGGGCAGAGAGCCTGAGAGTATGAGATGCCTTTGCAGGCACTTGTCTGCTGGCATGATCCTTCGCCCTCGGGAGCCGTGCATTTGGATCCAACGGTTCGGGTGAGGAGGGCAGTGCGGGCGGGAGAGGCGCTAACAGCGCTGAGGAGCAGGCTGATCAGGACTGGAGAAAGCTTCATCTTGAAATGTCAAGTATAGTTGAAAGTTGATGGTTATCCAAGTTGTCGTTTTCGAGCTGTAGGTGGTCGAAGGGGGTACTCATATATCTATAGCTGGACGATAAATATAGAAACAATCCCACTGATCAGCACTGCGGCTCGACTTTTGTGATACGACTTGAACTGCCATCGTTTTGACTGTTGCTGGAACCTGATCTCCAAGTGTGTCCGGTCTGGTCTGTCTTTGGCTCTTGTCAGGGCGTACTCCGTACGCAGGGCGGGTAAGAAGGCAGTGCTGGATTTCTCAATACGAGATCGACTTTTTATTCCGCTCCCGCTTGGCTTAGGGATACGAAAGGCACCGTTGCATCAGTACTTGTGGATAACAGCCCTTAAATTATGCTTAAGATGTTGATATAAGCTGGAGTCCTTGTAGTAAGACTTGGGGGAGGGGGTCAGTTAGAAGATGACTGCTCAGGGACCAGAGCGAGAAGCTGGACTGGCGTAAGAAGACACCACTCCTCAGCCTCTGCCTGTATTATCTGCGCATTCTCGGTCTCTTCTAGATCTGATCTTGTCCTTAACTCGGCCCTTGTAATATGTTGATATAGATGGCTCACCATCCCTATCAGGTTGTCAATACCAACAACCAAGTCAACTCAATCGAAATCAATCGATATCAAGCAGGTTAAATCAAGATGAATCTCTGCCGTCACCACGGTGCTGATCAGTAGTTATACTCTCCGTCTCTGTCTGTGAAGACACCCGCCTCCAGGTGTGCAGGCAGGTAACTAGGCAAAAAGGACTGCTGACCCGTCGACGCGACCTGGTCCATCTGCACTAACCTCATCTCCAATGGTATGTATTCTCTTCTCTTGATCTTAGTCGGTATCGGGCATGCTGATAGACTACTAGACGGCCGTCTGTATGTCTCTGGCTGGTCGACCAGCGGCATCTGCGACATCTACAGCTCGTCCAACTGCGAGGGCGTCAGCAACACGGTCGACAAGGACCTTCAACGTCTGGTCTGTCCAGTTAGATGTCCGTCTTTCTGTCTTCTCTGGGTATATCTGGACATTCTGTACCAGGTGTGCATCTCTTCTGTATCTATCCGAGTCGTTTGTTCAATTGATCATCGTCGAGTGTTTAGTTGAGGTTGGATATTCCGCTTTTCCGCCGGCAACTACGGAGTATCACCACCAGATAACTGTCTAATGGACTATAGAACACATAACCAGACCTTTTTGATATAAAATGCAGCCTCCTACTGATTGTATATAGCAGTATATAATGTCTCTTGTCTTCTTCTGCTGCTTCTTTTGTCTCTCAAATATATTGATATCAATAAAGGATCATCTCTACCATCGCAGCAGCCACTGCTACTACTCTATAGATGCTTGCAAGGCATCACTGCTTGGTCTCTGCCAGCATCATCTGAGTCTTCTCGGTCTCTCCTCAATCTGATCTCGTTCTTAAATCGGTCCTTGTAGATATGAAGATAGGGTATAAATGTGCCATCAGGTAGTCAATATCGACAACCAAATCGACTCAAACAACATCGAGCGAGTTGAATCAAGATGAAGCTCTCTGTCTTCTGCCTTTCTTCTCTCTCTCTCTCTCTCTCTCTTCTCTGGGTATCTCGGGTATGTATCTTGTATCAGTCCATTGAGCCTTCGATTGATCGCCAGCCTCCACGGCCACGTCTCTCCACGGACTGTACATAGTTATCGCATCTCCCGTTGGCCGCTGACGTCTCCAGCAGGAAGATCAGCCGCTAATGCAGCGCGAGAGGAGAAAAGGATGCGGAATACGAGGCCAGGCGGCGCGCAAGAAGGCGATCTCGCTGCTCGGCTGGAGAAGCGCTGCCCAACCACCAGCGCCCGCAGCGAGCGAGCAGTAACAGCCGATCGCCTCGCATAGCAATCGCAAGCAAGCAGCAAACATCTTCTGGAGCGTCAGCAGGGGGTCTACATATCAGCCGACTGGAGAGAGCATCCAAAGTACCTCGAAGTACCGCCGGGTCGCCCGCGAGACATCCGGGTTTCATCTTGCGTCGCCGTCGATCGTCTCATCTCCAACCTTCACTTCCTCAACTTCACTTCTGCAACCTCAACTTCTCACATCTTCAACCTCAACTTCCACCTCTCACTCTCATGTCCCCAGCATGGCCTCCCTCTGGCGGCTCCTCGCCCTCGGGCTCAGCCTAGCACTCGCCGCCGCCCAGACGATCACGCCGCTCGACACCCGCGGCCAGCTGCAGGTCGGCAGCCCGCTGTACTCGCTCGACCTCGACCCGGAGCCCTACGACGACCGCGTGAAGCTGCATCTCTACCCGTCGACATCGAACCTCTACGCCCCCGATGACTCTCTCAAGGTGATCTCCTTCTTTTCTTCTTCGTCTTCGTCTTCTGCTGCCGCCGTCGTGCTGCTGTGGTGGTGTTGTGGCGGCGGCAGCGGCGGCGGCGTTGGTGTCGTGTGCCGTCTGCATAGTTCTGTATAGTTATACTGACTGCGGCGCAGGGCCTTCGCATCGTGGGCCGGCTGGTCATCGTGAGCCACAGGAACGTCCAGCGGCTCAAGGAGACGGACATTGCGTATCTCTCCTGCGACCCGGACGACTACCCGGGCAACATCGACCCAAACGACACCCTGGGCTCCCTTCTCGCCGCCTCCCGCCGTCCCGCCGCCATCCTGCTGTACACCACCCACGCCGTGCGCTGCGACTACGAGGCCGACCACGACGAGGACCCGGCCACCACCTACAAGACCATCTTCTCGCTGCGTGACCCGGAGCTCGCCAACGCCCTGCTCACCTCGACCGAGCGCCATAATGCGACCATCTCGACCGCCGGGCCCGTCACGGCCGCCCAGTCGCTGCAGGAAGACCCCCAGCCCTCGCGGCCGCACCAGGGAGACCCGCGCAACAACGGAGTCGAAACCACCCGCAACACCGCCATGATCATCCTCTACACTGTCACCGGCATCATCACCCTCCTGTTTCTAGCAGTCATCGTGACCGGTGCCATCCGTGCGCACCGCCATCCGGATCGCTACGGGCCTCGCAATGTGCCCGGTAGAGCCAGGCAGAGTCGAGCAAAGGGGATTGCCAGGGCCATGCTGGATACGTTGCCCATCGTCAAGTTCGGCGAGGACAGAGAGCAGCGCTCGAAGCAGCATGACGTCGAGCTCGGTGACGATGCCCATCCCCATACCCGGCCAGAGTCTCAGCAACAGAATCCAGAACAGACAGAGGCTGTTGCTAATACAGATGTTGGTGCACCTGCACCAGCACTATCTACAGCGAATGTCCCGGTAGAGCAGCAGCAGCAGCAGCAACCTCGCTCTGCGTCTCCGTCAGGCTCAGCTGCCGGCTCAGCAACTTCTGAGCGAGAACCATCTACTACCTGTCCCATCTGCACGGACGAGTTCGTTCGTGGCCAGGACGTCCGTCTCCTGCCATGCAACCACTCCTTCCACCCAGAGTGCGTCGATCCATGGCTCGTCGACGTCTCCGGCACCTGTCCTCTCTGGTACGTCTACCTCTACATTTTACTTGTGTATGTCTACATATATACTAACAGCCTGATAGCCGAATAAATCTCAACCCGGATGCACAGGAACAGCAACAGCATCACGATACCATCACCGGCATCGAAGGGGACCCTGCCATTGATGCCAGGGAAAGAGACAGGATCAGAAATGCCCGTGCCTCGACGGGAGGTACTTCCACCGAAGCCGGAGGCGACGAGGCCATGCTCCAGCATGCTCGTAATCTACGGTCCAGACACGCAAATGCAGAGGAACGACGACGCAACCGGCTCTCTGCCCGCTTCGTCGAGCGCTTCCGTATACGCACCAGGCCGCACGGGGAGGCCGACGCTCCCCCTGTCCCTGTCCCCAATACCACTACCGCTACCACCGCCAACGCAGGTACAGGTACTACCACAACTACTAACCCGAGTACGGAGCCGAGTACCAACTCAAGTACTTGATCTACCTACCCATTTAACATATCTATTCTCCTTCTTGTTGATTATTTGATGTTTTATTTTCACTGTTACGGCGCATGGTGTTCGGTGTCACCAAAAAAAGCTCTCCTTACCCGGGATGTCTTCGCATGGACGGATCTTACTTTCTTTATTTCTTACCTGTCTACGGCTACTTTTCTTGCATTTATTTATTTGGGACTTTAGCTGGCTGGATACATGGATGACCCACTTGTGTACATATACCTACATCTATCCACGGCTGTACATACTGCTCACAGCTTGAGCAAAGCACATTGCCATCTACACCGAAAAAAGAAAAAAAATACCAGCGATCTGTAGATGAGTTTTGTCTATCCTATTATACACGCATGCATGCTACCAGCTATAATACACTACACTACACCACCGCCTATGTCTTCTTCCAGGGGTACATGACCTCGTCGTCCTTGCGTATCCAGATCTTCGACTTCTTCTTGCTCACCATGTGCTCGACAAACACGTCCTTTGCATAGTTTGCCTTGAACTTGCGGATCCAGCGGGGATCCCACAGCTCGCTCGCAACCCCGAGGTCCTTGCAGCATCTCATCATCGCGTTGGACTTGCACCCTTCCGTGGCAGTAGGTATGCCGTCTGGACTGAAGTAGTCTTGCTCACCGCGGGATACAGATACAAGCCTGCAGCTTGTCAGTATCATTCATCACCAGTAGATATAATGGAAGGATGTCAGACTTACCGTCCATGGGCGACAAGAGCGTATTCTCTTGTTACTGTCTTGCCTGTAACTATGCTCTCACTGCGCGGTACAAGACCCCACCCGCCTGGCCCAAACGCCTTGTTGAGTATACGCCTGTACTTGATTTCAGGCAAGTACACTATCCCATCAGGCTTGATCTCGACATCGTCTGGATCAACAGGTGCAAGCAGGACCGCAGCAGCTTCCTTTGAGAACGGCTCGGCGCTTAAGCCGTGGTATGAGCGAGTCCAGTCGACGTGGCCATTGGGCACGTTTGCGGGCTCCAGCACGAGATCTGGAGGGGCATCTGCAAGGCCTGTCTTGGTGATGTTCTGTATCGGGTGGGAGGTCGGTGTTGTCGTGAATGCCGGGGGTGAGGATGTGTCTGAAGATGAAGCTGGAGTTGCGGGTGTCGAGGAGGCGGGTTTAGGAGCTGAGCTTGACGAAGCCGGTGAAGAAGAGGACGGGGAGGACGACGGGGCCTTATTGTAGCTGTTGTATGTCCTCCTGGGGTAGTTACTAGAGGTGCTTCGAGTGTATGTTGTTGTTGGCTTTGAAGCTGCTGTTGACGCCGGCTTGGAGGAAGACGATATCAGGCGCGAGGCCGGCGAGCTCACCGCGAGGCTCGAGTATGTCGATGGACGAGACACGCTGGCCCAGCTCACCCTGCGCATCGCCCGTGAAGCCATATTTCTTCCTTCTTCCTTATTCCTTCGTTAATGTCCTTTTTGGCTGGCGTTCAAGTTGGCGTTTGAGGCCGAAGAAGAGAAAAAGCTGGAGATCCCGTGATCGATTGGTTGATATTGATAATAATAATACAGGCAGTAGGAAGACAGGAAAAGAGAGATAGAGTACAGCCCAGAGAGCAGAGAGCAGAGAGAAGAGAGAATATAGCCGGTACAAGAGGAAGAGACAGGTCTAAGCATCGCGAGTCTCGGTTCGCTGGTCGTTGCCGTGGCGCTTCCAGCACTCCCGGAAGGCCTGCATCTGTAGACAAAAACCGCCGTCAGCATCACCGTCAACAACCAGAAACGCCGTAAAGACAGACATCGCAGCCTCAGATCCAGCGTGCCGGCAGGAGAAGAACCCTCCGCTGGCCGCAGCTGCGTTGCTCGGTGGCCTTCCGGGCTGCAAAGAAGCAATATAAAAACATCCCCCTCAGAGACACTGGAAAGGAAGAGACACACCTCCTTGCTGCACGCCCGCCAGTCCCTCTTTGCGTAGTAACAGTCGTTCATCTTCAGCTGCTCGTCTGGTCTCTGTCAGTGCCACTGTTGTCAATATCTATCGCGGTCCACAGGGCGTTTCTACCTGCGCAGCCGGTGCTGAAGATTCGCTTGTCCCTGTGCGGGTCAGCCAGAAGAAACACCACAACACAGTGAAGTCGATGCAGACAAAGGATAAATAGAGGATAAATACCAGTCATCAGGCTCGTCGTCGTCGACTTGGACCGTCTGCGGCCGCTTCTCCGTCCCGGACATCGTGGTGGCCCTGTCTGTCGTGCGCTGCGGCTGCTCGGGCAGAGGCAGAAGAAGATGGAGACGAAGAACTCCTCCAAGAGACTCAACGTCCTGGTATATTCCGGTGCGCAAACCTACCCTGACTGGCGAGAAAACATTCTGACGGCGCCTCCAGGCAATGGCACGACCGTGGACTCCGTGCGGCAGTGTCTGTACACCTTGCGCCGCATCCTGTCGCCCAACTACGCCGTCATCCCCGTCACCGGCGAGATGGTTGTCGGCGAGCCCTGGACCGCCTCCTGCGCCCTCTTCGTGATGCCCGGCGGAGCTGACCTGCCGTACTGCAGGACCCTGAACGGCGAAGGGAACCGGCGCATCAAGCAGTTCGTCCAGCGCGGCGGCAGCTATCTCGGCCTCTGCGCGGGCGGCTACTACGGCAGCGCGCGGTGCGAGTTCGAGGTCGGCAACAAGAAGCTCGAGGTCGTCGGAGACAGAGAGCTGGCCTTCTTCCCGGGCATAGCAAGAGGATGTGCCTTTGCCGGCTTCGTCTATCACTCGGAAGAAGGGGCCAGGGCGGCGGAGCTGCAGGTCTCGCGGTCTGCGCTGCCCGTGGGGAGCGTCCCGGATACCTTCAAGTGCTACTACAACGGCGGCGGCGTCTTCGTCGATGCGCCCAAGTACGCCGACCAGGGGGTAGAAGTGCTTGCCAGCTACACGGAGAAGCTACATGTTGACCCGGGCGAGGGCCAGGCGGCCGTTGTCTACTGTCCGGTGGGAGACGGTGCGGCCATCTTGACTGGGCCTCATCCAGAGTGAGCTATACCTTTACCATTTCTGAGACGACAATACAATTTCGATATGGTGATATATTTTTGGCTAACGAGGGTAGATTCTCTGCTGCGAACCTGGACCGAGACGAGGCTTCGGCCCCTGACTATTCCTCTGTCGTGGATCTGCTGGCCAGAGACGACAAGTTCCGGACGGACTTTCTGAAGGCATGTCTGGCCAAACTCGGTCTCCAGATCAACCAGGATACAGCTACGGTACCGTCCCTCTCTCAGATCCATCTCTCTGCCCTCGAGCCAGGCGCTGCTCTGCAGGTTCTGTCCTCTCTGGACGATGTCGTCACCACAGAGGATGGCGAGGACTACATCAAGGATGATAATGATACCTTCATCCTCGAGAAGCGGCCGTCCTCCATGAAGATGAACAAGGTTGCAGAGGCACTGCCAGAAAGCTCAAGCACTCCGTCGACCACGACTGAGGCTGCTGCTACTGACGTTGAGGACAGAATAGTCGATTATAACGCCGTCGTCAAGCGGCTGGTGGTTAACGACGAGCTACCAGATACCAAGACGACCCCTTACTTCAACCACCATGCCTTTTACTCGAACCTGAGGGAGTATAGACACCAGTCGAAAGAGGACTCCCGGGCCTTTGGCTCGCATATGCTATATGGTGAAGTCGTTACCAGTACCAATACCATTTTAGAAAAGTGAGCAGATCAGCCAAACCCCCAACACAGCTTCATGGTGTGACTAACAGGGATGAAGAAACTCCCGTCTACTACGAAGACTACCCAACGGCACCACGGCCACGGCTACCGTCCAGGTTGCCGGTCGTGGCCGTGGTTCGAATGTCTGGGTCTCTCCGCCAGGCCAGCTCATGTTCTCCGTCTGCGTTCACCACCCAGTCGACAAGCTCATGTCTGCGCCTGTAGTCTTCATCCAGTATCTCGTTGCCATGGCAATTGTCCAGGGCGTCAAGACCTATGATAAGGGTTACGACACCTTACCAATAAAATTAAAATGGCCAAACGATATATGTATGTCATCAAACAATCAATCATTTTTTTTAGCATATACCCTGCTAACCAGCATTTACAGACGCCCTGGATCCATCTGATCCAACCTGCAAAACATACACCAAAATAGGCGGCATCCTCGTCAACGCCCACTATTCATCAAGCGAATACATCGCCGTGGTAGGCGCAGGCCTCAACGCTCTAAACCCAGCCCCCACAACATCCCTAAACGCCCTCCTACAAACCTTCAAAACGACATCAAACCCAGAACCTCCGTCTCTGGAAAAACTCCTAGCCCGTATCCTTACCACCTTCGAAGAGTTGTATGCCCGCTTCCTCCGCACTGGCTTCGACAAGGAGTTTGAAGACATGTATTACTCCAACTGGCTTCATATGGACCAGATTGTCACGTTAGAGGCCGAGGGCGGAGTGCGTGCAAAGATCAAGGGTATCACGAGGGACTATGGACTTCTGATTGCTGAGGAGTTGGGATGGGAGGACCGGCCAACGGGGAAGGTCTGGCAGTTGCAAAGTGATAGTAACAGCTTTGATTTCTTCAAGGGGCTGTTGAAAAGGAAGATGTAATGCTTTGGTAGCATTAGGAGAAAAATCATTTGATAGAAACTCCGTAGATATATATATGTATACCGAATAACGCTCAAAACGCCTAGAGTCATGCAGGTTCATTCATATACAGTTATACCAATAAAGCCAGCCCAGTCTATAAATGGGCCTTTGCCTGTGTCTCTCACTCTCCAGCTCTAGATAGAAATCAGCATTAAAACAGCCCAGACACAGTCAAAAAGCGAAGTAACCCTACCGTTCAACCACAAACTCAAATTCCCTGTCTCCCTCCCCAACTGGAATCTTCCTCGCATCATCCCCATAAAGCGTGCGTTCAAAAAACTTCACCCGCCCTGACTCCTCAACCAAAATAACAGTCTGCTTCTGCGTCCCGTACATCCCCTTCAGATACAACGTATGTGCCTCCGCACCATGCGAAACAACAGCATCCACTCCCTCATCCGGATCTCCAACTGCAGGTATGAAGATACTCTCACTTAAAAACGGTATATATTCCTCCAACGTGGCACGATCATGTAATCTCGGCAGCGTATCCGTGCTCAACACGCCCAGTAACCGCTCAATAAGCTCCGATTCACTCTCCTGTTTGGCATAGCTCTTCTGCAGCGCTTCCTTCACCAGCCTCTCGCCCTCCAGAATTTTCGGCCATGACCGATCCCCAAACGCCGTATTGCTTAGCCCAACCGTCTGGTTCCGCCCCGTAGCTATCCAGGGTATTTCATCGCCCGCCGAAGCACGGTTGGATACTATACCCAACGGCCCCATTACATCGCCACATGCAAGACTGAATCCGCCGGCCGCCTGTCCCTCGCCCCCGGCAACAAGCTCCTCGATGTACTGCTGGGCCGTCATGGGGCTGTCTGGCGGCAGCACAAGGAAGCCATTGATAATGGATCCTCTGCTGCGGAGACCAACGACGGACTCGGGGGTATTTTCTCTGTAGTTTGTAAGAACGGCCAGGCGGCCTTGTTTGGTCACTCCCATCCATGTCCCGTGGACTTCTCTGGCGAGGTCCCGCGAGCCTAAGACATGGGAGTTTGGTTCTGCCCACCAGTCTGCGGCTGATGTTGGGCGTCGGAGGTATTCCTGGGTACATGTTAGTTGGCGATTCTTTGATGTATGTATGAGTTGGGTGGGTACGGGGAATGTACGTCTCTGTTGTTGATGAGGATCAGACGATAGCCCGGATGAGCGGTCGAGATCAGAGCTATGCACATGATATACTATAGCACTGGGGTATTTATCTCCACCTGGTAAGAATAGGGATATATAGTCGCTGCTATAGGGAGCCGGTCGGTGTTGATGGTGTTAGCTATGAGGTTTGTCTGCGGATGCGAAACTTCGAGGCTTTAAATAGTTGGCGCAGGCGAGGCTTCGGACCCACTTTTTGCATTTAAGGTTGTCGGACCACTCTAAAACATCGTCACCTGTAACTTGCATATCCAACACGGTACTTATAGTTTGGAGTGACTATACTCTATCATGAAGATGGCAAGGGATATAGCCACGGGTGTGCGAGTTCATGCTGGTTATTTTGTAGAGTAGTATCTGGAGTATCCAACGAGGTACCTGGACAAGGTAAGATCGCTTGTTAGCCGACTAGAATACAGCTGATATACCCCAGGTAGCCTCATCTAGCGGTGTAGCGAGATTCCTATTCGTGAAATAACAGAAGACGTGGCATCTCGCTAGACGGACAACCAACCGTGTAACCAAGCAAGGAAAGTTATTGGTTAGTGGTAAAGGAAATTTAACGACGAGAGAGAAGATATATTAAACAAAGTGTATTAAATAAACATGCGGTATCATCCAAACAAATATGAAGATCGCCTTTTTTTAGTTTCCATCCATATATGATATGATAGCACAGATCTAAACTGTAGATACTGGACGTCTACACCTTAACAGCCGCAGCATCGGCGCCCGAGCTCTCATCGTCAGACGAATCCTTGTCCGCAAACGCAAGACTCTGCTCTTTTCCAAGCACAGGATCACGCAGCACGAGAGAGAAGGCAATCAGTAGCACCGAGAGACATATTCCGGCAATACACAGCAAGCGCTGGACATGCTTGTATGCTTCGACGGCATGGTCTCGGTCAGGGGTGCCGATGGGGTTGGCGGTGGCAAAGGGGAATGGATCACTGTATATTTCTGCCGCGAGGGTCTGGTTGGATATGCGCTGCATCAAAGCCTGGGGGAGGATTTGGTTCCATATCGAGCCTGAGATAGTGTTTCCTAGGGCTGAGCCGATGTTATACGAGGCCAGGAACAGACCAGTGATGACGGCGACGTCTGTGACATGTTAGTTGTGGGCTGGTATAGCTGATATCGGTGGAGTGCATGACTTACGTTCGTGCTTGGTAGCGGCTTGGATGGATGTTTGGGCAGGATACGGGAACATACCACCGGCTAGGTGGATGTTAGCTGATGTATAGTACATAATGGCATAATAGGTTGGGTACACTTACCGATTCCAAGCAAGACTTGAGCGCCGATGACACCTGCATGGCTGGAATAGCCTGATCCACCACGGTAGTAAATCAAAAGGCCAAAAGCAACCAGGAACAGCACCGTTCCAGCAACGATGATAAGCTTGAGTCGTCGGAAGAAGTAAACGAAGACACCCATAGCAACACCCGTGATGACGGAAGCAAAGCTGTAAATGGAGGTGATGCGGGTAGCGCTCTTGATGGACTCGTTGAACGCAACCACCAGCACGGTATAAAGGAAATCTCCCTGCATGTACCATGCGGTGTTAAGCATAATGGCGATTCCAAGCGCGCCCCACACACCACGGTCTTTAAGCAGCTATAAAGCATACAAGTTAGCCAAGGGTACCTTCGGCTCAAATTCGAGATGGTAGATAGACGTACTCTGAAAGGAACCATGGGATGCAAGCAGGTAGACTCCCAGTAGAGCCAGACGGGGATAAGCAAGATGCCAATGACGAGCGGTGCGATGACCTTTGCGGTCTTCCATTGCGTTTCGACACCACCTGCGATGGTGAATGGGACGAGAATCAAGGCGAACACGCCTAGTAGCAGGATGACTCCGACGATGTCAAGTTGCCAGAACATGGCGGTGACGATCTTCTTGCCGCCGTAGATCTGGAAGGGGGTCTTGTAGCTGTCTAGGGCACCGGCTTTCTTTGCGCGGCGCTGGACAATGTACAGGATTGTGATGGCGGGTATGGCGCTGACGGGGTATATGATTGCCCACATGCCGATACCCCATTGCCATGTTGAGTGAGTGATGACGGCGTTGGTGATGTCTCCACTGACCCAGGTGTTGATCTAGAGGGGAGTTAATATGGGTCTTGGATTGGGGTAAAAAGGTGAAGAAGACTTACGAGGAAAGGCGTTGCTGGGATGTAGGAGAAGAAGAGACGGGTTTGAAGCGAGGTCACGTCTGCGATGAGGACTTCAACCAGGAGTAAGATCGATGTATAGCCGATCTATACGGTGTTAGTAGATGTATCATGGGGGAAGCAAGCTATAACTCACTTGGTACAGCACTGCACCGGCACAGAACGCCTTGACGCCGTCTGAAGTAGCCTCCACAATGGTTCCTGCAGTAGCACGTTAGTATGTAATCCTAGAGTTAAATATGTAATACCGATGTCCAACGTACCAATAACGTAGAAGACAATGGTGAACAAGATGACTTCCGCTCTGCCAAAGACATCCGCCATTTTAGCGGCGGTGGGTTGAGCAGCAGCCGCAATGACGGCACGCAGGACATTGACGGTGGCCAGCAGACTGTGCGAACTATACGACGCAGTCGCATATGTCTGTACTCATGAAGTATTTAGCATTATCGTGAAGTGTTAGATAGACATCGACGACGTGAAACTGACCTGGAATGTAAACCGCAGCGTGCCATCAAGACCATAAGCATAAGCAAGCAGGAAGATGCCGATGAAGAGAATAATGCGGTCCACGAGCGTCATATGCGAGGAAATGACCTCAACACGCAGCACGCCGGGGCTCTTCTTGCCCAGTATCACCGGCTGCCCATCAGCAGCGGGCACATGGCCGTTACTCTGCTGCGTCTTGTAATCGGGCGGGGCATCAGCAGGCGCGGCGATCTTCTCCTCGACTTCTACGGCCATGTCTTCAACTCAGGCCCCCAGCTCACGCGACTCAATTGAAAACATACAAGCACAGGAAGTAAAAAATGGTAGACGTCGAAAAACCAGGGTCGTTCTCAACGGCGAGAAGGGAGAGGGAGAAACTGGGTCTTTTAAATAATAACCGCAGCAGCTCCATAACTAACTACCCGGAGGGCCCCTTGCGCCCACTGCAAGGGTCCTCATCTAATCAATCAGTGAAATCAGCCAGCTTTAGCTCGAGCAGTTCCGTCCTCTTCCACGAGTTCCAGCCAATGACACAGCCGCGAGGGGCGAAATAGGCTTTGAAGCAAGGAAAATTTTTCTCGCGCATGTTCGTTATCAGATTGATAATCTCTTGTCTTGTCTAATCTGATCGCGGCTAGGTTTGAAGCCATGCCTGTTTCGGCAAGAAGGTGGGGTCAGCACAAGAAGCGAAGCGAGATTGATACATCTTCTTTACGGACGACGGAGCTTTTCTCTGCGTTGTTCTGTGATAAGAGAACGTGGTGATGAAAGAAGAACGTGAGAGGAGGGAAGAAGACAGGTAGGTAGGTAGTATCTGGCTGTGGCGGTGGGATAGATGGACATGAAAACTGGGCGTTAAGTTGACTGTCTTGCTGGTTTTGCTCGTTGTACAAGAAAAGGAGAGATCATGTCATGGATGTAACTACTCGGCCGGGGAAACAGAGCCGGGCAAAGCCGGAGCAACAAGCAGCCTCTTTTTTGACCTGACCCGTGAGAACGGGAGGCATCCACCTGCTGGACTCGCTTGGGTAACTGTACAGTGCTACTTCATTCGCTGGGGGTGCACGGCCGGGGGATGACAGGTTCGTTTCCGCATGGCGTGGCATATCGTGGCACGGCATGGCATGAAGATAACGAACGACTTATGGTGTCTCGGAGGATGAGTCTCCAGGAAGATGGACAGTGACTTGACAATGGAAATTCAACAGGAGACAAAAAGGGAGAGAGTGTGTGGGTTGACTGGAGAGTAAACTGAGAGGGGGTATTGATAGCTCAACCGGACATCCCACAAGAGGCAGCACTTGTGGAAGTACTGAAGTACTCCGTGACATGCGGCTGGTTACACCGGAGCATGCAGGAGGCAGCAGGGAAGAGACGAAACGGCCTGTCAAGACAAGAACCGCGGGAAGGCTCCGTCCGTTTGTGATGAGTAATGATCACCTGATAATTATCGCAAAAGATACAGCCCCCGTGATTGTGCCGACCTTACTAAGCAGCGAGATACCAAACTTGGTAAAGTCGAGGGGATAAATACGCTTACTCATCATGGTACCTACTATAACCAAACTTACCATCTCCATCCAATAAGACAAGGGTATCTCTGTATGTATCTTACCGGCACGTTTATTCTTCCATCTCCGCAAAAACGCCTGGCCGTCTTACCTAAGCACCCCAATCTCCCTTCCCCACCTGACCAAACCCCAAAAAAAGAAGCAAAAGAAGCAAAAAAAAAAAAAAGAAAGAAAAAAGTGGCTTCGAAGTTCTCCATCTGCAACCAACAAAAAATCTCCATCGACATCCCGAAAGACAAATAGAAAAGCAAAACAGGGGGTTGTTTGTATGTGTGAATGTTTGTTGCGAACCTTTGCTTTTTTTGTTCCCGCTAACTTTTTATTCTCTTATTTTATTTTTCTCGGTCGCCTTAAGTTGTTCCGCCAATAAGAGCCAAAAATAGCTTAATATCTGCTCCGGAGTCATGCACAGCCTGCATCCCTGTTGGTGGGAAAGTGGAAATTAATTTCATGGAATAATGGTAAGTATTATACCGCTTAAATTAGTCCAGTTTCGATGCGAGGAGCACGAGGAGCCCGAAAAAAAAATAAAATAAAATAAAACTCTGGCTATCTTGAGATTGCAGAAGCTAGGCTAGGCTAGGCTTGGATGGATACCTGGGCCTTTTTATTTTTCCTCTGCTGGAGACGAGGAGAGACGGGGCTAGGCTGGACGAGAAGATGTCACCACCCAGCAGTTATTGGTTGTTGTTGGGCGTGAGTTGCGGCAATAGATGGGGAAGATAAGAGAGGGAAAAGTGGTAGAAAGCGACAAAAAGTGGATAAGAGATAAAGAGTAAATAACTCCGTAAAGTGTTGGTTGGAAAAACACCGCGGATGACCGAGCAGTGTTTATATATATATATATATATATATTTATGGGTGTGTGTGAGAGTGTGAAGGATGCAACAGGCATGCGATGGAGGGCTGGCTGACAGGTTACAGGTTACAGGTTACATGGTGCTTGTACGCTGGTCCTGGTGCTACCCAGCGAGGGTGCAGTGGAAAGTCAGTACTATAAGCAGTGCTCCGTCGTGGTGCAGGAAGCGGTTATGCTTAGTGGTGGTGGAGTCAGCAAGGTGCACTGCATCGGGCGTGCGAGAGTCGTCTATTTTTACCCGTTCGCGGCGAGACGCCCGAGGGTTTGGTAGGCGTTGGGAGGGTGGAAACACTGGAGGAGTTAGTGACTGTTGGCAGGAAGCAGGTTGATTATTACATTGCTGTTAGTGATCAGAGTGAGCCAGCAGTTAGAGAGCAAAAGAGGCGTCGTGCGGCGTTCTCCGGGCACATGCTGGAGTTGGCCTTGCCTGGTGGTCGACAGAGCAGCAGCGCTGGCCGCCCGTCGCCTGTGAGCTGATGCCATCGCCGACTCTGACTGGACGGGGGAGGGAGGACGGGGGGCGCAGGGCCTTCTTCCATGGCTTCCACTGGCCTTCTGACGCAGGCGAACCGGCATCATCGCATCATCGTATCAACGCCATCGCTCGCATCATCATCGACGTCCAGTGCAGGCCAGGCTCTTCCGAGTAAGCACGCACACGACTTGCGCGGAGATATTAGTATTCACCACCATAATTATTATTGTGGACGGGGCTGCCTATCACCCAGACCACATCCAGGTCGGTCGACGAACGGAGTGAAAAAGCGAAAAGTGACGGGTCGTCCGAGGCAGACAAGCAGCGACGCACCGGCAGCAAAGGACAAGCACAAGGCGCCAAGCCAAGCGGCCGGCTGGAGCTTGGTGCGAGCTTGTTGCCTCGAGGCGGGGCGGCTTGGCGCGTCAATCAGCAGCGGGAGGACGAGCACGCGGTTGAAGGCAGCGCTGTGATTGGCGCGGCAGCCCATGGCGGGTGAGGGTCTTGCCAAGGCGCGCCAAGCGGGAAAGAGCCGGGGGGGGCGGTGGTCGATAAGGCAGAAAGAGGAAAGGGCGAAAAGGCAGAAGGGGGAAGGAGCGCAGGGGGTCGAGGGCAACTGCGTGCTCAAAGGAGGAAACTGCTGCTTGCGCTCCCACGTGGGATGCGCCTTGGACGGAGCCCTCGCGAAGTTTAGAACAGTCAGCAGAAAAGCCAGAAAAGCCAGAAAAAGTCAGAAAAGTCAGCGAGAGGTCGAGCTAGTTAAAGTGACTTCGCCGCGAGGTTAAAAAGACGTCGACTGCCGTTTCACCTTCCTCTGCCTCTCTCTCTCTCTCTCTCTCTCTGTCTCATCCTCGCCCTCGCCCTCTATCTCCCGCCATCTCTCCCTCGCTCGAGCTCGCTCTCTCGATCTCTCGATCTTCCCCCCCCTGCTTCCTCCAGCAAAGCAGCGACCGAGAGAAACACCGCCATCATGCTCGACCAGTACACCTACATCTTCGCCATTGGCACCATGTTTGCCATGCTTGACGCCTTCAACAACGGCGCCAGTAAGTTGAATCCATCTATCAATCTGTAGTAATAGATGACAGCGACTGACTGAGATAGACGACGTGGCAAACTCGTGGGCGACCAGTGTCTCCTCGCGCTCCATCTCCTACCGCCAGGCCATGATCTTCGGCACCGTCTTCGAGCTGCTCGGAGCCATCACCGTCGGCGCCCGAACGGCTGAAACCATCAAGAACGGCATCATCCCCAACTCCGCCTTCCAGGGCAACGCGGGCGTCCAGATGCTCGCCTTCACCATCGCCCTCGTCGGCGCCTCCTCCTGGGTCATGTGGTGCACCCGTCACTCCGCCCACGTCTCCTCGACCTACTCGCTCATCTCCTCCGTTGCTGGTGTTGGCGTGGCCACCGTCGGCGCATCCAAGGTCCAGTGGGGTTGGAACAACGGCAAGGGTCTCGGTGCCATCTTCGCCGGCCTGGGAATGGCTCCCGCCATCTCGGCTGGTTTCGCTGCCTCCATCTTCATGCTCATCAAGCTGGTCGTCCACATGCGCAAGGACCCCGTTCCCTGGGCTGTCTACACCTCGCCCTTCTTCTTCCTGATTGCCGGAACCATCTGTACTCTGTCCATCGTGTACAAGGGATCCCCCAATCTCGGTCTCGGCAAGAAGCCCGCCTGGTACATTGCTGCTGTCACCATGGGAACCGCCGGCGGTGTCTGCCTGCTCGCTGCTCTCTTCTTCGTCCCCTACGTCCACGCCAAGGTCATCAAGAAGGACGCCTCCGTCAAGTGGTATCATGCCTTCATGGGCCCGCTCCTCTTCAAGCGTGCTCCCGTCGCCCCTGCTGACCGTGCTGCCGTCCCCAACTATGCCGTCGTCCAGCACGACCCCGATCTCGACGAGACCCCGGCCGGCGGTGATGCCATGGCCAAGGCTGAGAACGGCTCCAGCACCCCCGACGACAAGGAACAGAAGCTCGCCTCCATCGACGCTCCTCCGCTCACCCAGAAGGAACTCAATGCTCAGGGTGACGCCCGTCTCAACGCCAAGCTCCGCAAGAAGCGTGGTCCTCTCGGCTGGGCTCTTCGCACTCTCCACGACAACCCCATGGGTCCCGGCCAGATCTACGAGATCCACAACATCAAGATCATCCTCAAGCGTATCCCTGCCACCATCGTCGCCGGTCTCCTGTACGGTATGCACTACGACATCCACGCCGCCCAGACTGGTATCGCCGGCACCCCTGAGGGTTCCCGCATGGCCCGTGTCTATGACGCTGCCGAGAAGTACCCCAACGAAGTCGAGCACACCTACTCCTTCGTCCAGGTCCTGACTGCCTGTACCGCCTCTTTCGCCCACGGAGCCAACGATATCGGAAACTCCGTTGGTCCCTGGGCCGTCATCTACGGTGCCTGGTCCACCGGTGATGCCGCCAAGGCCAAGGCCCCCGTCCCCGTCTGGCAGCTCGCTGTTCTCGCCCTCACCATCTCCTTCGGTCTCATCACCTACGGCTACAACATCATGAAGGTCATGGGTAACAAGCTCACCTACCACTCCCCATCCCGTGGCTCCTCCATGGAAATGGGTGCCGCCATCTGTGTTCTCGTCTTCTCCCAGTACTCCCTGCCCGTCTCCACCAGTATGTGCATCACCGGTGCCACCGTCGGTGTCGGTCTCTGCAACGGCACCTTCAGAGCCGTCAACTGGCAGCGAGTAGGCCTCTTGCTGCTTGCCTGGATCATGACCATCCCCGTCGCTGGAACCATCGGTGGTGTCCTCATGGGCCTCTTCCTTAACGCCCCTCACTTCTAAACGCCATCCCCCTCTCTATCTCTTTATTTCTCTTGTATTTTCATTTGCATCTTTTTCTTCATCTTTTCTCAACTGGCTTGATGACTTGACTCGTTGCGCGCCCGACCACATCCGGACATCTCATCTGAAATTTTCCCCAACCGCCTTTCCTTTCTCATCTTGTAATAAAAACGCCCTGAACGCGACCCGTCATAAGATACCACCTCTACCTAACCTACCATTATCTAATAAAAACATCAAACGATTTCTTCTTTGACTTCGTTCTCATCGTCTTCTTTCCCTATACTCCGTCAGTATCATTCAAGCAAAACAACATCCATGCATGTCTTCAGTGTAAACAAGCTTCGTACTCGCCTATTCCACCCATGAGGCCAAGCCATCAAACACCTCAAATCACACTGCATCAAGATATGTACTACCAGACAAACATATTGAAGTACCCATTTTTGCAAACTCCGCATCTCGGGTAAGATCAGACAGTGGAGCGCAGACGCAAAGTAAACAGTCCCCTGCCATGTCATATCGCATCTTGCATGCATAAGTTTTTCGGTTTCGTCTCCATGCTCATGCTGCATTCCCACTCTTTTCCCGCCCCTCTTACCCGCCATGCCTGTCCCTGCACCCTACTTAAGTTGCCAAAAACTCAACTTAAGCTTTTACTCCCTTTCTCTCGTCATTCTCGCTTTTCTCCTGCGAAACAGGGTATATGTGCACGCGACGACCAAGTCTGTTCTGACATGGGACGGCATTTTGGTACGCACCGGTTCGTTCGTGTCCATTTCGGTAGTTCGGTTGGAACATGGTGGTTGGCGCGGTAAGCGAGAAATTACTTCCCCCCCTGCTCCTGGCTCGCTTTTGTCTGGACTAGGCGACGGTTGGTGTGGTGCATCGTGGTTTCGGCTTGGCTCCTCTTGAGCCAGGAACATGTGTGTATTCTGCGGTCGTCGGGTTGAAGGAGATGTATATCTGGGGTTTGATGATGTCCGCCTTCGTCGAGGCGGAGAAGGTGATGTCGAAATAAACTTGGGCTTGTCACGTCGATCTTCTGTTAAAGCGGGGCAAGGTGGAAGGTGATTGGTTGGATGATTAGTCATCGTGCGGAAGTATTGTTACATTTCTATCCCTACGTTGGACAAGCATGAGGGCGAATATATATATTTGATAAATTTGATAAATAGAGTCTTTGAGAAATACAAGAGGCGCGTGGGGTCCTGGCAAAATATCAAGACGGCTGTGTTACACTTGACACGTTAAGGCCTACTCCCTTTCAGCCATTTTCGTTGACTGTCTCCTGGGGTTACCGCTGGTTAGCCCCTTGTAAGACTTCCTACGGGCTATGGGCACGTATGGCTATCTTTGGTGGATAGAATGAGGTTGATTCTCTATCTACGGTTGAAGCTAGCCCTCCTTTCTACATACATGCCCCACCTAACTGTGGTACTACCTTAGGTACTGTGGTAACAACCACCTCACTTTCCAAAGTCCGTAACACTCCTACTCTGGTATATTGGGGCAAATCCACCTACATGACCTCTCGTTATCCTTGTGTTAGTATGGGGATGCCGCAACCCCCCTAGTGCAATTCGCCGCGGGTTAATCATCTGGAACCCACTTGAGTATCAGTTAGTATATATTTCATATCCCAGTGTGCTGTTGCTTCTGTTATTGTTTGCTGCAAGTTCGAGCCTTCTTTCCATACTTATAGAGTAAAACTCTAACATGGTAATTAAACAGCCAAATACTCGGAATGCTGGTTAGCTGTAATATGGTTGGAATTTGTGGGAAAGAATAAGCCTTGGAACACGCAGGTTTAGAGGTGCCATCGAGGTACATCGGTCGGAAATATCGTTATCCACTAGATAAGGAAGGAGAAGCCAGGCTGAGAAGACGCGGGATGGTACGGGATTGGAGTATCTGGTAAGTGATATGCTACCATATGTTGGGGCGATGTCAGCGGCATGAAGTTATCCTTATGTGCCATCGTAGACGTCAAGTCAGACGGGCCATCGGCATCAGAGGGACAAGCAGTTGGTTTATGATCTGGCCAGGCGTAGTGTTAAAGAGGCTCTCGAGCTATGAAGATTGCTTTAGTTGCTCTGTGGGTATCAAAGCTTCCGAGGTAGGCCAACCATGCGCAGTGCGTAACTGCATCAAGTCAACCAAGGGTGGGAGAGCCACATGCATGTGTCCGAGTAACCAAACCTGCTTGTCATTGATGTGGGTTCGCTCTTATGTAGTTAACATTTGACACGCAGCGGAGGTTGCGGAGAAGAACGAGAACTTGAAATCGAAGCTGAAGAATCAGCCATATTTATAGGGCTTACTTTTTGCCGCATTCACCACTCCGTATCTTCACTCTGTTTACTTCACTGGATTCCCCTTCACTGTGCGAGGATGAGCCGCCATGAGTAAGCATCGGAATAACCCAAGCTAGGCCTAAAGCAGACAATTATTTACCGGGATATCACATGACACAGATAAATCCTGACTTTATCATGTGACCCACAAATAGCAAGTGGGGCCCTTACCCCTGATCCTGCAACATAAAACTCTGCTCGTCTATGTATCTAGCACATACGACCACAGGAAGTGGAAAACAGAGCTTCCCGTCCGCTCAGCTGTACTTAAGCCACTTGCCGGTCGGTTAGTAGTTGGGTGGGTGACCACCAGCGAATCCCGACTGTCGTATGTTTTTTGATCACCCATTTTTTTTGTTTCCTCTCGATAAATATTGCTTTTTCACCCCCCTGAATATAGCCTACATGAAGCCACCCAAATTCGCCTACGCAGCAGGTGCATCATTATTGACGCGGCACAATCATACAGATCATATTACTGCCTCCTATCATGGTCGTGATCAGCTATGAAGTACGTAAGTAAACTTATCGGAGTGGACAGTTGATATTACTATTCTACTTTTATAACATATTCATCGATCTCGACCTCCCCTGAGCGACTCCTGAACCACTTTGGCGATGTAGACGAAACACAGCATACAATATACTAATCCTTTGCCGACTCAGTTCTCCGTCCAGCGCTGCGCATAATATATAAAGTGCAGAGTAAATACTGAAGTCAGTGCAAGCTAGAGTATCACCATACTACTTGAAACATTTCTTGAGTAGCCCTTGGACGAGGTTATCCTTGCGCACGAATTCTTGTGAGAAGCTCTTAAGGCCATCAGGCGTGAGTGCACGGCGCACATTCGCCGCCTTTTTGAATCCTTCACGTGCCCCCTTGACTTGGACACCTTCAGCCCCGATCAGTAGACCAAGAATGGCAAAAGGAGCTCCCGCCGGGTTCTCGACAATATCAACGATCGTAAGAGCAGCGTTGCCGATCTCACCAATGATAAGGGCGGCCGTAGCAAACCTGGTAGCGATGCCAACTGCCTGTCCTGCAAATCCCACAAAAGGTATAATCGAAAAAACAATGGATAGAATGTTTAGGATAAGCTCCTTCTTCTTTGTATCATGATGCTCTTTGCCAATCTTTTTGATTTCCTCGATCGATTTGGAAGTGTCCTGCAGCATAAAAACAGGCATGCTGAGGGATGTGATAACATCAGTAATGTCAGCATCCAAAATCCCCATGTTCAGCTCATAGGAGGTGATATATGCAAGGCCCAACACATCATCTATATGAGGAATCGCTTTGTCGATCAGATCCTTGGGGTCCTCGACTTTGATCTTATTCTTATCTGGAATGCGGCTGGGCACATTCACATACTTCACGTAGTTGTCGTCGCAAGGTTTTGGCGGGCAGAACTCATCCTTTGGAGGACAGGTGGGGCAGTAATCCGGCTCGGTAATCGTTGTCCATTCAATCCACTCCTTACTAATGCCAGCGTCCTTCAAGAGGGCGTTGTAAAATCCTTCCTCGTCTCTCACGGTATACTCAACAGTGCGGCCTCCAAGGTCGGCGTGGTCCGGGTGGTCAAGGTTCACTTCCGTGCAAGGGCCTTCTCCCTTCGCATAGGGGGTAGACCACTTACAGTCCATGTATTTGAGACCCTCGCCGGTTTTTAAAGCCGTGAAGTTCCTCAAACGGGGTTCGATGGAGTCCTTCACCCAGTCGGCATACCACTCAAACTATCTCGCGTTAGTCTGGATTCATCAAAGATAAACAAAGAAAAGGTTCACACAGCGCTGGAATCGATAGCGTACTCTCTGCTTATAATCATCTGAAGACGAAACTTCCCTGTACTTATCAACGGCACCTGCAAGCTCATTAGTTAAGATATCCATCAGAGCCATGCCACGGCAAGGTGTCGGCACCTTGCCGATATTTGCGTCTAGATCTTCGATGGTCTTGGGCCATGCGTTTGGATCACAGTCGAGATCAGCTGGTTCCAGCGTCCAATCCATGGTTCCGTTTTCCCTGATTCCAGTAAACCAACCCCCTAAATCAAGGGCCCAGTCGCTAGTTCCGCCCATATTCAGACCTTGAATCCAAGAAATGCGCCTCGCTTTAGTGTTATCATCCATATAGGCAGCCCAGTCAGTCATGCCCTGACCCCGTGTGCCGTCTAAATATTTAAGTCAGCCAATGGTAATAATGTACAAACAACAACAGGTATGAAGTATCGATATGTGGGGAGATGGCTCGCGTTCTTTAGCAGGAGATAATTAAACATACTATATCATGGTTAGCAAGGTCCAAAGCTATATAGAATTTAGTGAGCTAACCAGGTCATAATATCTGAGTCCGTCTCTGCATCATACCACTTCTTAGCCTCGAAGCCCTTTTCTCCTTCGTCGGTATACTCAAGAATTTTCTGGAGCTCAGCATTTGCAACTGTCATTTTTAAGTCAGTGGTCTCCGTATACTTGGTAGAAATGATGAACTAAATGAAGATATTAGGACTCACTATAACCACCCGTGCCAGTGCATTGACCTGGCTCTGCCTCTGAATGCCCATAAGCACCAGTAAATGTACACTGTGGGCCGGTGCAACTTGGGTCTGACATTCTAAAACTTCGCCCGTAGCTAGAAACACCCACAAAGACCTTTTCAGGTACCACACCGGCCTTTGTGATCATAGCAAGGGCGCTATATGTTTCTGTGCGGTTAATATGTGAACGAAGGCAATTCCCATTCGGACATCCAGGGTTTGCAAACTTGTTCCCGTAATCTAGAACTTCGATTAGAGTCTCTTTGTTGGCGATTAATTTTACGGAAGTTGGGAGTATACATACCCCATTGACCATGAAGATCATACGTCATGTAAATGAAGTAATCAACGACCACTGAAATTGCACGAACTGGGAAGGGTTTGAGGTACCAGTATGACGCTGGAATAGCAATAGAAAGGGATCGTGATCCAGGGGCGGTTCCGAGAAGGACTCGTAATTGAGTAAGAAATCTGTAATAATTCTCTGCGTCGTAGGGGTTTGATGCCGGAATTCCTTGGTCCGTGGCACCAGGGTACTCCCAGTCAAAATCAATGCCGTCCAGATTATGGCTATCAAGGAACTTCACAACATTTTGAGCGAATATGAACCGGTTCTTCGGGCTTACAGCCTCCCGATAGCGACTGTAAGTTCCAGGTTCCGTTGACTCGGCCCATCCACCCACAGATAAGATCTTTTTGAAGGGTGCCTTCATCGCATTGAATAAATCGAATTGCTCCCGAATATTGTCTCCAATATTGATGTTGAAGTCCTCAGTAAGACCTGCAAATGCAAAATGCACGTGGGTTAGATCTTTAAAATTCTCTTCGATCTTTCTAGCGTCAAGGTATAAACAGTCCCGGTTGAAGTTATAAGCCTGAAAGTAACCGACTCGAGCAAAACTACCTCCCGGAGTCTTATTGCCCACGATTTCAGTACCGCAATTGGAGATACAGCCATTGGTACCAGGTTTAAAAGACCCAGGGGCACCTGTATCAGCCGGAGACTCTGTGCAGAATTCAGCAGTTATGCCGCAAAAGCCCCAGCCTGAGCAACAAGCATTTAAAGGACATGGGTTGAGCTTTGCTAGATCCCAACCATCAAATTCACCAGAAGGCTTCCTAGTTCCAGGTTTCTGTGGGCCGCAGTCAACTCCAGCAATTTCAGCTGGCATAGGGGTATTTCCTTTACTAAGGCAGATAACTTGGCCAGGCTGAAGTCTGTTACAGCCGGCCCAACCCCAGGTCCCCTTATTTAGTTTGTCTATATCATCCACCGTAATCCCGTAATTGTCAGCGATGGCAAAGCAGCCATCTCCGGCAACGACAGTATGTGTAGCACATGTGCCGTCAGGTTGGGGTTTTGGCCTTGTATCTGGAAGAGTGCTTTCCGAGCAGCAGACCCACTGTTTTGGCATTAGGGTCGAGCAGAGATTTGTCGTAGGGTTGAATTTGAGGAAATCGCTGCCGCGAATACCGCATCGTACTGATAATGCCGTGCAGCTGTCCCCTACTCCGACTTGAATGGCTCTGCAGTCCGCTCTAATTGAGAGTGAGTGAAAACCAGACTTTGCGTGCGGTAACATTGGTCGGGTATGGCGCCGCATAGGCCGGGTATCTGATTCAGTGAGATTGCTAGACTCGCCAGCAGTGAGAACGCCTAGCTCAGCAATGTTTGCAAGGACTCGACTCCTGGGAAAATAAAGACACCCCCCATTAGCCCATTGTTTCAACGCACTCTGGACCATATATAAGTCCTCGGTTTTTTCAACCGCAAATAGGCCAACAGTGCGTGCTTCCCTGATTGAGGTATTACACGTCTGTATAGCCTGAGCCCCCTTTCTGAGAACAACACCTATAATAGAACAATTAGACACACGGAGTATGCGATCGGGCCGGAATAAAGAAGGGCGAAAAAAGAAATTTGTAAAATTGGTATTACTCTCAGCCTGTAATTAAATCCGAAGTTTACCGCACTTATTCAGAAAAAGGTAGACGGGAGTTCCTTACTAAGAAGCGTAGGTCACGAAGTTAGCTTCGGCGACATGACATTGTGAAGTTTAAAATCTTACCCGAATTTATTGATAGTTTTAGCAGCTGCAGTAATCTGGACATCCGCACCAATATATAGACCAACGACCACGGAGCCCAGTTTAGCGAGAAGAATTTTTTCACCGCAAGAAGCACTATTGGCAAGGTGGGATGACAATATGCTAACAGCGGAGGTAGTATCATCCCCTGGCTTGAGAATGGATGGGTTGATGGTGAAGAGGACATCTATAATGGCCCCTTTTGCACCACATATGGATGAGGAGACGGGCTTCATAGTATTGGGCATTAAATCCTGAGTCTCAGCTGTTGCATTCTTTGTGATATTGTTTGAGTTGTTTGTAACGGGGATGGATGAGGCAGCACGCTTGGGTATTGGTTTTTCGGAGCTAGCTGTGCAGGCGCGGATTATAGGATATCTGGTCTCAGTGCCTTGAACGTTAAGGTCGAACAGTAGGGGCAATTTGCAATCCGTGAGGGCTGGCTGGGTGTATAGAAGTGTCCAGTTGGCAGGATCAGAACCTACGACGCTACAGCGCTGAGGACATCCATCGATAAGTCTTGAGATCCAAGGATCATCAATCTCGCCAGGCCCTAACTGAGTAAGTGGAACAGTTCCTAAATCGAATTCATGCTCCGTTGAGTTGAAGCCTGTAGTTTTGAAGACTGTTGGATAAGTCTCTATTCCAGGGTCTGTGTGGTTCTGGCTTGCTGCCTTGACGGTAAGGAACAAAAAGAGCGTAAGAAATGAGAATCTCCCCATGGTGGAAGTATCACAAGTTGAAAGCGAGTGGTGGAAATTTGGCTGATCTCACAGTTGCCTTTGAGATAAGGCCAGGTCATAGTTCTATTTTAACGTCATTCTGAAGCCAGCTGTGACGCCCCTTTTTTTTCTACAAGGGCTGAAATGCACCAGCACTATCCTCTTTAGGTCTCCGAGGCCTTGCTGCCAACACAGCAACAGAGATGGGGCTGGGTATTTCCGTGTAGAGAAAGAGAGATATCAACCAACGCCGCAGTAGGGGTTCGGCCATGAGTAGTAGCTGTTTCTATCCGTAAATAAATCCCCGGAAGAAAAAGAGAAACATGACCAATAGCTAGCCTAGCCTGCAGGGGTGAGAGGGAAATAGTTACGGGCTTGCCACCAGAAGCGAATGTGCATGCAGGCCACATATTTTCCATGCATCTACCCCCAGCTGTCAGGTGAATTTGTTCAAAATATCATCTTGGCCGAGTTACGCTGGACCGTTAGCGCGGCGCGATGCATGTTCGCTCGTCGCCCTTGCCATGTCGTTATACCAAGCAATCTTCGCGCGCGATCCCGTCGGGCGCTAGTGAACTTAGCTAACTCTAATCTTATTACCCAACCAATAATCTTTGGGCCGCTAGATATAAAGGTGGAGCACTAATAACACTAAATGTGTCGATATATACATATTCCCGCGCATACCCAAGGTCGCCTTGGCCACAGGTGCAATTAGTCCTATTGTTGTCCGGCATGGCCCCAGTCCCCATTTCCCTGGGGTCGGGTACTACATAGCAATGTAACCTGCAATTGAGCAATCTACCGGCAACTCAACGAGGCTGACCCAACTATACTATTTGCCTATCCGAATAGTATCAACCCCTGGCCCTGGCAGGCCCTCGCATTACATCCAAGCGGACTCGGAAATTGCATTTTCTTGAGTAGCATTAGCAATTATAGGCTGGTCTTGGGGCCTGCCTTTGGTGCTGTGACCAGCGTCACCGCCGTGTGGCAAGTAGATGATGATATTGAGCCTTTTCCCTACATATTATCTCTCTTTCCAGGTCTATGTTCTTATTGTGTAAATCAGACAGGCCTTTCAAGCTGGAAATACCCAACGGCCACTCTTCTCAATTCATCATTTGTTCTACCATTATACCCATCCATTCCAATTGTGAAACTAGGCATGTTCACCATGCGCGGTATACTCATTACTTTCCTCCTTACCTGGCTGCTATCTCTTTCTACCTATGCTAGCGGCGCCGATGATGAGCTTAAGGACAATAAAGTATCTCACGTTTTCGAGCGCATATGGCTGTGGGAGATGTATGACTTCATCTGGTAAGCTTTCTCGCCCTGATTTAGTCACATGAAATTCGCTAATTAGTTATCCGTGCTATAAATAGCGAAGTTGACACCCCCGAAGGACAGAAACTGCTCTTCCCTATTGACAAAACAGTTGACCGGTGGAGGCACAATGTTGGCTCACAAAGGGATAAAAGATTAACATACGCCCAGTTCCAGAAACGATTGCAGGAAGGAGGAAATCCTCAAGGCGGCGCACTACCTATGATAAACTCACCGGCAGAGGGAGACCCTTTCAGGTCAGCCAGACAGCTCCTAGACCTAGGATGGGATGGCAAATTTTCACTGAAAGAGGTAGCTCCAAGGGTAAAAGATGTGACATACAGAGGCCTCATAGCCGTGACTGAGCAATATTATTCACAATATCGTATCGATCTGGAGAAGCAGCCATGGGGCAGTGCAAATGATCCGGTCCGTATCGCGCGCATTGCGACCATTACCGAGGCGATCAGGACCCTTCGCTATCAGGATAGACACCAGTACATCACTGATACCGTTACATCGAAGAAAATCGGAGGGCTCGGGTTGGCGAAGGTGGTGGCAGAAAAACTCCCGACGGCACTGACATATGAAGGCAGCCCACTAGGTCCCGAATACTACGAACGGACAGATTGGCAAAAGACTTACAACGCAAACTGCATAGGCGGAGATGATTCAAAGCCAGGTCCAGAGTTAAGAGCTATAGGAGTCACAGAGAATAAGAAGTTTAAGGAGATAGTAAGTTTGATTCTCTGGTATAAGTCAGCTAACTACTATCGAAAATACTGACAGGGACAAAAACAGATGTTTAACTTTGGTAAAGAGAATGATAAGGACTCCTCTGCAAAAGACAAGAACCATCTTCGCACCCTCAATCTCTGGAATGACGTTCAAAAAAAAGCCCATAAGTCGGTGGAAGAACTCATACAGTGCAAGTGAGCTAGATAACATGTTCGACGATAGGAGTACTGTATATTTAACTAGCCGGTGACCAAACAAATAACTAGGCGGTTAGATGTTTGTTATATGCAGGGTTGTTAGCTACTTAGATGTAACTACAGAAGGGATTCTTTGTTTAGTCACAGTTATAACTACCCTGTCAACTACCCAAACTGGTTAGAGCAGCCGAGCAGCCAACCGAGTTCTGTGACTATTTAAATTGGCCAGCAGCTCGCACTTTTGTCCTCAGCAAACAACGCCAGCATAACCTCACCGGAGCCAGCAGTACCTTATAAATACGGCCAACAGAAGCAAAACACGATGCATGGAGGAGTGCTAGAAGGTGAAGAGAAAAGATGTGACTGTGATGATATGTTCTGTTACCTAGACGCAGACGAATGCATCGAGTACCAGGCCTATCAAGCCCAGCTCATCGCTGCCCTTCGAGGTGAACAGGTGCCAGACGAAGAACACCTTGACAATCAATACCACGCCCCTCTTTGTCTCATTCGAGGCATCCGCTGTCACTATGAGTTTGCAGCCAGCTCCGCCGTGAAGGATGTTTGCGTCTCCCGTCCGGCTCTCGCCCGCGCCCGCAACGCTCGCCTTATCATGAGCAACGTGATACCTGGGCCTGAAGACATGGACGACACTGACCGGACCAGACACCCCTACTGTATCTGGAATCCTGATATTGCGGCCGAAGATACCTATCGCCAGTTAGCCCAGCGCTTCCCTTCAATGCGCTATCAGGTAGGCCGCGCCTGTGCTGCTGCTGGGTACGATGGTCTATATGCAGAATTGGACTTGTTGCCAGACGTTTCAATCGCCGAGGAGGCGAGGGAGAGCGAGACACCGGGTGGGCAGGCCATCTTCAAGATGATAATGGCTGCCCCCTATCGCTACGCTATTATGAATGATTACGACCTGTCTATCAACCTTGATAGTAAGGACCCCGGCGCTCCCGCGTTCTTGAACGGCCACACAACTGTGCGGTGGAAACTTCAACACCGTAAGGAGTTACAAGAAAAGGCATACAATTTTAGAATCTGGAGGGCGAGGACATGGAAATGGAGCATTGAAGAAGACGACCATCTTGATGAAAAGGAGTCGCGCTTGCCTGACAAGTACAATACCCTCACTCCAGAGGAGGTTCGACTTCTTTACACCCCTCTCCCTCAGGATCTACCAACCATGAAGAAAGACCTTCACATTCAAATGGCAGCTTACGACGGCAACGTAGACCGCTATGCTCGCTTGGCATCATACTGGCCGATGGATGAGGTTGAGCGGGTCTGCGTGATACGAGGAATATACTACAACACAATGTTTGCGCGCTTCTGGGCCGAGGAGATAAAGCAAAATACCCGACGTGTGCAAGGTTTAAAAAAAAACGGATTATCGCTTATCAAGGAGGCTATCTCTGCTCGCCGCATCATGATCAACGACGTTGAAGAATTCATTAACGGATGGCCGGAGGGTGAGCCACAGCCAAGGGTTATCTGGAAGCCCCTGAAGCCGTGTGAACATGTACTCAAGCTGCTCGCGGAGAGAGTACCCTCAATGAAAAAGACAGCTGCGCTTGCATGTATATTCTGTGACTACGAAGACGCTTACAATGAGATCAACTGTACGCCACACCCCGACCTCGCCATGGCAGCAAAAAGGTCTCTCAATCCCTTTTACCTTCGAGACATTAAGCAAAAGGCAGCCGAACAGGGTATTGACCTTTACAAAGGCTACGTTATGCCAATATGGCTAGATGAGAGCCTGGAGATCCTTAAGTCACACAGTATGTATACAAATTTAACAGACGGTATGGGAGTGCACTGGAGCGATGATGTGTGGAAGAATCTTCAAAGCGTTTTTGGAGGAGATGTCCCCGAAGATTATCCGGTTCAATTATACGTATGGGCATCACCCGAGAGACTCCGGCTGCTCGATATTTGCGAGACAAGCTGTCCTTGCCCTGCGAGGTACTACCCGGACTATGAGGAGAACTGGGAGGAATACGTTGAACGTGCCAAACTACGCAAGGAGCGCATGAGACGAGAGGAAAAACATAGCAAGATCCGGGCGGCTGCCGCACTTAGACGGCCCGGGGAGAGTGAAGATGCCTGGAAGGCCAGACAAAGTTTATATTTCCTCAGGTACAATGGACGCGTGCGCGCAGGGGAACCCGAATGGGTTGAATTTGCTCGGAAGGCCAAAGAAAAATATGAAGCCATTGTTGCCAGTGAGGGCGGGGAGGTTAGCGAACATGAAGCTTCCTCCCCTGACTCAATGGTTGTATGGATCTAGTAGCCATGTAGTTATTCAATGATTCCTTCTCTTCATTCTCTCCATGCCGCACTGTCAGCTCAGACTACCTGGTAGATAGGCGAATGTAACCCAAGACATAGCATGCATATTTCATGATTGTTTGTATCATGCCTCGTCCGCATGGGGATGGGAGGCCGGTCTACTCGGTGTAGCCCCTTTTCAAGACACCGATAGATGTGGTGATTAAAAAGTCTCGGCAAATGTAGCTAATCAACAGTATGTATGAATCTCCTGACTGACCGAATCGCAAGGTTGTTCGTTGTCCCTTGCACCACGCCTGCCGCAGCATCATATGAGCCATGGACAGGGGGTTTGATATATATTCCGCCTGGTATAAACTTCCAAACAAGGATTAAGAGGTGCATACTTTTCCCAGTGAATTTCTGGACAGGGTCGACGTGCATGAGTTCTAGACCATGTTCACGCATATGCCCATGTATGTATGCACATATACTCCCATGCGGACCGGAGTTTCTCTTATCTCCCACCGCTGCCACCAGGCTATGAACTTCCTGGCAATTCAGATGAGGGCAATAGAACTGACCAATCCTCCCTTCACCTTGCTGCACAATCTCGGTAAAAGCTGGATATCTGGTTCCTGATCGTTTGATTTGTCGAGATACCTGTGCGGCTGGCAAGAGGAGAGATTTATATAAACCCCAGGATATAGGTAGGCGAGGAATGTGCCAACAGCAACAATCAAGCCGTTCTCGGGTTAATCTCCTCCCGTCGGACTCATCATTATGGTTTCTCTCAAAGTTTGCTTTCTGCTCCTTGCCAGCTCGGAGTTGGCGTTTGGCGCTGCCCCTGGCGCACGTTCTCGCCGCAGAGGTACCGCTCCCGCCAACCCGTACGACAAGGATACAACCAGTTACTGTACCTGGTGGCTTGATTATAACGAGGAGCTTCCATGTGACCAGGTGCTCCAGGCAAACTCCATTACCCTGGAGAAGTTCCGGCGTTGGGTAAGTGGCGGACAATCTAATACCCCCATTAACCAGTGGGAGAATCATAAGGCTAACCATAAGGCTAAGAATCCATCAATCACCGGTAACTGTGAGGGCATGACTGTAGGCAAGTCCTATTGCGTGGAAGCAGCATTTGAACCAACGCCAACAGCTTCGCCAACGGGGCCATCAGGGCCAACGGGCACACCTGGTAGTAAGTTTCTCAAGCTGCTCTGTGAAATAGGGAGGATGCTAACATGTCCGTCTTAGCCATTGAGACCCCTTTGCCAACACAGCCCGAGATTGCCCCTAATTGTGATGCATTTCACCTTGTCAAACAGGGAGAAGATTGCGGTACCATTTCTGCCACTTATGGAATCACCAGTGCCCAGTTTCTAGCCTGGAATCCAAGTGCTGGCAAAGACTGCACCGGGCTTTGGGCAAATGCCTATGCTTGTGTGTCTATTGTTGGCCATGAGCCGCCCAAGACTACATCTCAAGCTCCTCAACCAACTCCAACTAAGCCATCTAACGGGTAGGCATAACCATACTACCACCACAAGCGCAGACAGAAATGACTAACCAAGCATGTGCGCGCTAGTATTGAGACGCCTCTCCCAACACAGCCTAAGATTGTGGACAACTGCGACAAGTTTCACTTGGTCCAGTCTGGTGAGGGCTGTGCTGCCATAACATCTAAGTATGGTATCTCCTTAGCACAGTTTACACAGTGGAACCCAGCAGCTGGTAGCAATTGTGAAGGCCTCTGGGCTAACGCATATGCCTGTGTCTCTATCATCGGCCACGAACCCATGCCGACTCCGACCAAACCTAGCAATGGAATTGAAACACCACTGCCTACCCAGCCTGAAATTGTCGACAATTGTAACAAGTTCTACCTCGTCCAGTCTGGCGATACATGCACCACAATTGTGTCGAAATACGGCATCACCCTATCTGACTTCACGAAATGGAATCCCAAGGCCGGAAACACATGTGCAGGCCTCTGGGCTAATGCCTATTCCTGCGTGTCAATCATCGGGTATACTCCAAAGCCATCACCAACCCCGACCCCAACAAAGCCTCCAAATGGTATTCAAACACCCACTCCGATCCAAAACGGGATGGTTACGAACTGCAACAAGTTCCATTTTGTTGAGAATGGGAATACCTGCCCGGTCATTCAGGCGAAGTATAAGGTCACGTTGGCAGATCTCGTTAGATGGAACCCAGCAATCAAGGCTGATTGTACCGGCTTATGGGCAAAGACTTATCTCTGTGTTGGGACTCTTTGAATCAACCAGCGCTGGCAATATTCTGTTTGAACAGAATGTAAGTCTGTCTAGGTCACTATGAGTAGTTCCATATCATCTGCTTCGGGCTCCGGCCGTCAATGTCGCGTTTAGAGCTTTCATAAGCTCTACTAGGTAGCCAGATAACAACAATCCCCGTACGTAATTCACAACTTGATACGTCTTTGAGCTAGAGATCATTTTTAAGGGTGGGTATCAAGAGATCGAGGCGTAATAAGTGCGGTGCAAGCTGATATTTATCTCGAAAATGAGACGTGGGCTTTTCTTCAACCCTAATCCTAACACTTCTCTCGCCTTTGCTTTTTCGGGCTCCTTCACACCCTCAGCATCCAAGCGCCATGATGGAAAAACCAGGTAAAAATGAAAGAAAGCACTCAACTAGGGCGTCGTTGAGAAAGGCAGCGATATCTTGTCAAGTAGTTAGCGGGCATGCGGATGCTTGGTCAAACTGTTGTCGTTGATGTTGTCTCGTCATGACGTGGCAGCGTGGTGACGAGATGGTTTGACCAGCGTCTCGGATATACGATACGCCGCTAGCTAGTTAACTAGTTAGGTCGAAGTGAAAGCTGTAACTAGTTTAAATGTGACAGTGGTGGCGTAGCTAGCTATTCACTAACTAACTAGTTGGTTGTTATATATACGAGACGCTGGTCTCCTGAACCTACAACTCCAACGTCTCGTCACCAAAGACAACAGCTTAACCAGATAACAACTTAACCAAGCTTCCGCATGCTCGCTACTTAACAGATCTGATGCTCCTCCTCTAGTGTAGTGGCAGACTTTGACAAATTAATTATTTACGATGGATCATTCAAGTCAACAACGTCAATATAAAGTTTTCGGAAAGTCAGTGCTGGTGGTTCAGCTTTTCTCTTCCGATCTATATAGCTATCGCACGAGTCATCAGCCATCACCAGGAGAAGTCATGTAGGTACCTAAAGTACGCCCCGGATTTCTTCAAAGCAAACAATCACTGCATAAACAAAAGCGTGGGTGCTTCGGGGAAGCAGTGAGCCCACACTAATAGTAGGCAGAGCTGAAGTGTTTGACATAACTTTAGGAAAAGCACTCATATCTCCCCATCTCACTCCTGCTACTCTGTTCTATTTCATTAACTAGCTCCCTTATTGCTCTTCAGTCCTTTATACGGTGGCACTCGCAACTTCAAATTCTACGCCGACAATGGAGGGCGCCCAAAAGCCAACGTCTGCTATTGCTTACGCCGGGCCTCTCCTCACCCCAGTCACCTCTACCAGCACTCCATCCACACCTCGTCTGAGGAAACGACAAAAGGAGGGCTCTTCTGAAGATGACGGACCACTGCTGCTTGGGGATAACGAGATTCACAACGAGGACTACAGATGCGGTGGTCCATCTCTAGTTAGACTGCCTGCCCAGAACAGACACCTTGCGAAGAATGATGAATTTCTTCTTGCGTACAAGGAATTGGAAGATGCTATCATTCATGTACTCCATATATGGAGCATCGACGTGCAGGGTAGAACTCCTCTCCAGAGAGCTCACCAGACTGAAGGCTCAGTTACTTGGGTCAATACTATCCTCATCTCAGCGCGTAAACATGAACTCAGCAACACATGGTTCAGGGCCTGCAAAGAGATCAGACAAATCCTTCTCGACAACAACCTAGGTGATGTATCTCTTGAAATGATTGATGAAAGAGCTTCTCAGCGCATTTTATCAGCTCCAGTGCCGCGTGAAGACCCATTTTGTTCCATGTGGGAAGATCTTCGCTCACGGATTTTGAACATTCTTGGAGATAAGGAATGGACGATGCTGTCGCCGCAGAAACGTGGGATATCTGGCGGGAATACTCCTGTCACGATCGTCATTCTCGTAAGAGAGGATTCTACCTCTGATTGGACGGTGGTCAGAGAAGCAATCGTGGAGATTCTAGACAGCATGGAGTTACACCATGTTGCCGTTGAGCTGCGTCGTGGGTCGCTTCTACAATTCCACACTCGCCCATCAGAGGAAGGATTTCTCACCAAGGATGACTGGAGTTTTGAGCCGTGTATGGGTGGAAGCATTGGCCCTCATTCATCAACTTTCTCTTCCTTTACCTTCGGAGGCTTTGTGGAAGTACAACATCCTTCCGAGGGATGGAAGCTCTATGGATTGACGAATCATCACTGTGTCACTGCCCTCAACTCCACTGCAGACTGGGATAAACAGGGAATTATGCCGGGTGATCCAGAAAATAATCTTACCATTGACTACCCAAGTCTTGACGACCACCTTCTTGCTATACAACACTATAAGGCAAAAATTGAAGAACTCAGTTCTTCAGAGAGTTACGTTTCGATAAAGAAACGTATGGACGAACATGACCCTTCTGTTTCGCGCAACGAGCAGCATGCTTATGAATGCACTCGGACTGAAATCTCACATTTGAAAAATACATTGAATCATGCTCACAGGTATTACCTGCGTGATCAGCTGCTTCTCGGAAAAGTTTACGCATCTTCTGGGTATCGAATGAACATAAAGAAATGCATCCTAGACTGGGCCTTATTGGAAGTGGACAGCAACCGTGTCTCCAAGAACAAGTTACCTTCAATCAACGACATTCCTAGGGGCTCCCGTGCATCATACCTGGCTACAAAAGAGGTTTTGGATGGACCTGTTGCTCTGGGAGAAGAGATGGGGGTCTGCAAGACCGGCCGAAGCACTGGATTCTCGGAAGGGATGCTAGGTGAAATCAGAGAGACGGATATCCAATGCTGGTTCCGGGATGCGAGTGGGAACTGGGATAAAAGGCGGGGGCTTGCATATCTTGTTTACCCAAAGGCTCCTCGGCTTACTTTTGGAGAACCAGGGGATTCAGGATCGTTTGTCTTCAGCCTCCAAGGCTCGTTTGTGGGACTGTACATGGGAGGGGATCGAGAAGCGGGAACTGGCTTGCTTATCGAAGCCAGTGACCTATTGGAGGATATCAAACAAGTGACAGGCGCCTTAGATGTTCGCATTCCGTCGTGATCGAGAATGTTTTGGCTTCATCGCTCTTCGTTGTTGTGTATGAACCATAATATTATTGTGGTGGATCTTTTCGGTCAACCTTAACTCCCGGGCCGCCGCACGGATAACTATCATGTGACTGTAAAATAGCAATCCTGTAGCCAATAATAAATTTCATAAGTAATACTCAACGATCTGTCCAATTAGCAAAGCTCTATATGATTCTGAGATAGTTGATTGGCTGGGATGCAAATAAAATTAATAAAGATACCTTCAATCAATAGCAATATAGAGATCCTGAAAAATTGATGAGTTACAAGAGGCTTGATGGCTTCGTCGTGCGATTTTCAACGTGCTGAGCCACCGCTGGGCTTTTTGCTGCACCGTCCTGGAACACGACCGCAAGGGCGTTGGAGCCTTGAAGGGCGTGATGAGAGCTGAGAGCCAGTTGGGCAATAATCGTGTTCGTTTCGGCGCTAACCGGATTCGCGCTGAGACGTCGCATCATCCCATGGTCTGAGGTAACGACAGAACTGACCACAGTTCACAGACACGGAGTATCGTCAACCGAGACACATACCTATATCAAGGTCCTACCATTACGCCCATAAACACTCATATCATTTTCCTAGTCCATGGCCGCGGTGGCTCAAGTCGCTTTCAGCAACAATGGCACTGGCACTTCTTACCCTCCCCCCGGAAATCCAGATGTTGATCTTCTCCTATCTGCCCAACAGCACCATCAAGAACCTACGTCTAACATGCTCATCCATAAAAAATGCCGCCCGTCTCAACCTGGACCGAGTCTTCTTATCCATTCAAAAGCGAGATATTGAGGTATTCCGCAGCATAGCCAGTCATGACACTATGCGCCTGCAAGTCAAAGAAATCATCTGGGACGACGGCTCATTCAGCCAGAGTCCTCTTGAAGAAGTTGTAGAGCAGGACGGGGAGTATTATGGACAAGTGAGCGGTCTGCCGTATGAGAAGGTTCCTGCGGAGCAGGGGTCCTCACCAAAGTTCTGTCCAAATTGGTTCTCGCAGGAATGCGATGAGAATATCTCGGGGTTCGCTGCAGATAAATTTGGTCCCGGAATGGCGGAAGAGATGATGTGGTGGATGATGAAGCTTCAGAGGCCCCTGCCGTGGAAATCATGGGAAATGTATAAGGAGTATCTGCGAGACCAGCTTGAAGTACTTGATTCCGAGGCGGATGTTGAAGCACTCAAGTTTGGTCTGGAGCAGTTTCCTGCTCTTAGGAGGATAACTATCATCCCGACAGCGCACAGGAAACTCTTTGAACCGTTATACCCAACGCCTAACATACGGAGCTTTTCGTGTATATTCAATTACCCCATTCCGCAGCCATGGCCAGTCTCGAACGAGGATACATTTCCCGTCAACGCTACGCCATGGACCGAAGATGCCGAGGAGTTTCTCAAAGAAAGATGGCGAGGCTTCCGGGTAGTTACGAGGTGTCTTGCAGAGCAAGCTGGTAAACACCACGTTTCGGAACTGGTCATTGATCCGGGAAACCTCAAAACTGGCATTAACTACAATATCTTCAATACTCCTTGTCGAGAACTCTCTAACTTTACCACAATGCTAGAGCAACCTGGCTTCAAGCGGCTTGATCTAACTCTCTTTGTCGGTGGGAACGAGGATATCGTCTGGACACCGTTTAAAGACAGCCATTACCACTCCGCCTTTTCCAAATGCCCAGATCTAGAGCATATTACCTTCGGCACGGATAGGGGCATCTATGCAACCGAGGAGCTGTCGATGGAACATTTCACTTCCCTGCTATCTCTTTTCCCCGTGCAGAAGTGGTCGAAGCTCCGACACTTTGGCCTCTCAAGCTTTCCCGTGGTACAGTCTGATATCATTGACTTGCTCGATGCGATGCCTTTGACGCTTCGGACCGTCGAACTAACCGGGTTACTCTTCATCAACGACGGGGAGAATTACAACTCTCTGCTGACTGCAATGCGTGACACGCTTAATTGGAAAGAGAGAGCCGTTGGGGACAGGCCTCAGGTAACTTTCTGGACGAAAAGCTCTGTCAACATGCTGCATGCGCACATGCAGAAGACCGTCAGCAACTATCTGTATGGCGATGGAGAGAACCCGATGAAGGTTGGACCTGATAGGAAGATGTATTTTTCGGGGTAGAAACGTGATAGAATACTAAGAGAGAACTCTTGTCCTGGCCTTATGGAGGTCTTCGTGGGTTGTTGGGTGTTATTCATAGTTCTTCGTCACCTTAGGTCTAATTCTCGTTCAACCCACTGGCCACCAGTTCAGCCTTCTCTCGTGGCCCATGAATATCTTTTGATCTTTTCTTAGATGCTCAACTGTAAGGACTATATGACTATACGACTATGTTCATGTTTGTTGTTTGTGTGGAGCTGGTGGTGGTGGCAAGACCAGCTTCCCTTTTGGCAAGTTAGGCCGAGCCCAGCGTCATCGCCTCTAACTAAACCTTACCTAAGTCACCGCAAGCAGCCCGAGAGAGTCCATTGACACACCCAGTGACAACCTCCGTCGACCAGCGGCTGACAGCTCATGACACGTCTCTGGCGCACAGCTGGATCAATTGGTTAAGGATTTTCGTTGACCGCAGCCCGCAGGACAGGCAGCTACATTCTTGCAGCATCCAACCAGCTAGCCAACTACAGCCAGGGCTTACAGGGCTGAAGCAAGCTCACCAACATCCCACTTCCACTCTAACCAACTAGTTACCGCGATGTTTGGCATCATCGCGGACCTGCTGGCGTGAGTCTACACCGACGAGCCGTTGGGCATGCACTGTATAGCGTACAGCTAATTGACAATTCTGACAACAGGGCCGTCGCCACGGTTCTCTTCCCGATCTTCGCATCGTACAAGGCCCTCCAAACCCGTGATGTGACCAACCTAGCTCCCTGGCTGATGTACTGGGTCGTCTACTCGGCCATCACCCTCGTTGAGTCCTGGACGTTCTTCATAATATCATGGTGCGTTCCCTAGACTGATATGCGTCGAATCAGAACTACAAAATATACTGACAAGCAGACTGGCGGACAGGTTCCCGTTCTATAGCTGGATACGTCTCTTTGCCCTCTCCTACCTCGTCCTTCCGCAAACACAGGGCGCAAAGAAGCTCTATCTCGAACACGTCGAGCCCTTCCTTCGCCATCATGAGCGTGAGATTGAGGAGCTTATCGGCCAGGCCCATTCCCGCGGCAGTGCGATGGGACTGCAGTACCTGAAGAAACTCATCGATCTGGTCAGGACAAAGGCGATGGGTTTACCGCCTCTCTGGGAGGGGCAGGCACAGGGACAAGCGGACACCACTAACGTTGCGGCACCGTCGTATGCGCAGACTCTGTTTTCGCGGTTCAATTTGCCCTCTGTGGGTGCTGGGGCGGCTCCCGGCGCTGGTGGTGCCTCAGGTGGCTACGGAGCACCGGATTTCGTCAGTATGATAGGAAGCGTGCTGGGGGGAGCCGGAGGGGCAGCAAAGAGCCCTGACGCCCAGGCAGCGGAGCTAAGTGCGTCCGGCCGTCTGCTACCTCGCCATGTCGCTGCTGCCCCGCGGTCAGAGCAGGCAGCATACATCGCTTCCCAGCGAGACCATCTGAGGGTTCTCCTGTCGGCGTATGATCGGGAGTTCGGAAGCCTTAGCTCCGGCGCTGGCGTGCCCGATGAATCCGTCGGAGGCTTCGAGAGCAGCGGCCTCCGCAAGAACAGAAGTGATAACTCGTTTGAGAACATCGAGCATGAGGACCTAGGTGCCTCGTCGGCCTTTGATACACATCGGTACGCCGACTATCGACGGCCGAGGATGGGTGATTTCGAGTGAGGGGACGGCCATTATTATTATTATCATCGATTATTGGGTCTATGCATGCATCTTGGGTCAACATATATACATTTCCACAACTATCCTAGGTAACTCAATTACTGGATTTAACTATCGGCGCCATCTCGGCTGGCTTTTCTTTTTTTTTTTTCTTCGGAAGTAATAACGGGTAATCAAGTCTCCCAGTCAGCCCGCAGAAGAAATACTTCTTCATGCGAAATGACGCTGTGAGCCTTGCTCATGCTTACTCTCCTTGACTAGCTACCAGCGGGTAACCTGTCTACTTGGTACGTGCCACCATCTACCTGTCTGTCCGCCTGTCTGTCCGTGGGCTCCATGGGTCACACTGGGCCTCCGTACGCCCTTGCCTGTCTGCTCCATCTGCTCGCCCTGTCAGCCATGCATCTCCCGGCGCATCCAAGGTAGCCATTAGTTCCTCCGTGCTCTCGCTGTGTTAGTTTGCTTGTCCCGTATTTACGTCTTTAAGTTACCCTTCGCTGCCGTCCTTGACTCCTTAACTTCTACGCCTTGCCTCTCTCTCCCTTCTTTGCCGCCACTCCTCGCCCTCTCGTCTGCAACCGTCCGCCGCAACCTCTGCCCGCTAGCTCTTCCGCCCGTCTCTTCCTCTCTTCCTATTCGCGCCTTCAACTCTTTTAAAGCTATTTCGACTTCACGAAACACCGTGAATATTACCAATTTATTTTACTGTATCAGAGCTGTATTGTTTCTGGCTTAGCGCTGTATCGACTCGGTAATACGGCAATTAGTCAGCTTAGTAAGCACCATTACTTCCTGAGCTATGACGACATCGAGTAAACAAGCAAGCCATCGCGAGAACTTCTTTGATATCAAGTTGAAGTTGCCATCTCATTATTATTATCATCATCCATTATTTATGATGATTATTATGATTCTTACATGACTCATGGCAATGGATTCAATCAATGTAAGGGCAAATGGAAGACAGCGTGGTCCGAGGCAATGCTGGCCTCTTGCTCGCAGCCCTCTTCCTCGCTGTCCTCCTCCATCCTCCAACTCTCTCTGCGTGTCTCTCGCTCCCACTCCCTCCTCATCTTCTCCTTCTTCTTCTCCATTTTCAGCTGTTTCTTTAACCCCTCCTTTTTCTCCTTCTTTCTCTTTCTCTCTTCCTTCAACTTCATCTTCAACTCCCTCTTCAACTCCTTTTCCCCCTCCTTCTGCATCTTCAACAGCCTCTTCGACTCCATTTTTCTCTCCTTGATCTTCTCCTTCACTTCCTTTAATTCTCTCTTCATTGCTTTCTTCTTTTCCCTCTTTATCTGCCTTCTTCCCCACTTCGCGTACCCCTCTTGTATCAACTCTTCTACTTCCTCAAGGTGTCGTTTGATTTCTGCTTTATCTTCCTCCGGGTCACTACTACCAATTAGCCGGCGTTTTTCAGCAATCCGGGGATCAAGAGTACTCACTCTCGCTTTACTCTTCTATGGTATTTTATTTTACCATTAAGTTTGACAAGAAGATATCTATTCTCCGTCCACCAAAGAAATACACCCCAGTTGATATAAATCCTACAGGATGGTTAAAATATATATATCCTGCCATCAAGGATAGTGGTACTTACCATTCTTCGCCGTCATGCCGTTCACCTCGTCCCCTGCTCTTTGTGGTAGAGTCGGCCGGTGGAGGAGCAGTACTACTCATATTTTGGATATTTGACTGGATGTATGGGCTGTCTTGAAAACTAACGGTAGGGAGAGAGCAAGTGTATCTTTGGTAGGGAAGGTATCTGAAGGACTGACAGTAGAGACGAAAAGGATAGAGGGATAAGAAAGTAGATGACAAGAGTCGGGTTCTACTTACATAGTTACTGAAATATCATGCCATCGTCTCAAGAGTCTATGTCGATTACGTCTGCCTGAATTTGCCCCTTAGTCGATGATGCCAGCCACAACTCTATCTAGTCGCTCAACTACAAAATGTAAAACCTTTCTCCCCATCCTTTTATTGGATATTTCGCTAGACAGCCCCGATACCTTTTCAGACCAAGGAAGTAAAAGTAGTAGCACCAATAGAAGAGTACCATGATAAAGTTAAGCTATATTACCACCTAGTAATGGATTAATAAAGGCTGCCCCAATGTCTGTATCTATCCACTCTCATATTCCCCATTATGCAGAAAGGCGTTGGATTTTTCACATAGTAATAAGGAGGAAAAGCACAGGGAAGAGAGGGGCTGATTTTCGTTTAATCTGAAGAACATATAACATTATTCAACCCGTAGAGTCGACCCTGGTGACTTCTTCTTGGCGTTGAAATCGCCACCGGCATCATGAGCCACAACATAACTGCATTCCATACCCAGGCGTTTTCCAGTCTCTCATCTTCGGTCCCTCACACCCTTTTTTTGTCCCCTGTCCGGGTACGTTTTATCTGATAGACACAGCAGTAGATGAGTGGAAAAGTAATGGGTTGACGTCTGGATAAGCTTAGCGTGCGGCGTTGATCTTCCGTTAAAGTGGGACCAGATGGGTCGTTAGTCAGCTCAATTGAGCAAGGATAAGGGGCAGGGTGGATGAATGGTATAAGAGGTCTAGTGCTGGTGGAGTGGTAAATATTCGTCTAGTAAGGACCTGCTATTTGAAGCATAATAGATCAGAAGCGAACAGAGACAAGTATGACGATGGTCACTCTACTTAAAGGATCAAGAAGGATAAGTGCTTCAGGCAGATATACTGAGTCTACAACATATTGCTTTCGTAGAATCCTCTCCAGGTAAACAAGTTGCAGAATGTAAATAAAATATACTGTTGATTCTGATATGGTGGTACTGGTAATTGTACAGCGATTGGGCGAGTATTGAAGTTGGGGCTTCCTAACAGTCCACGCTCGGCACCGGGTGTATTGTGGAGAGGGTGTCTCTCTTTTCTTTATCTGTATTAATACTCTAATGGTATTATACATCATCTCCTCGTCGGCTAGTCTAATCTGTATCTTTATACTTTTCGAGTTAGACTCCTTACTTCCCAAGCCCATTCGCTATCTCATCCATGTTCTTTCCTGATATCCGGGAGAATGGCCTACTCTCTATGGTACCTCTTGCATACAGTTAGTACACACTGCCTATATATATGGTATAATCTTTTTTTGCATGTAAATGGGCTTACCAATGTTAAGGTAAAGGGTCATAGAGTCAGTATTGGTAACATCAGGGTCAGCAGTATCACCATCCACAGCAGTTAAGCCCATTATATTGATGACTGACCTTTCATCATGAAGTCATAAAGTGATTGATAGACCTTGAGAGCCTCTCAGGCTTTTGTTTATCTTCCACAACAAACAATAATGTCTGATACTTCACTCTTTCCTCTTTCGGGACGAGACTCTTGCTTACATAATACGCTTACCACATCTCTGAGTCATCAATTAGTCACCTCTTAGTCATGTACTGTCACTCGTTATTGTAACTTACAATACCGTCACAAAACCACCAAAAAAACCCAAAGTCAAAAAAAAAAAAAAAAAAAACTTCTTTTTTTTTTTTTCCGCACAAGAAGAAGAACGACGACGAAGTTCGACGTTCGACTTCAACTTCAACTTGCAACCACCAACAACAACAACTATCAACAGTCCACAAAACCAACGAAGAACCCCCGGAAGCGCCTCAGAACCCCCTGTTGCGCCTCTTTTCCTTCTTTCCAGGAAACAGGGCGCTCCGCGGTCTCGCTCAGCCGTCCTTTTCGCCCGCCTGTCTGACCGTGGTCTAACTCGTCTTTCTCTTACTACTTCTTCACAGGCAGGGCCTCCTTTCTGCGGGTGAGTTGCCAGCGCTCGTTTCTCCCTTGTTTGCTGTCCGGCTGCGACCTCTGCGGCAATCTCGACCTTTGCGCCGTCTCCCAGTGGCTCGTCTTTTGCGCCGGAGTTGCCGCCTCTGCGTGGGCGCTGGAAAGTCGGGCTCTTGCCGCACTGGACCCTCCTCCCCCCCCATCACCATCAATATCTATCCTTTATTTTCTCCTGCTAGCACTGCTGAAAACTGCTGCGAGAGGCCCAGCTAACAGGTCTAGTCGCAGCATCTCGAGTTGGAGCTGGAATCTCTTGAGATCCTCTGTTCACCTCGACCTTCCCACATCTCACCTGCGACGCCGCTACGAACCCCCTACATAATACAGCCCAACAACTGCCCTGTTTAATGACATCTGTCTCCCGGCCTAACCTCCGCTTCGGCGCGGTCGAAGGCTCTCCTAGGATGGGACCGCCTGCCGTCCCAGCTAACCAGCAACAGCAGCCACAGCAAGCACAGCAGCAGCAACAGCCACAGGCCTCGTCCCTTGGTGTAGGCCCTTCAAGCAACTCGCGGGGCCCTTCGCCGCATGCTTCTCCTTCTCCCATTCCACAGCCCTTGGCCAGCGGCGGTCGTCCCCCGTCTTCTCTCCAGGGCTCAGGGAATAACTTGAATTTCATAGCTGATATGGACCAAAATGACCAGGTTGGTTTTCTTTTTTCTTTTTTTCTTTTTTTCTTTTTTACCCTTTTTCATTTTGATTTTTTTTTTTCTGCCTTTTTTTGATATATATAAAAAAGATATAATTATATATATAAAAAAAAATGCGTTAACACTTAATAGCGAAACATGAGGCCAAACCACCAGCCATATCGACCGCATCCCAATGCTCGAGGCGGTCCAAACATGAACCCTCGATACAACAATACCCAGCAACGACCATACAGTGGCTATCCAAACCCTCCTCATCAGCACCGGCATCAAAACCATCACCAACACCAACACCAGCATCAGCATCAACATCAGCACCAGCACCAGCACCAGCAGCCCGGATCGAGCCCCGCGCTCTCCCACACGAACCCGGCTACTCCTCAGATGGCTCCCGTGCCCCTGACAAACCCGCAGATGCAGGCCCAGCAGTATGGTGCTTATCCGCAGCCCATGGCAGCTCAACAAGTAAATCAGCATCCTTTCCCTCCTCGTCCTCCTTCTACCAAGTTTCACAGCAAACGCCGCTCTTCTTATCAAAAAAAGCACTATTCTTCCTCACATTATACACCTGCTCCTCCCTATCATCACTACCCCCATCACAATGCCCCGATTCCTCTTCCTACTCCACCACTACCACCACCACCTCCTCCCCAATTGACCAATCAATCATATCAGCCCCCTTCTTATGACCCTCCATCTCTCTCTTCTCAACCACTACCACTTCCTACTCCTTCACCAATCTCTACACTAGAGCGACAGCCACACGAAGAGCAGCAGCAACCTTCTTCTCACATGTCCCTCTCGCCAGAAAGCGGTAATTTTGAACATCTTCTAACAAAATTCAAATCTCAGGGCTACCCTCCATACGATAACAATGCCTACTATTACCCTGGCCAATATGGCATGCAGCCCATGCCCATGGTCCCCTCGTCTCCCCGAAATACTTACGGAATCCCTCAACAGCCTTATATGCCCGGCCACTACGCAGCTCAGCCACACCAGATGCCACAGGGTGTACCAATTGCCAGATCTTCCTCTCAGATGTCTGCTACTGACCGGCCCGGCAGTAGCCTGAGCCAGGTCCCTCCAGCTCCTGGCCCAGGCGGTCCAGGACACCACCACACAAATAGCCGTAGTAACAACAATGGAAGCCCCGTCAACCAGTCCCCGTTCGTCGTCCCAAAGAAGCACAGCCCTCTGATCATCCGTGACCCCAGCAGCGGCTCCGTCGTAAAGCCATCAAGCTCGCCTGCTCGTGGATCCGCTTCTCCTGCTAAGCCAGGTGTGACGCCTACTTCCACCCCGCCGCCTCGCACCGCCAGCCGCGGAGAACCAGATGCTACCGATGCCAAATCCCAAACCGGAGAGGAGAAGAAGCAGAGCTTCCAGAATGCTGTTGTTCAGAGTCTTCGGGAGAAGGAAGCTGCCGCTTCTAAGGCCGAGGAAAAGACTGCTGCCGAAAAGCCCACCCCCAAGCCAGAAGCGACCCCCGCCCCAGCTCCAGCTCCAGCTCCAGCTCAAGCTGAAGCTCCAGCCCCAGAACCAGTCCCAGCTGCCACTACCACTCCGGCAAAGGAAGAAGAGAAGAAGGAGGAGAAGCCAGTCGTAAACGAACCCTCCAAGGCCGTTGAGGAGGACGAGATCGATTATGATGCCATTGAGAGGGAGATGGCTGAGATTGAAGCCCGAGAAGCCGCCGCTGAAAAGGCCTACCAAGAGAAGAAGGCCAAGGAGAAGGCCGAAGCAGCCCTCAAGGAAAAAGAGAGGGCTGCTGCCGAGGAGGAGGCGCTCAAGAAAGCTGAGCGCGAAGCTGAGGCCGCCGAGGAAGCACGTATCAAGAAACTCGAGTCCGGCGAGAACGAGGCAGACAGAAAGGAGCGCGAATCTCTCTTTGCTTCGCTTAGAGGCAAATCAGCTACCCCAGCAGAGAGCCCAGCTGTTGCTACTCCCGAGAGCGGCACCGCAACGCCAGTCTCTGATACCTCCATGGGACCACCACAGAAACTTCTGGCCGGTGGTGTTGGAAAGCGTGAGAAACCTGCCTCGCTCAAGCTCGAGACAACCAAGCAGGTTGAACCACCACAGCCTAGCGCCGCCATGAAATCTCTGCACTCCGCCCGATTCCTCGAAGATCCAAGCAACGTCTCCTACCCACCCTCCATTGTCTCTCCCAACCCAGCTCTTAACAGCAACGCCCCCGCAGACCGCAAGTTCAAATACAACAAGGAATTCTTGCTGCAGTTCCAGAACGTTTTCAAGGAGAAACCCTCCGTCGACTGGGATGCCCGCGTCCGCGAGACTGTTGGCGATGGATCCGCTGATTCTGCCCGTACCCCCGTACGCACTCCTGGCCCTCGATCGGGTGCTAGCCGTGGCCCTGCCCAGGGCCCCATGATGGGCCATTTCAACCAACCTGTCCGGACACAAACACTACCCCCTGGCTCCGATCGGTTCCCTGTCATGAATACGCCCCGAGGCTCGTCCAAGGGCGGCAACCCATTCGGCCAATTCGGCCCTCTCAACCCCATGGGTGCTCGATCTGCTTCTGCTGCTGGTTCGCAGCTTGGTGGCTCCCGTAACCCAAGCCACAGAGGTGCTCGCACTGGAAGCAGACAGCAGAAGAAGAAGGAAGAGGAATTGAGCAAGACAATGCCTCTAACTGCTAATGCCGACATCAAGCCTCTTAACACTTCCACCACCGGCTGGAAACCACGCAGCATAGGCCAGAAGGGACCTACCCTCGCCCCAGATGGCCACCTACCACCTGATGTTGTACAGGGTAAGGTCAAGAGTAACTTGAACAAGATGACGCCCGAGAACTTCGACAAGATATCCGGCCAAATTCTCGACATTGTTGCTCAATCCAAGGACGAATCTGATGGCCGCACCCTCCGACAAGTCATCCAGCTCACTTTTGAAAAGGCTACTGACGAAGCCCACTGGGCATCCATGTACGCCAAGTTCTGCATGCGTATGCACGAGAGCATGAGCCCTGAAATCAAGGACGAGAACATCCGCGACCGCAACGGCACAATAGTAGCTGGAGGCAGCTTGTTCCGCAAATACCTACTTAATCGCTGTCAAGAAGAGTTCGAGCGAGGCTGGAAGGTCAACATGCCCGAGAAACCCGAGGGTGTCACCGAAGAAGTTGCCATGATGTCTGATGAATACTACAAGGCTGCGGCTGCCAAGCGACGTGGTCTGGGTCTAGTCAAGTTCATTGGTGAGCTGTTCAAGCTGGGAATGTTGACTGAACGAATTATGCATGATTGTGTTAAGAGACTGGTTGACTATGACGGTGTACCTGATGAGGCTGAGGTAGAGAGTTTGGCCAGTTTGTTGAGAACTATTGGTGCTAGTTTGGATAGCTCTGAGAAGGGTCATGCTATGATGGATGCATACTTCGCCCGTATCAAGTTGATGATGGATACGACCGAATTGCAAAGCAGACATCGCTTCATGCTTATGGTACGTCCATGCTCCCTCTTATCATGCATGTCAAGCTCTGGTCTGCTGAGTACTAATTTGATAATTATAGGATGTTATTGATTTACGGAAAGCCAACTGGATATCAAAGGATGCTGATAAGGGCCCCAAGACTATTGCTGAGATCAGAGAAGATGTATGTCCCCTTTTAGTTCCCTTAACATACTTTTATATATGTCTGTATGCTAACTGTTGTAGGCTGCCCGCGCTCAACAAGAACAAGAAGCCGAAAGAGCCCGCCAACAAGCCAGCAGAGGCGGTGGCGGTGGTAGCGGCCGCATGCACCTTGGCCGCGGCGACGCCCGCAACTTCAGCGGTTACGGCGCCCAAGTACCCCCACCAGATTACTCCAACAAAGTCGGCAGCGATGATCTACGTCGTCTAAAGACAGGTAGAAGCACAAACCAGCCTGCTTCCTTTAGTCCATCTGGCCTGCTTGGCTCGAGGAGCGGAAGCGGACGAAGAAATCTAGGACCCGGAGGAAATCTTGTGCGAGGTGGCGAGGATAGCGGCGCAAGTAGCCGGACTGGAACACCACCAGCCGGAAAGGAGAAGAAAGATGAGTCTTCTCAAAACGCATTCGGGTGAGTACAACATACCTTCTACTACGACACGCATATCCGTACGATGCTAACAGATTGATTTATAGTGCCCTAGCAGCTCTGGACGCAGGCGATTCCTTAGCAACTTCCCCATAGCCGTACTTAGACCTTTCCGTTGCAGTCTCAAAACAAATATGAATGCATCATATCATTTTCACAAAATTCGAGCCCGTCGTACTAATTTTAATCTCCCTCCACCTTCGCCGCCACGCCATCACTACCTCCCTCGGCTTCTTCTCTCCCTTTTACTTCTCATGTTTGCTTCGCCCCTGCATGTCCATGTTCCATCTTGTTCTTGTCATATCACTGTCTCGTCCCGTTCTTGTCTATCTAGTTTCCGCCTTTCAAAAGCAATATATGCACCGTATACCCCGTTCCAGAAGCCAGTGTAGACCCAACGACTTCATCCTTCACCCTCCATACCCGAAACTCCTGCAAGGCTTCTCTCATCCACCCCTCAAACACCTCATGAGACCGCAACTGCTGGCCAACAACGCACAGCGTAGGTCTCTCGGGCCGTTCCTCGCCCACTGACGGGCGCAAGCGACATATATCAGCACACGTCGCCACGAACGGAGCAATCAATGCATCGTTGTATATACAATCGCATGCAACCAGTAGGTCGAAGCCGGGGTCATCTTCGGCAACGTCAGCGCCGATCGAACGTTTCAGCATATCAGGCGAATCCAACTCCCAATCCAACGGGACAAATTTGATCTTCTCCGGCACTCCACCGCCGCTATAGTCGCCGGAACCACTTCCATCATCTCCTCGACGAGCAGGGCTGTTTCGCCGTTCACGTTCTGGCCGGTGGTGATGATGGTGATGGTGATGTTTACCACCCTTTCGCTCAACCCTTTTGCCAGATCTATTGCCCATTGAACCTGCATGCGAAGACGAAGAATCCATCTTCCCATTCGTATGCAGGTTCTCATTGAACAGCTTCCGAACATACTCTTGATCAGTCGCGGCGTAACACCCTACTTTCGGTCCAAGGGATACCGCCAGCACCGCCGAAGTACCGCATCCCAGCTCGACGACGGCCGATTCCGAATTCAAAACGGATGATTTCCAAAGGGGGTTGTCCTTCTTGCAGAGCCATTCTGCTAGTTTGGGAGTAACTTGCCAGAGAACTATTCCTGTTATCAGTATTTTCCTTTTTCATTTTCTTTTCTCTTTCGTTCTAATTCAGTTCAGCTCAGCTCAGTTAGGTTGTGTGTTTGTTCGTTTAGCTGTAGTTTTTCCTTCCATGTGTTTTGTAACCGTGTCATGTTAGGTAGTGAAAAATTTGAACGGGTATTTCACTAATAATTGCTCGAACATCCCATCCCAACCATCCACTAGATAGATGTAACGGTAATGGATATATGGGTATGTACGTACCAGCACCTGTAGTTCCGCCTGTTCTCTTCGAGGATAAGATGGTTGGCGATTGGCGGATGGTCAGCTCTTCTCCGCCAACGGTGAGCTCGACAGTGTTTGATCGAGGATCAACAAAGCCCAAGTTACTCGAGGGTATAGGGTGTGAAAATTGGATAAAGGCATCTAAGACGGTCAGATAACGTAAAGAATTTGCCGTTTGACTGGTTTATGCATAGCTACCGTCTTCTGCGTCTTCAACCTCGTGTCCAATGGTACCCAGCAGACCGAGAAGGTCCATGATGAACGAATGTGGCGTATTGTCAGCTGCTGGCGATTGTACCTGACATATAGATGTTTATTTCGCTTAGGATCTGATCAAATGGCATGTCTGCGTCTGTTGCGATGTGTTTGAAGCACTGGATAGTGTCAGTGTAGTTGCTAGGTCGTTTTGGCTGGGTTATCTGGCTTTTTATTTCCAGGGGCGGAAAAGCCGCTAGCTAAAAGTATAAACGTGATAATGGAGTATGGGAGCAATATGAGACTTCATAAATGGTATATATGTTCATTCGTGTATTCATTCAAAAGCTATGTACATGCCTGAATATTCTATATAATATCAAGACGAAGAAGAAAAGATCTGGCGATTAATTTACCAGCGGTAACGGGCTGGTGGGCCGTTGTACCGGAGGGAGTACACACCACGCTCAATGCTGTTGAGGAGGATGTATCCGCTCTTGAAGTATGGGTAGGTGCTCCAGCTGCCGTGGAAAGAGACTTCTCCGTTCATGTGGTCGTCCTCGGGGTGGCAGTCGAAGAAACCGGCCTCCTTGAACTGAGAGCCATCGGGCTTTCGCTCAATGGAGCTGACATCGACGATGCGAAGACCAGAGCCGTAGTTGGACTGGTAGGTTAGGCCGTTGAGAACATACTGGTTGTGGTCAATAGACTGGGCAGGGGACTGGTAGAAGCCGGTGTACTTGGGCTTAGCGAGCTGCTTGATGTCAAAGATGTAGGTCGTGGTGTGGTTCTTGCCGAGGGCAGTGCCGTCCTTCTCGTCAAGCTCGTCGTCGAGAAGCAGGTAGGTCATCTTCTTGGGGTCGGCGAGCCAGCCCTGGTGGGTGTAGGCAGAGCCCTGGTAGGGGGTCTTGGAAATGATCTTGGGGTTCTGCTTATCGGTAACGTCGTAGATGGTGAGGGAGTCTTCGTTGTAGCCGAAGCAGATTTCCTTGCCCTTGTACTGCTGATCAGGGCCAGTGTAGATGACGCATTGAGCTGGATGTACATTAGTATGGTTCGGCTCGATGATATGGCTTGGATCACAACTCACCATCGTGGACGTATCCGTCTGCGTTCGCGCAGCCACGGGAAGTTGGCTTGCTTGGGTCAGAAACATCGACCATGAACAGACCGCCGGCACACTCAGTCTTTCTGCCGGTTCCAACGGCATAGATCATCTTAGTTGCTTCGTGGTGGACGATGTTGTGGGAGCTGCCAAAACCGCTGAAGAAAGCGGTCATGTCATCCTTGATGGAGAAGGTCTTTGGCTCCTTGAGATCGAGCAGCTATATACCTTATTAGCAACTTACTATCGTCATCTAGGAAGTCAAAAACTTTAGTTTACCTTGCGCATGTCAAAGACTTGGAGACCGTGGTCACGAGACTCAGCTCCAATGTAGACGTATCCGTCAATGACCTTCATGTCACGCCAGATACTGGACACAGTCTGAGTCGGCAGTCGGCCCTTATACTCGAGTCTTCCATCCTTGAGAACCTCAACGAAAGCAGTTCCATCGGTCTGACCGATGGCACCGAATTCACGGCCATCCCTCGAGGTCCAACCTGTTACCTAGTCAGTATTTGACATTCCGGCTAGCGCATTACGCAGTGAGGCGGCACTTGACTTACCCCAGACATCGTTACCCTCACGAGTAGTGCTGCCCATCTCTTGGTGGGTAAGGAAACCGTGCTGGTCAACCTTGTTGCAGGAATATTCTCCAGACTTGCCGTGTCTGCAAGGAACAAATTTGTTGGTAGAGTTGCCATATCGTCCAGGAGCGAACATTCCCTTAGCTCTGTACTCTTCACGCTCAGCGACCTTCATCGACATCAGTCTGTTCATGGCAAACTCATTGGCGGCAGAGGCCAGGCCAGCTGCAGCAAGCAGCGAGACAGAAACGGAGAACTTCATCTTGATCAACAACAAACAACTCTGGAGATGGAGATGATGATGGGTTGGAGGGGATGGAGGAGAGAAAGGGAAATATTTCTGAAAGATGTGAAAGACGGATGGCCATCTTTATAGTAACGATGGTCGTAGGACGCTCTCCCGTCATTCCCGTCAGTCCCGTCTCATCTCCGTGGTTAACAAATACGGGGGTATAAACCAGTCCCACAGAAAAGCAAAGTTAATATGGAATTGTTCTATTTTGATTCCCTGCTTGTGCTCTCCAGCTTGTTATCTCGACGTTGCAAGGAATATCCCCGAGGCCCATGAGCTTTGCTAGGGTCCTGCTGGCTGCAACGTCAAGACACTGTGCAGAGGCAAAGGCAAGCCCCAGAGAGAGTGAAAAAGTAATTCCCCAGGTTACAGCACGAGCGTGGTGACAAGTCTGACATGTCAAGATATTGTATTGCAGAGCTTTGCCATCTGATCACGACGTCGGGCCTTAGACCCGCACGTAGCCGTGATGGTGTGCTTTGGTTGGTCACGCCAAAATGTTTCAGCATCCATTGGAAGAAGAAACGAAGGACTGACTAACACTTTGAGGACCTTCACAGAAGCGCTAGAATCCGGGGTATCAATGATGGAAGAACAGGGAGCGAAGGCGGATAGAAAAGAGTGAAAATGCACTGCGGAAACCTAAGCGATGGAAATGTTCCATGCCAAGTTATCTTTTGCCAGGATGTGAAAGTTCACAGGCCCTTCTGCTTTACGAGATTCCCCATCTCAGCCGTTGTTCACCATACATATCTGTTGTTCAGAAAATCTGACTTCGGCTGCGTGCCTCGCGTTCGTCCTTTCGTGAGCCGCTAGACAAAAAAGGGTATCCTTTCTCCGGACTGGTCTGCTGCCTGCCAAGTCGACATCTCCATTTTCTGGGGGAGGAGAAGAGGAGGTCATACTCCGGAGTTCGCGTGCCAAGTGGAGAATTCTAATCTCGTTACGAGCGGTCAAAGATATTGCAATGTTTGAAGCTTCCGGGAGAATATTGGACGGCCTTGGATTTGATTCATGTCGCCTCCCGCGGCTGATTCTGGGGGACTAAGCTAGTTATCCCTTGGTCCGGCCTGCCCTGAAATTGGCATTGATTCGATTCACTCTAGCTTTGCGCGGTGTCCAGATTAGACGCACCCCGCATGTGAAATACTTCGAACATTTTCGTATATAAAGCAAGTATTCTGCCTGGGAACAGAGAGTTAGACTTTAAGCTGCGAAGCTAATGTCGAAGATCCTCTCCCAACGATGACTGGTGGCTGGACGGGATGGATAAAAGTGGGCACTTTTAACTTTCGTTTCTTCCTGTGTCCTGAGATCACACACTCTGTTGACCTCCTTGAACGAGACTAGTGTGGCAACGATAATGGCCTTTTCGTGGGCTGGTGTGCAGGTCCAAATTTCTGAGGACTTCGCGATGTGGTCAAGGCGATGCTCAAGGATTGGAAAGGAAGCATTTTGATCGACACCGGAGATCCCAGGTTGAACCCAGATGGCTGGGATGAAAGTTGATACATAAGGTATAAGGCGACTGTCCAGCCATGCATGGAAGTTGTTCAGGTTGTTTCGTTCTGGTTCTCTGCGTTTGCGTTCTCTATCATCACACGGGGGGCTTGGAGCCACACTGAGCCTTCTTGCATAGACAGACCCCCTCTTTCCTCACTTTCGCAGGTACGGGTTGTCAGAGTTAGACGCTAGTCGACTAGTATGGGGGGATTAGTGCGGTTTACCCCTGGTTTCCACGAAGAGAGACTCATCTTGGGAATTGGTGAAAAGAGGCTGTGTGGAGGCTGCGGAGATACTTGCCTGGAAGAGTAGATGGCGTCTTGAGAGGGAAACCCTTCCCCCAGAAACCAAGGATACGGATACCGTTTAAGTCTGCAGCCGTACTGTGCCCAACAGGTTCTCACTGCAGAACCGGGGAAGCTGATCACGTTTGACGTCGTAGGCCAGATTGAAATTGTTTGCTTGCCGATATCCACTCCGATAAGTGTTGATGAAATATACAACTATTAACTGATAGAAAACTAATCCTGCGATAAGACAAGTGCGATAGTCATGGTTGATTATATGATTGATGCCATCCACGGTGGCATGGCCCACTTTGCAGACATTCCAGGGCCTTCGATACGGCTATCAGCTTCTTGACTAGACCTTAATACGTTATCTGGATATGTATCAAGACGGAGACGTTGATATCGTCATTTAAGAATGACGCTGTGATTTGTAAATGCGGTCGCTAGATTCGGGCCACTGTGCATGCGTTGCAAGCCTAGGACAGTCTTGCCGAAGTCTTGATATCGTTCAGTCGAGGATAATTCATGCATGATTCACGTAAAAAACGGGGTTTGCACCTAGGGCTTGCAGGCATATCCCTGAGGTCGGGAACCCCTCACCTGACCAAGTGAGGAAAGGTTTTCTAAAGAGAGCAAGCATCCAGGCCTGGGCATCTACGAGCCCGATCCTGGGGAAAGGATGCCGAGAAGCCGGATAGGAAGAAGGTCGTAGAGGAGGAAGCCTTGCACGCCCGTTCCTGAAGTAAAGGAATTATTTGACTCCATATCAATAGCTAGAATATTGGCCATGTATGCCTTTTTCGGCCAGTGAAAGTAAACATGAAGAGTAAAATAAAGAGAAATGTAAGATGTGAAGAGAGATTGATTAGCACTGTCTGCTAATCCCCAGGCCGGGTCCATCCCCGCACTCGTATGTCAGTAGGCCCGTTGGATAATCCTGGCAAGTCAGGCAGTCCAGGATACAACGTAGCTGGCTTTAAGTGTTAATATAGCAGGGTAAAGTAAATAACCGAACAGGTATTATACTCCCTGCTACTACGCTAGCTATGTCATCATGTCCACGGACGAAGGAAAAAAAAAAGGAGGAGGAGGAAAGGAAGAAAGAAACGTATCATAGATAAGAATAGAACCACGGAAAACCGGAGAAATGGAGAACAGACCAAGGAAGCCAGAGGAAGGGCGAGGAATAGAGTGCTGTTAATTGGGCATGCCGCACTCCTCGCAGCTGCATGGGGGGCAGTCGCCCAACTCTGTGCCGCAACTCCAGCAATCCGGCAAGGCTCCGCAACCAGGGGAAGGCGAGCGTGGAATGGCAGCCTCCAGTTCCTGCTGTTGTGCTTGCTGTTGTTTCTTCTGGCTGCCTTGGTATGTAGTAGTTGTAGATGCAGCCGGCCGTGATATTTTCTCCAGCTGTCTCGGATTGACTGATTCTCTCTTCGCCTTGAAAACCTTGAACTTGGCCGTGGCTGTTACCTTTGAAGAGCGGTTCAAAGATACCGGCTCCAGAGCAGACTTGATACTGACATTGGTGTGACGGCCTTGTTTGCACAGGGTATTTAAATTATCCATAGATTTCTTCGGCTGAGCTGCCTTTGTAGTTGTTGCGGTCTGGTGTGCTGGCGGCATCTTGGAAGCGCGTATACCTGTCTTCCTCAGGCTCCGTCCTGGCTCTGGCTGTCCTGCTGGATGTCACTGCACTGAGATGTGTCCTTTGAGGGGCGTACTCTTGAGGGTATCTTGAACGCTCTTTTATGCTGTCGAACCTGGTGGGAAGTTCCTCGTTCCTCTATCTGCAATCAGCTCAGCCAACCTACCTCGACGTCATCTTCTCTTCACCCCCCAGGGGCAGGACAGTGAAATAACAGTGACAAGCAAGCAGCTTTTACACATTCACCTCACTCCATCTCCTCCGCCTGCATCTTCGTCTGCATCTTCGTCTTTCGTCTTTGACGTCGTGAGTTTGTGTTTTTATAGAGGAAAAAATATGGAAAAAAGAAAAAAAAAACATTATAAATATTGTGCTCACGCTTACTATCCCAAAGAGGAAATAAGCAACTACATCGACGATTTAGAGAGAAAAAACGCAGAAACGACGATAAAAAGACAACCTCGAGAAGACGATGAAGACGGCAATGAAGTTGATGATGGAGACGATGAAGATGAAGACAAGGCAGAGGTGACGGAGGACGTTGAAGCTAAGGATGATGGAAGAAGGGCGAAGAGTAGCCTGGCTCCCCCGACGCTGTCACTGCCACTGACTACGAGTTACTCTACAGCAAGATCACTGCCGAACCGACAAGACCGAGACGTGCCGGGCAGTGACAAGCCGGAAAGCCTGTCGTGATAGACCGGTTGGTGAGACACGAGCTGCCGAGGATGCAGCACAAGATCGGATCTATCACTGGCAGCCAGATCTGCGGCAAGCTTCCTAGTTAACAGATAACATACACTCCATAAAGAGTCATGATATTCAATCAATAACACTCGCCATGTCGCACTTTGCCTTTTTGCCAGCCTGGACGAGTTGCTCTCCGATAGAGAAACGCCACGAACTGCTAACTAGCTGTGTTGGCCCGGGCTATATACAACTTCTCCCGGGGTAGAGCAGTCTGCCTGACCGTCGGCCAAGTCGCTGCCCGCGAACCCAAGGATCTTGGAGTTCCCGACTGATTGGCTACAAATAGCCGACTGGGACGAAAGAGGCAGAGCAAGTGGTTGATGGCTCGCTCAACGGCCTGTCTGGGTGCAAATAAACCGGGTGCTAGTTCTGGTAGAGGTGGACGCCAGGGCGGGAGAACCAGCGAACCCTGAGCTGGGCTTGGCCGGGTAGCAGGAGTCTCTCTGCAGGCAGTCCCTTTTGCGGGTGAAGAGGCCCATGTTTGCTTTTGCTGGCTGCTCGGAGGGAAAGGGGGAAGGCAAGGTGACTGGCCGTCCGCTGGCTTTGCCAAAGCGATAGAGCGCCATGATAGACCTGATAGAACGGGAGCAGAGACAACTAGAGCAAACGGGCTGAGTCTGTCTGCTGCCTGCCAGCCTCTTTCTTCTATATATTTAGCTGTCTCCTTTACTGTGTTCTCTCTTTTTTTTTTCTGATACATCCCGCCCGTTGCTCAGCAGTCGACTAGTTAGTGGCTTTTAAACTCGCCTGGTAAGAAAAACCCATCTCCATCAGCATCTCCACCCAGGGGGCCCTCTCCTCCTCCCAACAACCTCAACAAAGTCAACCAGCTAGCTCGGTTAACGACCTGCTCGACCACGGAGCACTTTGGCCGGTGAAGACGCAGCAGAAGACGCCATCGATCATCACTGCTAACCAGTCGCCGGACAAAGACAGCCTGTCGTCTTTGTCCCCTTGCTGCCTGCAGAGAGCTCCAAGCAAACCCGCCTCGCACACCAACCAGATCTCCATCGATCCACGCGAGCTGCCCCCCGAGAGCCTTTTTTTTTTTCTTAGCCCTCTCTGCTTCAAGCCCAGCATGTCGAAAGACACGGTCTTCTACCCTCGCGTCTTGAAGAGGGGTCCCTTCACCGTCGAGGCAGCCGGCTACGAGCCCGTCGAAGGAGAGACCGTTCCACGACGTCACCCCTCGGCCAAAGACGAGCTTCTCAAGACGCCCAACCCAGAGATTGCTACCACCTACGACAACCTCAGATGGAGCGCAAAGACGTACGGGAACTCCAAGGCCGTCGGCTCGCGCAGGGTCGTCAAGACGCACGTTGAAAACAAGAAGGTCAAGCGGCTCGTCGAGGGCGTCGAGCAGGAGGTCGACAAGGAATGGACCTACTTTGAGCTCAGTGGCTACAGCTACCTGACCTTCACGGAGTACGAGCAGCAGGCTCTGCAGCTTGGTGCCGGTCTCAGGAAGCTCGGCCATCAGGCCGGCAGCAGACTCCATCTCTTCAGCTCTACCAGGTCAGTTCTAGCTCTCATATTGTTTTGTTTCTCATGAAGAAGAATATTTTATTCAATTTTAGGGAGATCATCCTGGGCTAACGTTCTACTAGCGCTCACTGGCTGTGTCTTTCTCACGGTAAGCTTGGCTATAGCTTGTTATATATAGCTGCAAAGGTAGCTTCTAACATCATCTAGGCGCTGCATCTCAGTCCATCACCATTGTGACTGCGTACGATTCCCTCGGCGAAGAAGGTGTTCGGCACTCCCTCCAGCAGACTCACAGCGAGTCCATTTTCCTAGACCCTACCCTACTCCCACTGCTACGAAAAGTCCTCAAGGATGCAAAGGATATCAAGAATGTCATCTACGACACCAATGCGGAACCTAAACAGGAGCACATCGATGCACTCAAGGAGGACTTTGACTACATCAACATCATGACCTATGAAGACCTCCGGAAACTGGGCGAGGAAAACCCCGTTGACCCGGTACCCCCATCCCGCGACGACCTCTGCTGTATCATGTACACCTCTGGTTCGACGGGTCCGCCAAAGGGTGTCCCTCTCACCCACGGAAACGTTGTCGGTGCTAGTAAGTCATCCGCTTAAACTGACGAGAGAAGGTACATGGATCTGACAAGTTTTAGTGGCGGGTGGTGATTCAATTGTTGGCCCTTATCTCGGCCCCAGCGACGTGCTCCTGACATACCTACCTCAAGCCCACATCCTCGAATTCGTGTTTGAGAACCTCTGTCTGTTCTGGGGTGGCACCATGGGCTACGGAAGCCCCAAGACCCTCTCAGACACGTCCGTCAGAAACTGCAAGGGTGATATCCGCGAGCTCCAGCCAACTATTCTCGTCGGTGTCCCCATGGTCTGGGAATCCGTGAAGAAGGGCATCATCGGTAACGTCAACAAGAACAGTGCCATCGTCAAGAGCATTTTCTGGGCTGGTATGGCTGCCAAGGAGTTCCTAATGTCCACTGGTTTGCCCGGCGCCGGCATACTAGACTCCTTTGTCTTCAAGAAGATCAAAGATGCCACCGGAGGCCGTTTGCGCCTCACTCTCAGCGGTGGTGGACCAGTCTCAAAAGAGACTCAACGATTCCTCTCCATGGCCGTCTGCCCCATGATCAACGGTTACGGTCTGACTGAGACCTCTGCTATGGGTGGTCTCAACGATCCCATGGCCTGGACCAACGATGCCATAGGCGAAATCCCAGCTGCCGTCGAGATGAAACTCGTCGACTTCGCTGATGCAGGCTACTTTACCAAAAACAACCCACCCCAGGGTGAGATCTGGATCCGAGGTGTGAGTGTTGCAAAGAGCTACTTCGACAACGACGAAGAAACTAAAGCTGCCTTCTCACCTGACGGCTGGTTCATGACCGGTGACATTGGCCAGTTCGAGCCCAACGGCCATATCAAGGTCATTGACCGCAAGAAGAACCTCGTCAAGTCCCTGAACGGCGAATACATCGCTCTCGAAAAACTTGAGTCCATATACCGCTCTGCTCCCGTCGTGGCCAATATCTGCGTATACGCCGCTCAAGACCAGGCTAAGCCTGTTGCCATCATCGTACCTGCAGAGCCAGCCCTGCTCCAGCTTGCAAAGTCCAACGGTATCCAGGGAGATAGCATCGGCACCCTTGTTCATGATAAGAAGCTCAACTCCATCATCTTGAGGGACATGCAGAATGTAGGCAAGTCCGCCGGTCTGCGTGGCTTCGAGATCATCGAAGGTGTCGTCCTCTCAGATGAGGAATGGACTCCTCAGAACGTAAGTCATACACCTTCCTTTATATATATATCATAAACTTCCTTCTCTAACCACGTTGAACAGGGATTTGTCACCGCAGCACAGAAGCTACAGCGCAAGAAGCTGGTGAACAAGTACCAGAAAGACATAGATCGCGCCTACGGAAAATCTTCGTAGAATGGAGCGAATTCCCCTCGTCCAGACCAATACAGCGGGCATCAAATCTCACATCATCCGTTTGCTCTCCTAGAAGCATCTCACCGCCGCCGCCTCTCCAACTATATAATATACCACTCAAACAAACAACAAAACAAACAAAGCCTTACTCCTTCCTCCTTGCCCGACTGTCCAGCTTTTACCATCGACTTAGCTTGCCGTGTACTTGATCGATTGGCCATATATAGCTTTGTCTCCTTTTTTTTTCCTGGCCATTACTCCTTTCGTTTGCTATTCCCATCCTTACATTTACATTTATACCTACCTCCTGATGTCTCCATGTATGTTCCTGTCTGATTCCACCCACTCCTTCCTTCGGTAGTCTATTTTCAGTCTGTCCGAGTCCAAGAATACTCTCACCGCTGGAATTTTGCAAGACTTTCCTTTCTTCTTTTTCGTTTCGTATGGCTTTTTTTATTTTTATTTTTCACGACCGTTAGGAAGGAATAGTTGAAAATTCTAGTTTAACTAATTATTACCATGCCCGTCTCCTAATTCTGCATCAGTGGGTTATCTTTCCTTTATGCATGCATGCATGGAGAGATCGAGTTGTCAGTGCATATGCAAGGCGAGATGAATGAGATTAGATGAAAGGAGCAGGAGAATTGCGGTCAGACCTTTGCAGGGCTTGGACACTTACCTAACGAGGCATATGAAGATATCAGTATTTACTGTCCATATCCGACATCCAGTTACATCTTTTATGTATGTATGCGTAGGCGCAAGGGTTTTTGATATGCCAAAGACGGGGCTTCAACGACCAGGGAGTAAACCAGTTAACTGGCTACCAGCAGGGATAAGTTGCAAGACAACCAAATACGTTGGATGCAGCAATGGCTACAAGCAATACTCCGGGTCTACAAGGCGCCCGAGTCTCACCAAGTTGTGCCCCCTGAATCACCCTGAACGTCCTTTTTTTTATATCTTGGTGACCAGCGGCGAACGTTATTCATGCAAGTCATCCTCCAAGCTAAACCCCTTTGGGCCAGCAGCATCCGAGCTTCTTCTATCAAACTTCAACGTCTCGACTTCGCCTTTTTAACAATCGAACACAGCATTATCATCGCCAGCCAGACAGGCCAATCACGCACATTTGCAGCCAGCCAGCCTCTTGAGACACAAGACACCATGTCATTTTGGACGTATGTAAGCACCTATCCAGAAAGAAGCAAAAACGAAGACTCCGCTAGCCTTGCATGGCATATCTGAAGGGTCAGCCAGCAAGGGAGCTTTGCCCTCCTCTAACCTTCAAAAAGGCGGCAAATTGAATGAAGTGGAATGGACTGCGCTGAATTAATTGAACGAAATCACCAGATCTTACCGCTCGCTAAAACCTCGGACTCGTCTTCTGTTCGGCCTAGGCCTGATGGGTTACGCAGCCTTTGGGATGTGGGCATCACCCAAGCTCGAGCAATCGCTAGGCATGACCCCATCAAAGGAGGAGCAAGCAGAGCTTGATCGGAAGCTCTCGATTAGCGTCTCAAGAGTGGATAAATGAGAAAGGAAAAGATGTCCGATGGAAGTTTCTACGCAGGCGCGCAATACGTGGAGAAAGAGCTTCAGGGAAAGCCAACACGACACCACATACGCATACGCATAATGGCAGCAGCTATACTTTACCTCTTTTTTCCATTGTCCGTCGTCCGTCGCCCGAAGAGATATAAGTTCAGACTTTTGAGTTCCGAGTGCGTGTCCCCAACGCGGTTTGAAGCAGGGTAGTCGAGAAAATTGGCAAAGAAGGATGCGTGCAACAGGCATCTCCTATTCTTCCTTTTCTTTCTTTTCTTGTTAATTCTTTTGGCTAGGAGGCGTGAGCGTCGGGCAAGGGAGGGATGGTGAGAGAAGGGCGAAACGAGAAAGCAAGCAATTCGGATGGGTGATCAACTAGGCAATTGAGGAGGGAGTCGTCATTTCTGTTCTACTGCCGGTCTCGGGATACACCGTTGTGAAACCACAAAGCTATTTTGACCATCCTTCCCCCCGTCATTCAGCCAATTACCCAACTCACCAGGCCCCCCTCACGAGCTTACGAAGATATGAGTCTCTTCCTTTCTTTTACAACTATTTCCTGGCATCCAGAATTTGAGCACATCCTTCCTTGTCCTCAGCTCTTGGTCAGGAGCCATCTTTTCTCATTTTTTTGGAGCATCTCGATGCACCGCCCGGCTCTGCCCTGCCTGCTTGGCAAAGGCACGGAAGAAGTGGTTTCTTACTACTATTTTCGGGGATACCCCAACTAAACAACGCGACGATGACATTGTTAAATTTCATTTTGTCTACGTTGCAGTGGCGCAGTATGCTGTGTCATGTCACCATACTCCTTTGGGCGTTTCGTTGGACTCTGAGCCAGAGAATCCCATGTATAATAGTTGGCGCTTAATATTCCTTTCTTGATGTTGTTTCTTTTCCCTCCCGAAACATCCTGGTCTTTGCTTACTTCTTTCCCTTTCGAATTCGCTCCATTCCATAATCTTATGCAGCATGGACACCGCCTTGCCTTGTCTTTAGCTGGCGACGGAGGGCGGCAAATTTATGACGAGCATGATGGTCGATGTGCTGATGGACTCTGGTCGGCCGATTATCATAGAGATGCCTTGGTTAACATGCAGCATGCGGCCTTCCTTGAAATAGCCTTCCATAACATGCTTGGATGGATGCTCTTGTTCGTTTTTTCTTATCTCTTTCCTTTTGGCTTTAATGCCACCAATGCCGAAAGCTACCATGGTTTATACACCATTGCTTGCCTTGACGGCTTCATGGAAGCCATATCGTGATACCACGGTTGCCAGGAGAGTGGAACCCAACCTAGTTCCGCCTCTTACTTGGCCGTTATTTTCTTTTTCTTATAACGACCTTCCAATTGTCAACCATCTCTTATGAGTTGCAAAGAATGGCCTCTTTCCTAAAGCCAGCTATTACGGGTCTCACCGGCTACGTTTCGCTCTGTCATGGCGCATAATTTTGTCCCCCTGATCGTATCACATATGGGAGAAGGGGTGGGAAGCTCAGGCGAACCACTCTAGCAACCACCTTCTGCGATTCGTTTCCCGGTGGATTGTCCTACACTCCCCTCCTCCTTCATGCATCCCCCCCCCCCCCCCCCCCCCCCCCCCCCCCCCCCTTTTTTTTTATCTTTTTATTTTCTCGGATAGAAGGCCTTGGCCGAATTCCAAGTTTCCCAACCTCCCCATTGCCTATCTATCCATGTCCGGGGAAGATAGCTTTAGATTACCTATACCTATATCCAAACTTTTCCACTCCATTATATTCTCAACACGGCACGGCTGGCCACACAGGGATTGTTCTGGTTCAAGGTTCGATGATAAAATAATTGAAGGAATGTAGGATCTTAGTTTCTCCTATCACAATCTTGATTTCCCTAAATGAGTTTTTTTTTTTTTTCGGGTCTATCTGAGGATTAGCAGTTTTAGCAAACATACATGTAGAGAAAAATAAGCCAGGACAATCCTTGCGCGAACAGGCCTGGTTCGTGTCCAGGAGAAACGAGGAGACCCAAATCTTGAAAGGAGATAGGATGGGGTGGAATAATTGGTATGGGAATAGGGGTATATGCCCTTGAAAAAACGCCGACATCAAGTCATAAGCTAGAGGCAGAAAAGTCTAGCGGTCATCACATCAATTCAGAAAAAAGATACAATAACAAGAGAATCAAACAGTAGTTGGCTGAAGAAAAGAAAGCAAATGTCCCTAAGCCTGGAAGTAAAAGGTGGAAAGGAAGGAAAAAGGGGCCCAAGTTCAACGTTTTTGACGGAAGATGCCTTCCTATGTATGATTTTGTAATCCATCCCTTTCCCATTTTTTGACCAAATGTCCATTTCACCGTATTGCCCTCAAGATTCCCACCCATGAATAAGTATAGAAAACCCTAACTGCCAATTAATAGGAGAAAAAGTATTAGGAAAAAAAAAAAAAGAAAGAGGAAGAAAAGGAAGAAGGCGGGTTCATGAAACCAAGCAAGCAAGCAAAAAAGGGAAAGTCATCAAACTGCAGCACCTCCAACAATAGTATAACATGCAAATCATCATTATAATTTTTTTCCTTGTTTTTTCTTCCTCACCATCTTTCTTGTGAGGTGCTGAAACCCTAATCATGAGAAGCAGAATAGCCATTCATAACATACATGAAGTACGAAAGGTCGGTCCACCCAGCGAATCAGAGGATATCAAGACAGTGTCGCTTGTGGAGAAGAAAGAGTCATCATTATTTGAGGTTCGGCCGTGTGTGGAAACGAGCATTGAGGAAGTTATCGGGCCTGGCTTCTGGGGTAGCTGTAGGTCGGGAAGCTGCCACAGTCTGCAGTAGAAAGGAGGCATAGGCTCCTCACGAGTCCAGAGTAGTGTTGAGTTAGATTATTAACGATCAGTCGCTATCATGGCTGTCATCTCTCATTAATGTCGAAGGCCCGAAGGTTCAATAAAGAGAAATAGGGGAAAGGGGCAAGAAGTAGTGGAAACAAAGGAAATTGCGGGTCAAGGAGGTAAAAGAGATATTCAAGGAAAAGATGCGCCCAGGCGGAAAAGCAAAAATACAAGTCATTACCAGGAAATGGCCATCCGAAGACCAGTGTGCAGTGTCTTCAAAGGGGAGAAAAGACAGCCGGTCCTTGGTATGCTGATGGTGGAATGTCTTGATGCAACAGGTGGGGAGGGGGGCGGGTATAAAGAAAAAGAGGTAAAGTGAGGACATCCCTCAAAGAAATGCCATAATTTGGGAGTGTGTAATCAGCCAGGGAGAAGAGAGTCATAAAGAGTGAAGTGCGTAGAAAAATTAGGGAAATGAAGTGATATTTGTGGAGTGCGGGATGAGAAGAGGCGGTTGAAGATGAGTAATTAATAACGAGCGTAGTGAGCAGTCGGTCTGCTCGTGTAGGAATTATGCATTTTCATTCCGTTCCTCAGCCCATGGTCATCCTGGCGGTTGAAGTAATGATTGTCTGCGTTGTCATGATGCATTAGGGAAACCATTGGCTCGAAAGGCTCGACATATCCGCCATCCTGTGGATCCTGGCTTTTTGTTGTAGTAATTTGATCATTGAAAGTAGGCATGTGGCTGCGCATGCCAGACGGTTCAATGCATACCTTTCGCTGAACAGCTGAAGCCGAGTTATACGACTGATGGCCATATGCATCAACATTGGTGTCTTTCATAGTTTCCATTGGATTCATGGAATCGTTCATCATTCCGAAGTCAAACCCGGGTGAAGAGGAAGATGAGGAAACTAGGGATCCTGCGGTTAATGGAGGCTGATCGGTGGCCGTCATTCGTCGGCCATGGCTTTGGTCATACGTAGAAAGCAAAGGAGGCGGTTGTCGTGTGCTTTGCACCATCCCGTTAGTAAGACCGCTCATTCGCCCGTCTCCTGAAGCTCCAGTGTCGCTCTCGGGTCCAATGCTCGTCGTACTTTCACGCCGTCCATCCTTGTAATGGCCGGGAGATCGTCCTCGGACAACCATGGGGTATGAAAGGCGCCTCGCAACTAAGATCCACTGTGGCGACGATTTCGAGTTGGGATCACTGACATCGGCGTAAAGTTCGGTCACCAGCTGGTAAAACTGTTGCTGCGCACGACGTTTGCCATTGTTAGCTGTTGCCTTCTGAAACTGGATTCGCTCAAAGGTATGGGATGTTGGTGCGGTCTGTACCGCCTGAGAGTGACCGCTCCCAAATGCAGAGCCACAGTCGAAATGCATGGGAGACTGAGGGGGCATCGAAAATGCCATATGGTGATGGCCGTTGCTCACTGGCCCTGCGTTAAGCATCAAGGATGGTGGTGGCTGTGGTTCGAGAGAAACTTTGCCTGGGCGTCTCTCGGACTGCTTATCACGCTTTGGCGTGTGCTGGACCAGTTCCCGCACCTCGTTTTCCTGTCCATGAACCACTGCAGAAATGGCCATGGCAAACGATTTGACCCTCGGGGTGGTACCGTTGGAAAGCTGAATGTATGGGGTAGAGCTCTGCATCTGGATCCAAGGCCGCAAAGTGAAGGAACAGGATAGGGAAAAGTAATTTCGCCGGTAACAGGTCCATTTACCGTCAACCTGGAAGAACCCCTTGTGAATCTTCGCGTTGATGTCCGGCCTCACAGGGTGGTTGTTTATCAACAGATTGTGCAAGACGGTGGTTTCGTGGAACGGTGGAGCTTCAGGGCTTGCTGAGCTCGACTGCCTTGATGCTGGTGAGTCGAAAACAAAGCCCCCGGAAGCACCAAACATTGTGCCACCCTGTGCATTCGAGTTCATATCCATCGGTCGTGTTGTCTGATAATTGGAGTAGCGGGATAGATTATTCATCGCAAGTCCGTTGGAGTTTGGAAACACGCTCCTGGTAGGCTGATGGTATTGGAGATGGTAGCCATCTCCCCTGGGCATCATACCAGGCGACGCGGGCAAAACTCCCCCAGAAGATTGCATTGTGGATGGAATTCCAGGTTGTGGTTGAGTGCAGCTATTCCTCCCAAAATACACAAATTTGTCAGATATACCAATTCAGAACATAAGGAAGGTGTTTACCTTGCGGCACCGGTACATACAGCGCAGATACACTATGCAGTCTGTAATCAGTCATATTCTGGTCCAACTCGTTCCTCGATATACACGGCGGAGTAGTGGCAGCAGATGCCACGTCCAACGTAGCAGAGTACGCGGAGGAAGAGTTCAAGCTGGCAGCCGAGGACAGGGAGCTGGAGGTTGATTCTGGAGAATGCCTGGAGGTCAGGGAGGGATAGGTTGAGTCTATAAAATCCGATGTGAGTTCACTAGCACGTAAGCTAAGAATCATGGGCTCTTTTCTCTCCCTCCTGACTATTAGTTAACTGGCTGGTCTTCTCAATCCAGGGCACAGTAAAGCATGGGAAGTTCTCCAGTAAGGGGAAATGAAATTGATAGTAGATGCCGTGCATTCGTGTGCTTGGAATAAATGTGAATAAACAAGCCACGTAACACGGACAAAACAAATGAGGGGTAGAAAGAGAGCAGGAAACGAGCAGATTTATACTTGAAAATAAAAGGGAGGAAGAGAGGGAAGGGTTTATAAATGAAAAAGCCAAGCTTATGTCAAGGTAGACTGGTCAAAACCAATGTTTATCAGGAGTCATAAGGGGTGGGTGTGCCGGAACATTGTAGACAGACAGGACAAACTCATAAAAAAATAACGACACTTCATAAATCATAGTAAATAGATCAACTTACAGCTCATGCTGCCCCTATAGCAATGGTAAAGGGTTGAGAGTCCGTGGCCGTATTATTGCTGAAAAGGAGGTGGTTGGTCTTTGGTAGGTGTCTAGTTATAGGTAGACAGAGATGTGGTTCTGATGCCTGGAATAGGTCTGATGCACCAGGTATTCTCGTGACCTTCTTTTGTTTTGGGGGGATATCTTTAGTAAAAAAAAGAGCCTCGCAACTCAAATCGTAAGTGTCAGTCTCCCTTGGATGTTGCCTGTAAGCAGATAGTGACAAGGTTGGAAGAGTGCTTTCAAGCTTCCTAGAGATAACAGTGATGTTAGATATCTGCTGCAACTGTTAGGAAGTATACACACACGCACAGGGGAAAAGCTCTAAGAAAAACAACAGCCAGAGCGTTTTCATTTTCAACAATAGGATTAAACCTTGTGCTGTTTAATATCACACCTTTATTGCAGAACCAGATACAAGATGGGTACACCATGTCATGCAGTTAAGGTGGAAAAAAAAGAAGCTGGGAGCCTACAGTACGGGATTCCACAGTGGGTAATGGAAGAGGTTTGGGGGGAGGTAAG